TAAAAATACAATAAAATGTCACACATAAAAAACTTCCCTGAACAGGGCTGCCTTCAGATGTCTTCTGAATGTTAGGCAGTTGTTTATCTCTTTGACATCTGGTGGGAGGGTGTTCCACAGGGCAGGTGCCACCACCGAGAAGGCCCTCTGCTGGTTCCCTGTAGCTTTTCTTCTCGCAATGAGGGAACCACCAGGAGGCCCTCGGCGCTGGACCTCAGCGTCTGGGCAGAATGATGGGGGTGGAGATGCTCCTTCAGGTATACTGGGCCGAGGCCGTTTAGGGCTTTAAAGGTCAACACCAACACTTTGAATTGTGCTCGAAAACATATATAATGAAGGTGGCAGGCGAGCCTCCCTGGGGAAAGCATTCCACAAATGGGGAGCCACTGCAGAGAAGGCCCTGTTCTCGTGTTGTCATCCTCTGGACCTCTTGCGGAAAGGGCACAGGAGGAATGGCCTCAGTGAATGATTTCAGGATCTGGTTAGTTCATACGGAGAGAGGCAGTCCTTGAGGTATTGCAGTGCCAGCGGTGTAGCTAGCCGCCTGGGTGCCTGGGCAGCCTGCGTGCCCGCGGGGCAGGGCAGGGCACACCAGAATCCCAGTGCCTGAGCCCCATTCTGCTCTGGTGCTTAAGCACTCAGAGCCTGCAGGGAGCCTGTCTACCACAGGCATAGGCAAACTCGGCCCTCCAGATGTTTTGGGACTACAACTCCCATCATCCCTAGCTAACAGGACCAGTGGTCAGGGATGATGGAAACTGTAGTCCCAAAACGTCTGGAGGGCCAGGTTTGCCTATGCCTGGTCTACCACCTCCTCCTCAGCTGTAGAGGCTTTCGGGCACAGCAGAGCCTGCAGGTGCCCAATCCACGGTGTTATTCCCATAAAAGAGGCATGGCTTGGCTACACCTCTGGCAGTACTGAGGAACAGATGACCCCTTGGGTCCCTTCCAACTCTACAATTCTATTATTCTACCTAGCTCAGCGCTGTCTGCACTGACTGGCAGCAGCCCTCCCGGATTTCAGCCCTACATGAAAATGTCGGGGGCTGAATTTGGGACCACTTTCTGCACTCCTTCCGCTCCTCCCTCACATTTGAGATGACTTCATCCCGTTCCGGATAGGAACGCAGGGCGCCGCCTTGCACAGAGTCAGACCGTGGGGATCCATCCAGCTCAGCGCTGCAAACACTGGCCGGCAGCGCCTCTCCAGGAGTTCCAAGCAGGGGGCGTTCCCAGCCCGAAATGCGAATGGCAGGATTTGAACCCGGGACCCTCTGCCTGCAGAGCTGGTGTCTCTGGGCCCGCGGGGCGCAGCTGCAGAACCTCCCGGGGGGGGGAGAGGAGGGCGAGAACTCCCTTGGGGGCTGCACCGCTTTCACCCCTCCTGCACCCCCCTCCCCCGAAGCAGCCCCGCTTCGACCCTTCCCTTGCCATACCACGCGGCCTCCATTCATCTCCTGCTGTGCAGCTGCTCCGAGCATTCCAACCGGAAGGAACTCTCGAGTCCCCCCCCTTCTTCTTCTCCTCCCCTGGAGTCTCCCTCCCACTCCCGTTCCCACAAAGCCGGGCTTCGAAGTTCGCTTCGCCTCTCTAGGAGCTTCGTTCGACGGCGCTCGGTTGCCTTAACCCTTCGAATACCCACAGGGGAAAGAAGAAGAGACGTGCGGGGTTTCGGAAACGCGTAACACAGGGGTGGTTGGTTGGTTGGTTTTCCCCGCAGACAGGGGAGCAGAGAAGCCGTCGCTCATTATTAGTGGCCCGGTGGATGCTGAGAATATGAGCAACTGATTTGGTGGTTTGGTGGTTTTTTAAAAAAATAAATTAGATCTTTCTTTGCTCTTGCAACTGCGCAAAAACGTTATAGCATTTTCTCACAAATACAAAGCGTCTTAAAAAGCAGAGACATCGCCTTGCCAACAAAGGTTCGTATAGTTAAAGCTACGGTTTTCCCAGTAGTGATGTATGGAAGTGAGAGCTGGACCATAAAGAAGGCTGAGCGCCGAAGAATTGATGCTTTTGAATTATGGTGCTGGAGGAGACTGCATGGATTGCAAGAAGATCACACCTCGCATGATGAATTCTGCATATAAGTTAAATTAGCAGGGGGACAATATACAGCCTTGTCCTACTCCTTTCCCAATTTTGAACCAATCAGTTGTTCCATATCCAGTTCTAACTGTAGCTTCTTGTCCCACATAGAGATTTCTCAGGAGACAGATGAGGTGATCAGGCACTCCCATTTCTAAGTTGGTATCTAAGGTGCTACTGGAAGGGGTTAAAGTGACAGAGCTGGGAGGCCTAGAGAGGCTTGGAGGACTGCACGCCCGCACACAAACACACACGCAGAGATGTCATAAATACGTATTTGAAGGAGGCTGCTGGCGGAGTGTAAATACCGGTGCCCTTTCCTGTTATGCCATTGGGCTGCTCCCCCTGGAAACTGGTTCTGACCAAGAGGACTAGCTGCTTGCAGGAGGGGCAGCCGAATTGAAGGGCAGGAGCAGATCTCAAAGGAGCGGTGAGTTAAATGCATGGAGAGGGGGTGTTGTTGTTCAGCTCTTGCAAGCAAAAGGTGGGGCCGCCCCCCCCCCATGGCCCTGCCCTACTGCATCCAACCCCTCTTGCTCCCAGTTTGTTTAGGAACGGGGCAGAGACCGATTCAAACTGCATCTGAAACCCACCCCCCATAATTCTCAAAGAATTATGGGCACTGTAGTCTCTTAAAGGTTGCTGGGAAGTTGGAGCTCTGCCGGGGGTAAACTCAATTTATTTGGTTTTTCAAATTAAAATTTTACAGAGATATATCAAACATGAATAATAAAAGCAAGATTCCTAGGAATCTCCTGGACTTCCCTCCTCCCCTTTGTGGGTCCTATTGGTAATCATTTCCTCCCACATCTTTTATGATACTCCAGATCCTTTGCCTCTTCCATTATGTCCAGAATTCAACCATAAACTGCAAGTGATATTCCAATCATCCTAACGATTTTCACTGTTTACAATGGTCTTTAAGATAAGTTATAAATTTCCCCCATTCCTTATTAAAATTTTGGTCTTCCTAATTTATAATTTGGCAGAATATTGGGATTATTTGATATGTATATGTATAATTTGGAATATTTAATGTGATTTGATTGGATTGTTAAAATGGAAAATTTAATTAAAATGATACATAATTTTTTTAAAAAAAAAATTGGTCTTCCTGATTTCTGACTCTTCCGGTCATTTTAGCCATTTCCACATAGTCCATTAACTTCTCAGGTAGGGACTTTATCTTCTTTCCATCTCTGGGGGAAGCACCAAAGTGATCTCATTGGGGCACAAGCCTGGGCAGTGTGTCTGGAGGTCCTGAGCTGCCCAGATGACAAGACCCTCCTCTCGGTCTCACTGATGGGGTGCAAAGGAAAGCAGAGCAAGGCGTTTGGCACCAATGCTAGCCCCGCTCAGAGTAGGGCCACTGAACTCCGTAGACACGAGTAGCTTCAGTTCACCAATCTCAATGGTTCTACTCTGAACATGGAACGTAAGAGCCTTCTGAATCATGCCTATGGCCCATCTAGTCCAGCATTCAGTTCTTTTTTAAAAAAAATATAATTTTTATTAAATTTTCCATTTTAACAATCCAATCAAATCACATTAAGTATTCCAAATTATACAAAAACATATCATATAGTCCAAATATTCCGCCAAATTATAAATTTTTGTTGGGGCTTCCCATGCTTCAAGTTCAGTGGGGTTATAATCATCTTATGTTTCTGCTGCCTTGAGTTTCCAATAGTTCCTTCTTTAAATCTTCCTGTTGTTATCCTTCCTTCTTTCGTGGCCTCTGAGTTGTTTCCACAGGCGAGTTGAAATAAACAATAATGTGCTTCTGTGTGAAATTTGTATGACTCTCCTTTTTTTTTTTTTTTTTTTGCAGCTGGTAAGTCTGTTGTTTGCAGAATGTCCTCACACGCTGGTGTTTATGCCGAATCAATCCAAAAGTCCTTCTCTGGTGGCAGACGCCATCTTCACTCAGTTCCGATGAAATAAAATCTGGGCGTTTGCTCATTAATTTTCTCAGACAGGTTGCATCAAACATTAGTCTTTCTAGGGGAGATTTGCCAAATCGGACAAAGTCCGATCCAGCATTCTGTTCTTACAGTGGCCGAACAGACGTTTGCTGGGAACCCGCAAGGAGGACCTGAGCACAAGAGGCCTCTCCCCTCTTAAGGTTTCCAACAACTGGCGTTCAGGAGCATATCTGCCTCCAAAGCAGAAGTCAAATAAGTCGGAGTTCTTGTTATTAAATATACCAAGAAAAAAGCACACCAAGAACTCTGGCCAATATAAGTTTCAAAAGTGGGAGTGGTCCCTACTCGCAAATCAATAGTCAATTGTAACAAAAATTAATCCGTTCAAAAGTATGTATTCTGACAAGGATTACAAACTCAAACAGAGATTACAAACTTCAAACTCAAAAGGATATGTATAACACAATAATTTGCTACAGTATTAAAGATAAGAGTTTATGAGCAGAGATAAGTTCATGTTAGTCCATAGTAAGATTTGACATGGAGGTCTTGGTTTCAATCATTGAGCAGAAGTCAGAAGTCAATTATGGATCAGAAACCAGGACAGGGCCCTGTTTCGATGTATTCACCTTCATCAGCCGGAAGTACCAAACATTACATGAAAATACATTTAAATTCTAAATTATCATAAATTATAAAACAGTATTATGCAACATTTGGTTCCTTACCTAATTTTTAAGGGGCCGTGTAAGTTTGAAGAATTCGTATAAATAACATATTTTTCACTCTATAAGATGCACCGGACCACAAGACGCACCTAGTTGTTGGAGGAGGAAAACAAGAAAAAAAATATTCTGAATGTCAGAAGCCAGAACAGCAAGAGGGATTGCTGCTTTCACTGCGCAGTGAAAGCAGCAATCCCTCTTGCTGTTCTGGCTTCTGGGATAGCTGCGCAGCCTGCATTCGCTCCATAAGACGCACACACATTTCCCCTTACTTTTTAGGAGGGGAAAAGTGAGTCTTATAGAGCAAAAAATACGGTATATCCTGTTCCGAAGCAGAAGTCAGCATGGAAGGTGGTTTGCTTGCCTTTGTTAGAAGTTATTAAATGGAGGCTGGATGGCTGCCTATCAGGGAGGTCGTTGCAGCGGTTTTCCTACACTAGCCGGGTGATGGCGGTTGTTCTCCATCTGTGGATGTTTTATCCTGGAATATTTCATCCGTCCTGCCTCTGATACATTCCCCTCCCCGCCAGTATTTTACCCCTGTAATCTACTCCCAAGAGTTTTGGCTGAAGATCAGCCAATAAAATAATATAGGTCTCTGTGAACATTCTGTGGCATCATTGCAACCTAGCCAATGAGGAGGGGTGGACAGGGGAGTGAACAGCAATGGTGACCTTCAGGTTACTGTTTCAGGAGCTGCACTCGTCCTCGGAGAAGCTGCCCTGCATTTCAACCTAAGTTCCTTTTGGATCTCCACAAGAGCAGAGAACCCCACGCAAGGAAGTCATGCAAGAGGACCATGAGGAGACCACCGTTCTGGATCCCCAACAGGGTGTCGTTCATGCTGAAAGAGGTATGCAATAAAGCAAAACAAGAATAAGTGCTCTGCTGCAGCAGGCCAAAGGTCTGTCTCTGGCAGGGGTGGGGAGCGAGTTCTAACCAGAGGAAAAGGGATCCCTCCATAGGCCACTTGGGCAGGAGGGTGGGGCCGCCCACCTGTCAATCACCTGGCATCATACTACACCGGGTCATTGAGAGCTATTTGTTGGTTTGTTTATTTAAGGGACGCGGGTGGCGCTGTGGGTTAAACCACAGAGCCTAGGACTTGCCGATCAGAAGGTCGGTGGTTCGAATCCCCGCAATGGGATAAATAGGTACCACTCCGGCGGGAAGGTAAACGGCGTTTCCGTGCGCTGCTCTGGTTCGCCAGAAGCGGCTTAGTCATGCTGGCCACATGACCCAGAAGCTGTACGCCGGCTCCCTCGGCCAATAAAGTGAGATGAGCGTCGCAACCCCAGAGTCGGCCACGACTGGGCCTAATGGTCAGGGGTCCCTTTACCTTTACCTTTACGTTCGAAAACCAAGGTACCACTGTATCACAAGGACAAATTGAACACCATCACATTTCTCTCCTTCTTCCAGCAGGCAGTGACTCTCTCCACAAGCGGAAAGCGCAGACATTTCCCACGGAGCGTCCCACAGGATTGGAGGAGCCCACATTTGTACGGGGCGAAAAGAGCCCTCCCCAGGGAGTTACGGAAGGAGTGGTTTTTCATCTTCACCAGGGACTGGAGACACAGCTGAGCAGCTGCCCTTCAGAAGGAGAAAGAAACTCTGTTCCTTTCTGGGGTGCCTACGAAGGACTTGGTGGATCTACAGTACAACAGAGAATCCCCCCAGGAGAGATCCAGGAGGGCAGCGAAGGCCACAGCTGGAGGCCAGACTTTGTGATCAGCAGGAGGAGCTGTAAGAAACGGGACAAGCCATACAAATGCTCTGAGTGCGGGAAGAGCTTCAGTGTGAGCTCCGACATTATCCGCCACCAGAGAATCCACACGGGGGAGAAGCCGTACAAGTGCCTGACCTGCGGGAAAGGCTTCAACCAGAACTCCCACCTGACGGCGCACCAGAGAACCCACACCGGGGAGAAGCCGTACAAGTGCTGGGAGTGCGGGAAAAGCTTCAGCCTGAGCTCGGACTTCACCAGGCACCAGAGGATCCACACGGGGGCCAAGCCGTATAGGTGCTCCGAGTGCGGGAAGGGCTTCATCCAGAAGTCGCACTACGTGACGCACACGAGGAGCCACACGGGCGAGAACCCGTTCCAGTGCCCCGAGTGCGGGAAAGGCTTCACATCCAGCACGCTGCTCATCAGACACCAGAGAATCCACACGGGCGAGAAGCCGTTCAAGTGCTCTCACTGCGAGAAGAGGTTCTGTGCCAGCTCGAACCTCGTGACCCACATGCGGACCCACACCGGGGAGAAGCCGTTCCCGTGCCGCGAGTGCGGGAGGAGCTTCAGCCAGAAATCCACACTGATCGCTCACGAGAGGACGCACACGGGCGAGAAGCCCTACAAGTGTTGGTGCGGGAAAATGTTCAGCAAGAGCTCAGACATCCTGGCGCATGAGAGGACCCACACGGGAGAGAAGCCTTACGCCTGCCCAAGCTGCGGAAAGCACTTCAGGATGAGCTCGCACCTCATAAGGCACCAGCGCGTCCACACCGGGGAGAAGCCGTACCAATGCACCGAGTGCGGGAGGAGCTTCAGCGCCAGCTCGCACCTTATCAGACATCAGAAAATCCACCTGAAAGCCAAGTGACAAACAATGGAACACAGGAGCGAGAGTCTTAATAGCACAAGGGTGGAAGACTGAGGAAATCCCGACTAAAGAATTGTGGCAAGAGAAACTGATGGCCTATGCAGAACTGGCAAAATTGACACATAAACTACGGGACAAGGATAAAAGGTAAAGGGGCCCCTGACCATTAGGTCCAGTCGCGGATGACTCTGGGGTTGTGGCGCTCATCTCGCTTTATGGGCCGAGGGAGCCGGCGCACAGCTTCTGGGTCATGTGGCCAGCATGACTAAGCCGCTTTTGGCGAACCAGAGCAGCGCACAGAAACGCCGTTTACCTTCCCGCCAGAGTGGTACCTGTTTATCTACTTGCACTTTGACGTGCTTTTGAACTGCTAGATTGGCAGGAGCAGGAACCGAGCAACGGGAGCTCACCCCGTCACGGGGATTCGAACCGCGGACCTTCTGATCGGCAAAGTCCTAGGCTCTGTGGTTTAACTCACAGCGCCACCCGCGTCCCTTTAAAGAGGAATGGGACTTTAAAGAGAAATGGGAACCTTTTACAAAGTACCAAAAGACGCAACAAAGTGAATTGGACTCCTTGGCAGGCTTTGAATAAACACACAAATTTTTTTATTGATAATCATTAGTTAGATAAATTAAGGACTTATACAATTCTGTAACATGCAGAGAATGGCATTTGTGGAGAAACCAGAGATTGGAACTGAGGGGGGGCGGGGAGGGCGGGTTGTTTATGGGAGGGACAATTTCTTAGACGCTTGGCTCCTTGAAACCAGAAGGACTTACTTCTTAGTTAATGTGTTTTTGATTGCTTTACACTGAGCTATCGTGGGCTGGTGTCAATAAGATGAGGCGGTTACATCAAGCCCGGGAAGAGTGCCAGTCAGGAATCTGTCCTCATTGTGCGCAAGGGAGATGCAAAATGATGTCGTGCTCCAGCCCCAACCCATAAGCCCTATTCTGTAACTGGTTGGCCACTTCCAGAAATGGTAGCAGAGCCATTCTCAGACAGCTCGGCTGAGCACATGCTTTCTTTGAAGGCTTCCTACAGCGTTTTTTCTTTAAGGAGGCGACACCTTGTGATGACATCACAGAGTAGCCACTCTAGGAAGCCTGCATGGAACACTCTGTGCCCATCAGTGGGACAGTAGGGAGAGTCTGCAGCTTCTTACTGCTTAACTCCGCAGGTAGTGAAGAAGAATTAAAACCATGCTAAGCTAAGATAGTGGGTAAACCACAGAGCCTAGGACTTGCCAATCAGAAGGTCGGCAGTTCGAATCCCCGCGATCGGTCCCATCTCCTGCCAACCTTGCAGTTCGAAAGCATGTCAAAGTGCAAGTAGATCAATAGGTACCGCTCCGGCAGGAAGGTAAACGGCGTTTCCGTGTGCTGCTCTGGTTTGCCAGAAGCGTCTTAGTCATGCTGGCCACATGACCCGGAAGCTGTACGCCGGCTCCCTCGGCCAATAAAGCGAGATGAGCGCCACAACCCCAGAGTCGGCCATGACTGGACCTAATGGTCAGGGGTCCCTTTACCTTAAGCTTTTTATTTTTTGAAGGCAAAATTACACCACCCGATTGGCACTCAAAATCAGCCCCCTTGCCTCAAGGAAGGGCCGGAGCTCAGTGACAGAGCATCTGCTTTGAGTGCAGAAGGCAGGAAAGACTCTCTCCCCGAAACCCTGGAGAGTCGCTGCCAGTCTGTGTTGACAACACTGAGCTAGATGGACTCTCCTTCCTTGGAGGTTCTTTAAGCAGAGGTCGGATGGAGCGCCGCAACACCAGTCACCTTTGACTGGACTTCACCATTTTTTCCCCAGTTAAGATTCCTGCATTGCAGGGGGTTGGACTAGATGACCCTCAGGGTCCCCTTCCCACAGCTCTGTGTTTCTAATGGTCTTGACTCAGTATGTTCCTCACGGCAAGGCCACCTCTATCCTTAGGCCTCTTGGAGAAGGCAAGACTTTTTGACAGTGTTCACATTTCAAGCATCTATTTTCTTTCTTGGGCAAAGGCAAATGGAGGTGGTTGGGGGAAATCGACCCTGCCGAAAGCAGGATTTAACCCCCCTGCCCCATCAAGGGGGATTGAATGTTGCTGGGTAGGCTGCACTCACCAGTTCCCTGCAGGGAACCCCAAGAATTAACAAGGAGGGTTAAATCCTGCAGTTTTAATTGGACTCCTCCAACTTCAACAGGAGGGTGGAAACTGCCTACTGGCCTATCATCTGGAACCATGATTGTATCAAATGATTGACAAGTGGGTAGTCCTACCTACTGGTCAAACGGGGGGGGGGGCAGGTTAGGAGAAAGATCAGGCCTGCAGTCCCTCACATCCTACTGTCGGGAACGCAGTTGGTTTAGTTGCCCCCTGCCCCAGGTAAGGTCTGCGGTGCACGAGGTATCTCATCAATGCAATATTTTAAATAATTGAATAGTGCATAGGGTGTTTTGTCGAGGGTCAAGCTTGAAGTCCACCCTGAAGCAATCAGAGATGGGCCTCGTGTGGTCAGAGGGTGAGTGTCCTTTGGGGGCATATCCTCTGAGCCCCGTTTTCTCTCCCCACCCCCCGCCAGTATGAAATCAAGCAAGATTATTTGTGGGTACATTATTTGTTCTTTTTTGGAAAGTTACCGTTACAAAATTCTTTTCCCCCCCCCCCACTAAAAACACAACTATACACATGCAAATATTTGTTTTTCCCTCTACATCCCACGCTAGCAAGACTGAATAATCAAGTTACATATTATTAAGTCTCTGCTTGGCGCTCTGTAACTTTCCATTTGCCTGTCAGTATTGACAACGGGGCTATTAAATAATTGAAGGCAATCTAGTTTGCAGTGCAGCCAATTCCTTTGTGGGTTAATGGGCAGCCGTTTAAGATTTGGGTTGTAGGAAAAAGGATGAAGGCATCTGTCTGTATGTCTATGTATGTATGTATGTATGTATGTATGTATGTATGTATTTCCTTTTGGCCTGGTGTTTCAGTTAAATGCTGACCCCAGCCTTGGTTTTATGGGTCCTCGCCTCATCACCTTGAGCAACTTGGAATTTCACCCAGGTGAGCGAGGAGACTGTCCAAAGAGGACGCCGTGTTTGGTCCTCCTCCAGTAGCACATTGTGCTTCTTTGCACAGCAGGCGAATGACTCTCGCTTCCCGCTTTGCAGAGGGTTGGACTAGATGTCCCTTCCAACTGCAGCCCTGTGAATCTGGGACTATACTGCAGACTGTTGGCAAAGGGACCCTATGCCTTTGCCGCTGGAAGAGCACAAGTACTGATTGCCTGTTCATTCCTGGGCCCAATTCAAAGATGCTCACTTTAAAGCCCTAAATGCCGGAGGCCCCCAATATCTGAGAGAGTGCCTCCTTCCCGAAACCCTCTCGGGTTTTAAGATCAGCAGAGAGGACCTTGAGGTATAGTTTTGCCTCCGTCAGAAGTTCAAGGATGGTGGCGGCCCAGCAGAAGCGCGCCTGGTACCTTCATTGCAGCTTTTGGCGAATGAATACACTCTTTTTTCCCTGGACTGTGACACCAGACGGGTGTGTGGGCTGGGTGATATACCGTCCAAAACCGGTTTGGAGTCCATATTGTGATATTGGTTTCATAGTTTTTTACCTGGCAATATATTGCAAACCATGGTGTGCTCTGCAAAAATTACAATGTGGGAAAACTGTGAAGCCAGCCACTGCTTCCCCATAGCTTCATCCTTATTCCAGACATTGTGATATATCAGAATATCATGATGTTTAGCTGGTGATATATCACAAAGTTGAAAGCCAGATATAGCCATAGCTGTCAACTTTCAGATTTGAAAATAAGGGATCAGCAGCCTCACCCGTCCTGGGGACAGTCTATGGGATATCTAACAATCCAGGATAGCAGAAGGAAGCAGCAGGAAACAGCGCTGGAATAAGGGAATTTCCCGCAAAAAAGGGAAGGTTGATAGCTATGGATATAGCCCAGCCCTACTATTCGCTGCTACATAGTTCCAGACATTGTGATAGATCGGTATATCGTGATGCTGAAAAGCAGGTATCGACCCAAACCAAGTGTGAGGGCCCACCCTATTCCTGCAGTGGTGAAACTATCTTTAATACGGAATTTAAAATTGTAATCTCCCCTGGGACCTGCTGGTGAAGAGTGGGGAATAAATGTCACACGGATGGATGGCCCAGCAGGAAACCTGCCCCCCCCCCAGTGAGTGCAATTTTCCCCATTCTGACAGGGGATATTGCGGAGCTGGGGGAAATGGCAAAAAGGGCAGCCGGAATGATTCAGGGAGGTCCTAGAGGCCTCCCACCTCCTTCCCAAAACCTAGTTAGTCCTTCCCCAGCTTTGGGAAGGAGGTGGGAGGCTTCTAGGACCCTGGCCCTTCAAATAACCAGCTTTGGGAAGGCAACATGAGGGCTGGTGTGGGTGCGGAATCCCTGTTGTGTTCAGTGGGGCTTCCAGCCAAGTGGGTTTAGCAGGAGTGGGGGACCGGAGGCGGTCAATGGGCCAGATCCTTCTCTTTTTCCCCACAGGCCATGTAGACAGGTGGACAGGCCAATCCTCTCATAGCACCTTGACCCCAGGTGACCCATTTTTGCACAGCACAATGTACTATGCGCTCTATGTGGGGCTACCTTTGAAGGTGACCCGGAAACTACAAATACGGTAATCTAGAATGTGGCAGCTAGACTGGTGACTGGGAGCAGCCGCCGAGACCACATAACACCAGTCTTGAAAGACCTACATTTGCTCCCAGTATGTTTCCGAGCACAATTCAAAGTGTTGGTGTTGACCTTTAAAGCCCTAAACGGCCTCGGTCCAGTATACCTGAAGGAGCGTCTCCACCTCCATCGTTCTGCCAAGACACTGAGGTCCAGCGCCGAGGGCCTTCTGGCAGTTACCTCGCTACGAGAAGCCAAGTTACAGGGAACCAGGCAGAGGGCCTTCTCGGTAGTGGCACCCACCCTGTGGAACGCCCTCCCACCAGATGTCAAAGAGAAAAATAACTACCAAACTTTTAGAAGACATCTGAAGGCAGCCCTCTTTAGGGAAGCTTTTAATGTTTAATAGGTTATTGTATTTCAGTGTTTTGTTGGAAGCAGCCCAGAGTGGCTGGGAAACCCAGCCAGATGGGTGGGGTATAAATAATAAATTATTATTATTATTATTATTTCTAAAGCCTCAACTCTCTGCTGCTTTATGCAAGGGCCACGTCTTAACCTTCTCCACACTTGGCATCACGCATGACATACGGGGAGCAGGCAAGCATGGCTTGGCCAGACAGTGAGGCCTGGTGGCCTCAGTGGCCCGGAGTGCCTTCCATCAGCTTCAGCTGGTGGCCCAGCTACGCCCCTATCTGGACAAGGATAGCATAACTACCGTTGTCCATGCTCTGGTACCTTCAAGGTTAGATTACTGCAATGCGTTATACGTAGGGCTGCCTCTTATGACAGTTCGGAAACTTCAGGTCGTGCAGAATTCAGCGGCCAGGTTGCTCACCAGAGCAAGACGCTTTGAGCATATTACATCAATCCTGGTCTGACTGCATTGGCAACCGATTAGTTTCTGGGCCCAATTCAAAGTGCTGGTTTTGACCTATAAAGCCTTAAATGGCTCAGGACTGCAATACCTCTTTCCATATGAACCTACCCAGACCCTGAGATCATCTTCTGAGGCCCTCCTTCGCGTGCCTCCTCGAGAGGTTTGGAGGGTTGCAACATGAGAACGGGGCCTTCTCTGCAGTGGCTCCCCATCTGTGGAATGCTCTTCCCAGGAAAGTTCGCCTGGCGCCTTCATTGTACACTTTTAGGTGCCAGGCAAAAACGTTCCTCTTTAACCAGGCCTTTGGTTGATCTGATTTATATCCTATGCACTTTAAAAATGTGTTTTTTTGTAGGTGGGTGGGGGGCTACTGGGTTGTTGTTTTTATTTTTATTATGTATTCTGTGGTTTTATTTCTTGATTTTATTCTGTGAACCGCCCTAAGACCCCCAGGTATAGGGCAGTATATAAATAATAATAATAATAAGCGAACCTTCCCCCTCCGCAAGGGGACTGTTGGCGAACATTCCATAACATCAGGACAATGCTTAGAAGCAACTCTCTTATTTCTCCTTGCGGCGAATAAAGCCAACCCTCACGTGAATGTTTACTTCGTTCAGGATTTCTTTTGCAGCCACCGCCACCAAGACAGGATGGGCGGTTGGTCACAGGAAGGCATTCTACCTACCCCACCTTGTAAAAAATCCACTGCCTTTCCGCAAAGTCCCATTTCCAAAGGGCACATCTCCCCACCCCCATGAAAGATTCCTTGCTCAGACCATAAGAAGTTCAGCACAAGAAACATGAGCTGGAGTAACCCCTTACACGGAAGCTGATTGGTGCCCAGGGCACTTTCCCAGAATTCCAGTGGCTCTTTAGTCTGTTTTGGACATGGGGAGAAGGGGGGGAAAGAGAGCCAGTGCTGTGGATCCCACTCAAGCCCCACTCGCTCGACCCCCTCTTTTGGCTTCTGAGACACCTCCAAATATCATGTGTACGCATATCAACTTTCAAACCTATCTTGGCACAGATGAGGACTAGAAACTTATTTTGATTTTTTAAAAAAAGCCAAACTCATCAACAGGAGGCGGAATTCTTTGTCAGATCCCAATTTCGGCACATACATTGGGCAAAAGTTAGTAGTCCACAAACACAAAGTAATAAGTATACTCGGGAGACGGGCTAAGTTAGTCACGTGTGGAAAACGGCAGCGAAAAGCCGTTTTCGTAAAACGTCCATGCTAGTCGCTCGGGGCGCGTTAAGAATCGGGACCAAGCGAAAGGGCTTTTACAAACAAGGCGGACGGTAAGCCAGGGGTGCTGTCAGGGCAGAGCTTGAGGGCAGAGGTCCAGGGCCTACTCGGCAGAAGGAGCAGAGGAGAAGGCCTTCAAACACAGCAGGACTGGCTCGCCACATTTTGAAGTAATGCACTTTGCCATTTACAAAACAAAAACCGGAAAGTCCCATCGTGTCAAATTACCTCGTGCTATAAGTAGCCCCACTCGGTGTGGAGAAGGACACACATATGCCCCAACCTCACGTCCTTCTGCGTAGCGATCCTTTGAGCCGCTTCCGCCGCTTCCTCCTTCGCGGGAAGTCCGATTTCGGCCGGGCCGAAGCCTTTCCCACCCTCCAAGTGCTGCGGGTACAGTTTCTGCCTCGTGTGCCGCCTCTCGTGGGTGCTGCAGTGAGACCTCTGGCTGAAGCCCTTGCCGCAGTCCAGGCACTTGAAGGGCTTCTCCCCCGTGTGGGTCCTGCGGTGGCGGACCAGATCCGAGCGGTGGCGGAACGTCTTCCCGCAGTCCGAGCAGTTGTAGGGCCTCTCCTTGGCGTGCATCCGCTGGTGCCGGCCTAGAAGCGAGGGCTCGCTGAACTTCCGCCCGCAATCCGGACAGCGGTAGGGCTTGTCGCTGGCCGTGTGGGTCCTCTTGTGCACCACCAGGTTCGAGCTGTCGCTGAACCCTTTGCCGCAGTACGAGCACTTGTAGGGCTTCTCGCCCGTGTGGGTCCTCCGGTGGCGGACCAGGTACGAGTTCTGGCAGAAGCTCTTGCCGCAATCCAAGCACTGGTACAGCTTCTTCTCTGAGTGGATTCTCCGGTGTGCAATGAGGTTGGAGCGGTCGCTGAAGCTTCTCCCGCAGTGGAGGCACTGGAAGGGTTTTTCCCCCGTGTGGGTTCTCCGGTGTTTAAGGAGGTCAGAGCTCCGGCCAAACGCTTTCCCGCACTCGGTGCACACTTTCCTCCTCCGGTCCTTGTGGGTCCTCTCTTGAGCTGCCAGGTCGCCGAGTTTCGGGACAACTCCCGGACAGGCCACTGGTTTGCACTCCCCGTCTCCCAAGGGGACGTCGTGTGGATTCTCTGATTTGTGTTGGTTTTCAAAGGAGCCCAACTGCTCAGGACATAGGAAAGGGTTCTCTCCGTACGACCCGGAAGGCCCAGTTTTCTCGGAACATCTCATCCGAGGTTTCTCTTCTTCATTCTCGCTCGCCCACCCATCGCCTGCTGGGAATTAAGAGAAGGGAGAGACACATCGGTCATTCCTTGCAAATAAGAGAACTGAATGATGAACTGATTTCTTTATAGAACGCAAGGAGAGACTGGGCTGCTGAGCCAAGCCAATGACCCATCTCATCCAGCATAAATGTTCACAGATGCCAGGACAGATAAAATAACTTCTCCACGCGGCACACAGTTCATCTTTGGAACTTGGTTTCACAGGAGGAAGTGGTGACCACCAACTCAGATGACTTTAGAAGAGGCCTGGTCCTGAACGGGGTAACTGTGCCCTGAAGGACCAGGTGCGCAGTCTGGGAGTGATTTTGGACTCCCAGCTGTCCATGGATGCGCATGTCATGGATGGGCAGCTGTCTACCAGCTCCATCTGGTATGCCGGCTAAGACCATACCTGCCCGCACACTGTCTCTCTGGAGTGATGCATGCGCTGCAATGTGCTCTATGTGGGGCTACCTTTGAAGGTGACCCGGCAACTGCAACTAATCCAGAATGTGGCAGCTAGACTGGTGACAGGGAGTGGCCGCCAAGACCATATACTGTAACACCAGTCCTTGAAAGACCTACATTGGCTCCCGCTACATTTCTGAGCACAATTCAAAATGTTGGTGCTCAGTTTTAAAGCCTTTAACAGCCTTGGCCCAGTATACCTGAAGGAGCGTCTTCATTTTTGAAAGGTTCAGCCCGCCATCTTGATTCAAAATGGCATCCAGTGGTATCCATACACAACACCCTGCTCTTTTTCAAAATTTCGGGTATTTTGTGCAAAATTTGGCTGTGATATCCAAATGTGTCCAGATCAGTAGAGGATAAACAACTTTCCAAAATATATAGTAGAAATAAAATATCTTTTATTTCTCTCCACCCCCATCGTCCAGCCTGGACACTGAGGTCCAACTCTGAGGGCCTTCTGGCAGTTCCCTCCCTGCAAGAAGTGAGGTTACAGGGAACCAGGCAGAGGGGCTTCTCAGCAGTGGTGCCCGACCTGTGAAACTGGGCAAAGGCCTAGGCTGTGTTTTGTCAGAGTACCCTATTATATTTATTTATGAGAGCTCTGATATGCTGTGGGGGTATTTTAACCTCAGGCGATGAAAAACTAACACCCTGCAGGGGTTCCCAAGAAGAGTAAAAAAGGTAAAGGTACCCCTGCCCGTACGGGCCAGTCTTGACAGACTCTGGGGTTGTGCGCCCATCTCACTCAAGAGGCCGGGGGCCAGCGCTGTCCGGAGACACTTCCGGGTCACGTGGCCAGCGTGACATCGCTGCTCTGGCGAGCCAGAGCCGCACACGGAAACGCCGTTTACCTTCCCGCTAGTAAGCGGTCCCTATTTATCTACTTGCACCCGGGGGTGCTTTCGAACTGCTAGGTTGGCAGGCGCTGGGACCGAGCAACGGGAGCGCACCCCGCCGCGGGGATTCGAACTGCCGACCTTTCGATCGGCAAGCCCTAGGCGCTGAGGCTTTTACCCACAGCGCCACCCGCGTCCCTCTCCCAAGAAGAGTAAAATACCACAAAAACAAGAGAATATAATAAAACAGCTAGAATGTGATCAGTAAAAGAGAAATACCATTGCAAATTAAAAGCAAGGCTTTTTTTTTTAAAGAAGGCTTCGTAACTCACCAAAAGGGCAGGGGTGGGAAATGTGGCCCTCTGCGCACCTTTAACTGGCCCTCGGAACCTTCCTGAGGCCACACCCCCTGCACAGGGATGAGGAATACTTACCCATCGAGCTGCCATCGCTGTCTTGCTTTGCCTCCCTGTACAGCTGCCACAGTCCCGCATCTGATGGAGCCTGCTCCGCCTTGGGCATTTCCTGAAAAGGCTTTGAGATCTAGAACCACAAAGGAGAACAAAGAAGGTTTACGGAAGACACAAGGCAGAGTAAAGGAAAGGTTTCTTCACACAGAGAACAGAGTTAAACTGCAGAACTCCCTGCCACAATGAGGAGGAGGAGCCACCAACTTGGCTGGGCTTAAAATAGGATTCTAAAACAAATTCTTCACATGTTGAATGTGTAATTCCCGGGAAATCATTTCTGGTGATGGGTGTGTGTGTGTGTGTGTGTGTGTGTGTGTGTGTCTACATCCTAACACATACATAGCGCTGAAAGGTAAGTCAGGTCACAAGCAGTCCATATGAGATTCTAACATAACATTTAGTGAATTTTCTGATGTTGACCATCCTTTTGAAGCAGAAGGCAGTGCATCTGTAGAAAGGAGTGACTGAAGGTTTGGGTTGCTGCAACTCTAATAAATTCTTGACCTCTGTTGGGCCCTGTTCCAGCAGGAAGACACATGTTTGTATTTCAGGCAGATGATCCTAATCCAGGACTAATTCCTGATGCGGATGCTGTAGGAGTCACAGTTGTGTTAATCACCTGCACCTAAAGAGGTCAAGAATTTATTAGAGTTGGCTATTATGTGAACAACGAATACACTGAAACAGAACTGAGAAAAAATCCTCTGGTAAAACCAGATTTTTCTAAGCTCCAGAGGAATATTTTGGCATCTAACGCCAGGGTCACAAGATTCCACATTAATTGGGACGACAACACTGAAAAACTGACAGATGCAGAGAGCAGCAACCCAAACCTTCAGTCTCTCCTTTCTACAGACACACTGCCTTCTGCTTCAAAAGGATAGTCAACATCTGAAAATTCACTAAATGTTATGTTAGCATCTCATATGGACTGCATGTGACATGACTTACCTTTCAGCGCTATGTACCATAGATTCCGGCGTATTAGGTGACTGGGCGTATAAGACGATTTAGGGTCGATTTATATGCCTAGTCTTATGCGTGGCAGCTTCGCTGGGCAGCGGCAGTGGGTGGCAGGCTCCCCACCAGGAGGAAGCTCCCTGGTGAAGCTGCCCAGCAATGCTAAGCTGGCTTCGATGGGCGGCTTTCTCCCGGCGCGGAGCCCGTCGCCCATTGCCACTGCCCAGTGAACCTATTCCCGGCGTATAAGATGGCCCCCGAATTTTTGGAGGATTTTCCGAGATTAAAAAGTCGTCTTACACGCTGGAAAAGGTCCGTATAGTTAAAGCTATGGTTTTCCCAGTAGTGATGTATGGAAGTGAGAGCTGGACCATAAAGAAGGCTGATCGCCGAAGAATGGATGCTTCTGAATTCTGGTACTGGAGGAGACTCTTGAGAGTCCCTTGGACTGCAAGAAGATCAAACCTCTCCATTCTGAAGGAAATCAGCCCTGAGTGCTCACTGGAAGGACAGATCCTGAAGCTGAGACTCCAATACTTTGGCCACCTCATGAGAAGAGAAGACTCCCTGGAAAAGACCCTGATGTTGGGAAAGATGGAGGGCACAAGGAGAAGGGGGCGACAGAGGACGAGATGGTTGGACAGTGTTCTCGAAGCTACCAGCATGAGTTTGACCAAACTGCGGGAGGCAGTGGAAGACAGGAGTGCCTGGCGTGCTCTGGTCCAGTGCGTCACGAAGAGTCGGACACGACTAAACGACTAAACAACAAATACGCTGGAATCTACGGTATGTGTTAGGATGTAGACAGACTTAAAATAGGATTCAGCAGATTGAGAGGGGAGACGGTTGTCGATGGCTACTATGAGCCACAATGGCTATGCTCTCTCCCCGCTGCGGTTAGGGGCCCTGCTTCTGCCACCCTCCAAAGTCCTGAGGGGCGGAGAGCTGCCTCACCTGCTGCTCCCACCTCTTGGGCTCCCGGGGCCTCCTCAGGAAGCCCTCGGCCAGGGCCACCGCCTGGGCGCAGGTCTCCGGCCCCCATTCCCTCACCCAGCTCTGGATCTCAGGCGGCAGGATGGTCAGGAACTGCTCCAGGATCAGCAGCTCCAGGATCTGCTCCTTGGTGTGCCGCTCGGGCTCCAGCCATTGGTGACACAGTTCCCGCAGCCGGACACAGACCTCGCGAGGCCCCTCGGCCTCCCGGTAGCCGAACTGTCGGAAGCGCCGGCGCTGGGACTCGGCGCTGACCAGGCCTGGCCTTGAGCTCTCGGCCTTTAATTTCCCGCTGGCGCCGTCGCCCCTCTCTCTGCCTTCCGGAGGGTGTTGGGGGGCTGGCTGCAGCTCTCCCGAGAAGGGCCGGGCCGCCCAGTCCCCTCGGGGCCACATCCACGCATCGGCGGCTCCCTCAAAGGCCTTGCTGCTCTCCTCCCACGCCGCGGGCAGCTGTGGGTTGCCCCAGCCTGGGTGCGGGGACTGAACCGCCTTCAGGAACTCCTGCCAGGGACCGTCCCAGCCCTGCGGGATCCCGTCGCCCGGCTCCTGCTTGACTTGTTGTGACGCCGGCCATCGCAGGAGCTCCGCCGCCATGCTGGCCGGAACGCTTTTCCTGGCTCTTTTGTTGACGTCCTTGTCGGGTTTGGGGCCTGCTGCGTCGCCTTCCTCCTCGCCTGTTCTCTCTCCGGGCCGAGGCCCTTGCTCAAGCACTGGCTGGTAGGGAAGGGCTAAGGACATGGCGGCGCCACTTCCCACGGCGGCCATCTTCTCCCTCTCTCGGCCTAGAAATGTTAAGAAGGCAACAAAATCACCTCTCCAGAGCAGGCCTAGCTTAGCCAGGTCCTCGGTTTCCTACTGTGGGCAGCCTGACTACCTCGGAAGGTGGCAGGCTCTCTTTAAAGCAGAGGTTGGAGGGCCATTTGTCAGGGATCCTTTAGCTGTGGTTCCTGTGTTGCTGGGGGTTTGGCTAGATGACCGTTGGGGTCCCTTTAACTCAACAATAAAAAGCCTAATGGAGCTGGATATAGGAAGCTGCTTTATATACAATTGCACTATGGCAGCAGCTCTCCTGCGTTTCAGGTGAGGCCTTCCCAGCCATACTTGGACATGCCAGGGATTTAACCTGGAACCTTCTGCCTGAAGGGCAGAATCTCTAACTGTTCCTCCTTCTCCAGCATCTACAAATAATAAAACTACAGAGTTGGAGAGGGCCCAGAGTCATCAAGTCCAACCCTCTGCAATGAATGCAATTTCGGACACAGATACTTTCCTGTTAGATTATCACGGCTACTGGCGATCTAAAACCCTGTCCACCTTGAAAAACAGATTTAATTTAAGGAAGAGCTTTGAGTTGCTAACTATTATTATTGTCACTGATTTATTCATCGCCTTCTGAACCACCCTCTCATGGTGATTTATATACAGTGGTACCTCAGGTTACATACGCTTCAGGTTACATACGTTTCAGGTTACAGACTCCGCTAACCCTGAAATATTACCTCGGGTTAAGAACTTTGCTTCAGGATGAGAACAGAAATTGTGCAGCCACGGCGCAGCGTCAGCAGGAGGCCCCATTAGCTAAAGTGGTGCTCCAGGTTAAGAACAGTTTCAGGTTAAGAACAGACCTCCAGAACGACTTAAGTTCTTAACCTGAGGTACCACTGTATAAGGTAATTAAAAGCAGTTAAAAACAGACAAAGGTAACAAATAGGTTTATAACAAGACTAAAATCCCTAGCAAAGAAGACACTTGTGGTAAAGACTCCCTTTATCCAGCTGGGAAAACCTGTTGGAATAAAAATCTCTTCCACGGTTCCCCAAAGTGCAGATTGACAGGGATGCTATTCCACAGAACAGGGGCAGCCACACTACAGGCCCTGCTCTGAGCTTATGGACAGTGGGCTTCTGAGATCTTTGGAACTTGCAGTGATTTTTTCTCCAGACGGCAGCAATGTGCTGGGTACAGAAGGGATAAGGCGGTCTCTTAAGTTGTGGTACACGGAGACCGCAAGGAAGCTACCAGCATTTCTATTCTCTGGCAATGCTCCTGTGTTACTAACAGCCTCACACAGGGTGGGTTCAACAGGTGCAGCTCCCCATCCAGATCACTGGGCAATCAGATGTAAAAGTGACTGTGGGTTCCCTGTTGCAGTTACGCAGAAGGGGCCGACCGGAACCAGCACAGCTTGCAGAAGGGCAGTGCTTGGCATGTGACCTATGGGTCTCCATGTGCAGCACCGGCATTAAATGTTATCTTATGATGCCTCCTGTTTCCCTGCTCACTGCAGTCAATACCAAGCTATTTCTTTTGATTGATTTATTAAATTTGTCAGTCGCTTTATCTTGCCCAGGACAGCCCAAAGCAACTTAAACACTGACTGAAATGGGAGCTGCAAGGACCAATGGCCTGATTCAGAAAAAGGGCAGCTTCCTCTCTTCCTCAAGGTTAACCACAGCCATCAAATATATAAAAAAGCAAAACATAAAAGCCAACAGCAATCGAACCCTCAAAACAAAGCTGATCCAACTAAAAGGGGAAGGGAGTAAACAGCTCAGAGGCAGGACAGCTCAGAGGCAGGACAGCTGTTCTGCATGCAGAAGGTCCCAGGTAGGGCTGGGAGAGGGTGTTCCCTGCCTCAGACCCTGGAATGCATCAAACTAAGCTCTACTCATAACAGATCCACTCAAATGAATGAACCTAGATTAGTCATGTCTGTTCACTTTAGTGGATCTGCCTTGAGCAAGACTAGAAATGGCACCATGGGAGAACTGCTGCCAGTCAGTGTAGGCAAGTCTAAGGTAGATGGAGCAACTTGGCATAAGGCAGCTTCCTTTGTTCCTTTGCAACTTGTCCCCAAGGAACGAGAAACAAAATTAAATAAACTTGTAAAAAAAATCCCCTCTTCTGCACAATGGCAAAAAGACCCAGGAATCTCCCTTTCCTTGAGAAGGTACCTTCTAGGGAGTCAGACCACTGGCCCATCAAGCTAAATGCTGTCTACACGGACTGGCAGCAGCTCTGGAGGGTTTGGGGGCAAGGGACAATCCTACCTGGAGATGCTGGGGACTGAACCTGGCACCTCCTGCATGCAATACAGATACTCTACCCCGAGCTATGCCCCTTTCGGTGAGGATCAACTAGTAACATCTCCGCGCTTCACCTGCTGAACATCTGCCTGCTGCGCTAAAAAAAGAAGAACAACACACAGAAACCTGAGTTGGGAACCTGCGAGAGGAAAATGAGCAGCCAGAGATGGATGCAGGGTTAGTGACAGAAACAGCCCACAAATCCTAACCTGCAAAGGCATATATGCATTTTCAACCCCCACCCCCACTGCAGGATCCCTCCGCCCCCCACCCACCCAGGGGACCCCCCCCCATCTCCCCGCTCCCATTTCCCCAATCTCAAGGCTTTGCTTCCCCTCCTCCTCCTCCTCGCCCGCCCGCCCGTCTGCCCTTTGTCCTTCAGTGCAGAAGCGCCAGCTTAAGGCTCACCCTTGGAAGGCAGCACCCCCTCCCCCACGTGGGAGGCAGGAGGCGGGGCAGGAAGGAAGGAAGGAAGCCAGGAAGAAAGAGCCCTTCTCTATGGATCGCCTTCGCTTCCTGCTCCCGTGTTTTCCCGCGACTTGTCTAGGCCCACGCAGCTCTTTGGCCACGTTAACTCTTTCAGCACCACGGCACCGCAGGCACTTGGCCTCGACGGTCTCTCAAAGGAGGGGCAGCGAGTGATGCATGCCAAAAAATAAAAGTTTCCATTTTTATATGAAAATTTTGCAATTGACTTTGAACTCATCCTTCCTGAGAGAGATGAATAGCAAACTTACCCGCCCGACTGATATGTTTTGGATATTGTATGCACTGCAGGGATATTGATTTATTGGTTTTTGGTTTTAAATCATCACCTGCTTTTATCTACTATTTATTTCTTTTATCAGCTGCTTGTGATGTGTCAGTTTGTTGCTTTGATGTGTATAACCGTGTTTTGACACCTGTAATGCTCCCCCCCCTTTTGTGTTTTAATAATAATAATAATAAATTGACCTAAAACAAACAGGCAGTTGGAAGGAGCCCCAGGGTTCATCTTGTGGGATGTAAAGCTGCAGTCAAGTTCGACATTCTGACAGAGGACTAACAGCCTCCATGTTCTAACCTGTTGCTGTGACAACCAGTTTGTCGGTTGCTGGTAGTTTTGAAAGGTAACTGCTCAGCTGCAGTCACCTCAGGACCAGCTTCCCTCTGGTGTACTTCATTTGCTTGTTACCGTATTTTTCGCCCTATAGGACGCACTTTTTCCCCTCCAAAAATGAAGGGGAAATCTGCGTGCGTCCTATGGGGCGAATGCAGGCTTTCGCTGAAGCTTGGAAAGCGAGAGGGGTCGGTGCGCACCGACCCCTCTCGCTCTCCAGGATTCAGGAAGCTATCCACAAGCCTTGGGAGCCCGGTGGGAGTTCCCGCAGGGCTGTCTAGGCTGCAGATAGTAGCCTGTTTCCCGGAGCGCCGGGCGCGCTGAAAGCAGAGCGCCTTGCGCTTCGGGAACACATCCACAGCCTAGGCAGCCCTGCGGGAGGTCCCGCAGGGATGTCTAGGCTGCAGATAGCAGCCTGCTTCCCGGAGCATCGGGCGCCCTGAAAGCAGAGCGCCCGGCGCTTCGAGAACACAGTTCCCCGCAGGGCTCCCCATGCTGCGGATAGCAGCCTGCCGCCCGGCGGGCGGGGCACCCTGAAGCAGAGCGCCCCTCGCGCCGGACAGACATCCGCAGCGTGGGGAGCCCTGCAGGAGTTCCCCGCAGGGCTCCCCACGCTGCGGATAGCAGCCTGCCGCCCGGCGGGCGGAGCGCCCTGAAGCAGAGCGCTCCTCGCGCCGGGCAGACATCGGCCAGCCCCACAAGCTCGGGGGACAGCAGGGAGGCGCAGCGCCGCCATCCCGCTGTTCCTCGACCTGGTTCGGCTTCCCCAACCTGCTTTTGGGGGGGAAATAAAGGGGGGATTTCCTCTATTCCCCCCCAAAAAAACTAGGTGCGTCCTATGGGACGAAAAATATGGTATGTGACCTTAGCCTGCCTTCAGGTACAGTTCTATAAACCGGAATGAATCTGAGACTAAAATAGTTTCATGTTACCATGAATCAGATTTCTGTGTGTACAGTGGTACCTCGGGTTACATACGGTTCAGGTTACAGACTCTGCTAACTCAGAAATAGTACCTCGGGTTAAGAATTTTGCTTCAGGATGAGAACAGAAATCGCACGGCAGCAGCGGGAGGCCCTATTAGCTAAAGTGGTACCTCAGGTTAAGAACAGTTTCAGGTTAAGAACGGACCTCAGGAACGAATTAAGTTCTTAACCCGAGGTACTATTTCTGGGTTAGCGGAGTCTGTAACCTGAAGCGTATGTAAGCTGAAGCGTCTGTAACCCGAGGTACCACTGTATTCTTTAAGAGGGATTCAAAGGGATTTTTAACCAGGAAGGCATCTTTATCAGTAGATCTCAGACGAGTCAGCAACAAGCCGATCGCTGCGTAAACTTATAAAGGGGATTGTTTAACTCTGCTAAAGGAAACCTTCCCACAATTGTATGCACTGCAGGGATATTGATTTATTGGTTTTTGGTTTTAAATCACCACCTGCTTTTATCTTCTATTTATTTCTTTTTTGAAAGTTGTATCAGCTGCTTGTGATGTGTCAGTTTGTTGCTTTGATGTGTATAACATTGACAGATGTATTGCTTTCCCCCCTTTTTTGTTTTAATTTTTTTTTTTAAAAAAAGATTGACCTAAAAGAAACGGGCAAGTTGGAAGGGACCCCAGAGATCATCCAGCCCAACCCACTGCAATGCAGGAATCTCAGCTAAAGCATCCATGACAGATGGCCACCCAACCTCCAAGGAAGGAGAGTCCACCACCTCCCGAAGGAGTCCTTTCCACTGCTGAACAGCTCTGACTGTCAGAAAGTTTTTCTGTGTGTCCATCGACTCTGCACGGGGTGGGGGCTTCAGATCAGCCATGATGAAGCTCACTGGGCGAGCACCGGCTCTCTGCCTAACCTACCTTGAAGGGTTGTTGTGGGGCATAGCTGTCAACCGTCCCTTATTTGGCGGGAAACTTCCTTATCCCAGCGCCGTGTTCTGCTGCTGTCCCTTATTGATGATGTCCCTTAAATTTCCCGGGAAGCAGCGGCTCGGGGTCCTCCGCCGAGAGAGAGTGCGCGCACGAGCTGCCGCATCTCCGTCTCTCCCAAGGAGACAGGCCGGTGTGGGCAAGAGTCTCCCACCCTCCCTCTCTCTCGGGGCAGGGAAGGGCCGATGGAACTCCTCGCGCCAGGACCGCGCCAGTCCCGACGTACTGCTTAGCATCCCCTCCAACCAGTGCAGCATCTTAATGTAGTGATTTCCCCCTCTGCATCCCTTTCATAACTCTATTTTTATAAATCATTTGTCCACCCGTAGTTCAAATTTTTACTACAAGTTTTCTGTCAGTCCTACCAATGTATGTAACTCTTGACAATAGCTTTTCAACTAAATTATAAACTTTCCCCATTCTTTATTAAAGAGGTCCTCTTCCTGGTTTCTAATTCTGCCTGTAAGCTTTGCCATCTCGAGGTCGTTCATCAGTTTTGTCTGCCACTCTTCTCTGGTGGGAGTTGTAGACCCTTAGGATCATCTAGTCCAACCCCCTGCAAAACACTGTCAGTCGCAGCAAAAGCAGCCTGGCTCCATCAGTGGCGGATTTCTGTAATATAAGCCAAGCAAAATCCCTTATTTTCGCTGCTGATCCCTTATTTTCGAGGTTGCTGGTCCCTTATTTTCAAATCTGTAAGTTGACAGCTATGTTGTGGGGGGGGGGTGGAAATGAGGAGGGAGAGAACTGCCTACGCTGCGTTGAGCTCCTTTGGAGGAAAAAAAGGGGGGAATATAAATGCAATAAATAAAACATCTTGACCGAAGCGCTACCAAGGGATGGATTTCGAGAACCTGCGAGTCAGAATGGGGCGGGGGGGGTGTCCTTCTCTGCAAACAAAAAAAAGCTTGCAAAAAAGTGCTGTTGGGGACAACCAACTTTGCACGGCTCCAGCCAGCAGGGGGCAGGTGGGGAAACCGGCCGATCGCCCGGGAAAATTGCACTTTGCACTTTCCCAGGAATCCTACCAAGGCTCCTCCTCTTCCTCCCTCCCTTCCTTCTTCCATCCCTCCATTTCTCCCTCTCTCTCCCTCCCTGTTTCTTTCTCTTCTTATGTAAGATCCATGTGGTTCAGCGCCTAGGCTTGCAATCTGAAGTCGTCCTTGCAAATATAAATAAACCGTAAGTCAGGAGACTCTTCTCCTCGCCCCTCGGTTTTCCAATAGGGCGCGTTTTATTTGCTATTTCAAGCAATGCTGGTTGATGCGCAGGTGAGACAGAACTGGGGAGCTGGGCGGATGCCGCTTCCAAGTTTTTAACACTTGCAAAGCAGCAGCCAACTAAGGAAAAACTCAAGAATATTGAGTCAGACCATCGGTTCACCTCGCTCAGCGCTGCCTGCGCAGACTGGCAGCGGTTCTCCAAGGTATCTGGTATCTCCAGTTAGGGCTGAGACACTCCCTGCCCAAAATCCTGGAGAGCTGCTGTCGGTCAGTGTGGACAGTATTGAGCTAGGTGGACCAGTGGCTCGTTCCATAAAGCTGCCTCTATTCCCAGAGGAGTTGTATAATGCTCCAACCATGCAAGGTTGACACCCTCTCTCTCTCTCTCTCTCTCTCTCTCTGTGTGTGTGTGTGTGTGTGTGTGTGTGTTTGCTTTCCTTTCATTAGCTAAGCCAGGAGCTCCTGGTCCCAGTCAGTGAAGCACTTCTTTAGAGCATAGCTGTCAACTTCGGAATAGGATTTTCCTTTAAAAAAGGGGGAAAGTTGACAGCTATGCCTTAGAGCAAGATTGCCCTTGTATGTTTGCAGCCAACTCCATCACCTTTGCCACAAGTGGCTAAAGCCAGAGACACACCAAGACTCAGATCCTGGACTTTGCGATCCTGGAGCAGTTCCTGGCTCTCCTCCTCCCGAAGATGGAGAACTGGGTGATGGGATGCAGAAAGGAGACCAGTTCCCTGGCCAAAGGTTTCCGCCTGAGCCGGGCAGAGGACATCAAGCAGGAGGAGGAGGAGCAGGTGAGAGATGGCTTCATCCAGGTGCTTACGCTTTAGGTCAGTGGTTTTGAATACAGTGGTACCTTAGTTCTCAAACGCCTTGGTACTCAAACAACTTGGAACCCAAACACTGCAAACCCGGAAGTAAGCGTTCCAGTTTGCGAACTTTTTTCAGAAGCTGAACATGCTCCATTTTGAATGCCATACTTCCGTTTTGAGTGTTACGCTGAGGTCTGCCTGTTTTTGCTATTTAATTTGCATTTTTGTTTTTGTGGCTCTTTTTTTGTGACTGTGTGGAACCCAGTTCAGCTACTGATTGATAGTGTGACTGCAGTACATAGTTTATTGCTTTCATTTTATGGATCAATGGTTTCGTTAGATAGTAAAATTCAAGTTAAATTGCTATTTTAGGGGTTGTTTTTAAAGGTCTAGAACAGATTAATCCATTTTGCATTACTTTCTATGGGAAAGCATGTGGGGAGGTTTACTTTAGCAGAGTTAAACAATCCCCTTTTTAAGTTTATGCAGCGATCAGCTTGTTGCTGACTCATCTGAGTTCTACTAATAAAGATGCCTTCCTGGTTAAAAATCCCTTTGAATCCCTCTTAAAGAATACACACACAAATCTGATTCATGTTAATACAGCCATACCTCGTGTTACGTCCACTTCATGTTACGTTCTTTCAGGTTACGCCCCGCAGCAACCCGGAAGTACCGGAAAGGGTTACTTCTGGGTTTCGCTGCTCACGCATGCGCAGACGCGCAAAATGACATGCGCATGCGCAGAAGCAGCAAATCGCAACCTGCACAGGCGCGCCGCTGCGGGTTGCGTTCTTTTCAAGTTGCGAACTGGCCTCTGGAACGGATCCTATTCACAACCAGAGGTACCACTGTATAAAACTATTTTACTCTCAGATTCATTCAGGTTTACAGAACTGTACCTGAAGGCAGGCTTAGGTTACATAACAAGCAAATAGACTATACCAGAGGGAAGTTGGTCCTGAGGTGACTGCAACTGAGCAGTTACCTTTCAAAACTACCAGCAACCGACAAACTGGTTCTCACAGCAACCGGTTAGAACATGGAGGCCCTTAGTCCTCTGTCGGAATGTTGCACTTTACTGCATCTTTACATCCCACAAAGCGCGCCTTGGTTTTGGAATGCATTGGTTTTGGAACGGACTTCCGGAACGGATTAAGTTTGAGAACCAAGGTACAGTGGTACCTCTGGATGTGAACGGAATATTCTAGAAAGAACTTGAGGATTGGTCTAGGACAGGTTGCTAGGCAACAGAAAAATCTCCCCAGCGACGGGTGCCTTTATTAAGGGCATGTGGTCAATAAAGGTCAGTCAGTGTGTAAACGAACAGAAGTGCAAATGAGTCAGCAATTGAGTTTCTGGCCAGATGGCTAGAGGAGAAGGAATTGTGTTGCTTTATTTGAGCAATGTACTTTTTTTGTAAAATAATAATAAAGATTCTCTGTAGAAAGAAACTCTGCTGTAAGCCTTAAAAGAATAAAACCCAAGAGTAGGTGCAGAGCATACCTACCATAGCTAGAGGCCTTCAATAGCTCTCTCCTCCAATAATTTGTCTAATCCTCTTTTAAAGCCGTCAGAGTTGGTGGCCATCGCTGCCTCCTTGGTGGGGGTGTGTGACCCCCCCGGTGGGCGGAGCCAGAAGCAAAAATTGGGTGGAACAATGAATGTGACTCTTAACTTTGGTATAGTAAGCATCGTTCTAGCTCTGCAAGCAAGAGACATGCTCACATTTCAAGTGGTATGTTCCAACCGGGGGAAAGCCCTTGAGGAGGTGTGGCCTTGGAGGGGGGTTTAGAGGGCCAGGCAGAGAGGTCTGGAGGTCCACATTTAGCCTGAGGTGCCCCCCGTTATTGCAAAGGTCTAAAATGCCCTCCGACCTTCTTTTGTCTCCCTTGCAGATGGTGAAAACAACAGAACCACAGAATTGCAGAACTGGAGAATTGGAAGGGGCATCTAGTCAGACGCCCTGCGATGCAGGAATTGCAGTCCTGGTCTTGTGGCCGCCACCCCCAGACAAAAGCCCCTGTTCCGTTGCAAAAATGATGGTGACGTTTTCTTCCAGACCGTCTCCTTCTCTGTGTGGAGCAGAAACTGTTTCTGGAGAGCTGCTGAATCGGGTGCAGGAAGAAGGAATGGAGAGCTGTGCAGGATCTGCCCCTTCCCCTCGGCTTCTGGTACAGTTGCCCGATGTGCAGGCTTTGAATGCTCTGCATCAGGCATAGGTAACCTTGGCCCTCCAGATGTTTTGGGACTACAACTCCCATCATCCCTAGCTAACAAGACCAGTGGTCAGGGATGATGGGAATTGTAGTCCCAAAACATCTGGAGGGCCGAGGTTGCCTATGCCTGCTCTGCATAGTTTCTGTTTTCTTTTTGCAACTCTAATATGTTCTTCCTTAGCTGCAGAAGAACTTTGGAAGAGCCTGGCTGCAAAGATCAGGCCAATGGCCAGCCAGATGCCATAGTGAGAAAGCCTGCAAGCAAGACATGAGCTCAACAGCCTCGCTCTCCCCACTTGTGATTCCCAGCGCCTGGTATTCAGTCCCATTGACATCTTTAGGATTTCCTTTCAGTAAGAACATACAAAGAGCTGACTGGATCAAGCCAAGAGCCCATCTAGTCCAGCATCCTGTTCTCACAGTGGCAGTTTCCAAGCACAATACAAAGTGTTGGTGCTGATTTTTAAAGCCCTAAACGGCCTCGGCCCAGTACACCTGAAGGAGCGTCTCCACCCCCATCGTTCTGCCCGGACACTGAGGTCCAGCTCCGAGGGTCTTCTGGCGGTTCCCTCACTGCGAGAAGTGAGGTTACGGGGAACCAGGCAGAGAGGGCCTTCTCAGTAGTGGCGCCTGCCCTGTGGAATGCCCTCCCACCAGATGCCAAGGAAATAAACAACTATCTGACTTTTAGAAGACATCTGAAAGCAGCCTTGTTTAGGGAAGCTTTTAATGGTTGATGTTTTATTCTATTTTCAATATCTGTTGGGAGCCACCCAGAGAAGCTGGGTGGACTCAGCCACATGGGCAGGTGGTATTATTATTATTATTATTATTATTATTATTATTATTATTATTATTATTATTATTATTAACCAGATGCCCCAATGCAGGAAATGAGCACAACAGTGATGCTCTCTCTACCCTTCCCAAAAGTGGTATTCAGAGCGCCTTTGAAAAGCTTTATTAGCTACCAATGATGCTTGGAAAGAGGATTAAACAAATTCAGGGAGGATGAGGCCACTGGTGGCAACGAACCCTGACGGTTGTGGACCGGGCAATAATGCTTCTGAATACCAGTTGGTGGAAACCACAGGAGAGGAGAAGGCTCTTCTGCTCAGGTGCTGCTTGGGGGTTTTGTACAGATTTATGTCTTGCCAAATGCAAGGTGGTTCTTTTAAAATGAGATCCAGAAGCAAGACGAAATACACAAGTGAATGAGAAGATTAAATACAGTGGTGCCCTGCAAGACGAATGCCTTGCAAGACGAAAAACTCGCTAGACGAAAGGGTTTTGCGGTTTTTGAGCTGCTTCGCAAGACGAATTTCCCTATGAGCTTGCTTCGCAAGACGAAAACGTCTTGCATTTTTTTGCAGGTTTGTTTCCTTTTTCTTAACACCGTTAATACAGTTGCGACTTGACTTCGAGGAGCAACTCATAGAACGCGGTGTGGTAGCCTTTTTTGAGGTTTTTGGTGATTTTTGAAGCTTTTCCAAAACTTTCCCGACACCGTGCTTCGCAAGACGAAAAATTCGCTAGACGAAAAAACTCGCGGAACGAATTAATTTCGTCTTGTGAGGCACCACTGTATTTCATTCTGAAACAGCAAGCAATGTATACAGACCAAGCAAACACTTCAATCTGCCACTTGGAAGCCCTCGAGAAGCAGCAAAGCGACTCCCCAGGTAGCCTCCGTTTGCACGGATCTGCGGCCGATCAGTCCGTGCACGAAATTCAGAGAAACCTAGCCCAGACCATCTGATTTTATAGATAGCCTGTGTGGCGACTGGCTACGTGCAGATCATCCATTAGCCATCCCCTTCCAATACCTCACTTTCTAAAGAACAATGTCCAACATCAAAGAAGGTACCTAGCATTATCCTCCCAACTGATTATGGCAGCTGTGTGTGGGGCTTTACCGCCTCCCAGCATTCTCAAGACATTAAAGAATGTTCCCACGCCATCAAAAAACTTAACAAGAGCAAGGAAGGGGGAAGGAACGGAGGCAGGAAGGGTAACCGTGTCAGATCACTAACTCCTCAATACATTCGAAATAAATAAAATTTAAAAATTGTCCTGTAGAATCTTAAAGACCAACTAAGTTTGTTCTGGGTATAAGCTTTCGTGTGCATGCACACTTCTTCAGATTCTTCACAAAAGTTTACACCCAGAACAAACTTAGTTGGTCTATGGTGCTACTGGACATTTTTAATTTTATTTATTTATTTCGACTGTGTCAGACCAACACGGCTACCTACCTGATCCTCAATACATTTTTTGTCTTCCAAGTGCATTTCCCATACAGTATGTAGGTAGCCATTGTGAAAACGGGGAGCTGGAGTAGATGGGCTATTGGCCTGATCCAGCAAAGCTCTTGACATGTTCTCCAGCAAGGGTGACTGCTTTTCCAGGGAGAAACTGACCTTGTCTAGTAGCCACAACGGCTATGTTCCACCTCCATGATCAAAGGCACCATAACTCAGAAGTAACATTTGCTGGGGAGCAAGAGAGGGCTCTTGTGCTTAGGTCCTTCATCCTACTGGGGCTTCTGGGCTCTTCAGACATCCTTTGGCTTCCGCAGGGGAATCTGCAGTCACCTCGCCTTAACCTCCTCTTTGGATTGCTAAATCACCTGTGAGATAAAGCTCTTCCCCTTTTTGTGCTTTCAGGGCCCTGTGACCTTTGAGGATGTGACCGTGCATTTCACAGAGGAGGAGTGGGCCCTTCTGGATCCGGGCCAGAGGGCCTTGCACAGAGAAGTCATGGAGGAGAATTACAGGAATCTGGCCTCTCTGGGTTAGTAAACCTCCTTCTCTTAGCCTGAGGTTCCCCACCTACTCAGGACAGCATCATAAGATCATAGCACCAGGTCTCAGTTGTCCCTGCTGCTTTTGAGCTCTGCTGACAGAGGCGCTAAGGATGAAATGTGTGACCTGATACATACTGAGGGCTTTGTTGTTGTTGTTTAGTCATTTAGTCATGTCCGACTATTTGTGACCCCCTGGACCAGAGCACGCCAGGCACTCCTGTCTTCCACTGCCTCCCGCAGTTTGGTCAAACTCATGCTGGTAGCTTGGAGAACACCGTCCAACCATCTCGTCCTCTGTCGTCCCCTTCTCCTTGTGCCCTCCATCTTTCCCAGCATCAGGGTCTTTTCCAGGGAGTCTTCTCTTCTCCTGAGGTGGCCAAAGTATTGGAGCCTCAGCTTCAGGATCTGTCCTTCCAGTGAGCACTCAGGGCTGATTTCCTTCAGAATGGATACGTTTGATCTTCTTGCAGTCCATGGGACTCTCAAGAGTCTCCTCCAGCACCATAATTCAAAAGCATCAATTCTTTGGCGATCAGCCTTCTTTATGGTCTAGCTCTCACTTCCATACATCACTACTGGGAAAACCATAGCTTTAACTATACAGACCTTTGTTGGCAAGGTGATGTCTCTCCTTTTGAAGATGCTGTCTAGGTTTGTCATTGCTTTTCTCCCAAGAAGCAGGCGTCCTTTAATTTCCGAGGGCTAGATACAACTAAATAGTTATGCTAGTGGGATGTAAAATGAACCCCACAAGTGCCGTGGGTCTATTTTTCTCCTCTCTTCTACTTGTGTGCCCCTCCAAATCAGTTCTGGCAAGTTGGGAGAACCTCAGGCACAACACGAGGGGATTAGGAGAGGTAAGATTTTGTTGCTTGGCAAGTGTGATGTCAAATTTGCTCTGGGCTTCCAGAGCTCTATAAATACACAACCTTTAATTTTGAGGGTCTGATCTACAAAGCAAATTTATCTGATCTACTAAGACGCCACTGATTTTGGCAGCAGATGCAAAGAGATGAAGGATGGGGGGCAGCCCAGTGCTCTGATGAGGATGAAACCCTACTCCTTCCTGCTTCTCAGAATGATTTGAGGACTCCTAGCCCAGCTGATATGCACAGTTCAGGTGTGAGGGGTGTGTCCTGTGTGTGTACATGCAAGGCTGTATGTGTGAGAAAGACAATGTGGAGTGGCCATGCTCATCTTTGGCCACACTTACCGTATTTTTGCTCCATAGACGCACCTGACCATAAGACGCACCTAGTTTTAGAGGGGGAGAACAAGGGGGGGAATCTCTCCCTCTCTGCGCAGCGCCCCTTCAGCGAAGCAGCAAGAGAAGCGGAGCCCCTTCCATTTCTCCTCCTGCTTCGCTGAAGGGGCGCTGCGCAGAGAGGGAAAGCTGTGCAGCACCTCTCCAGCGAAGCAAAGCCAGGAGAGCAAGAGGGATCGGTGCACTCCGTAGGCTTCGCGTTGGTTTCGCTGAAGCCATGGAGCCTGCATTCGCTCCATAAGATGCACACACATTTCCCCTTAATTTTTGGAGGTGGAAAAGGGCGTCTTACAGAGCGAAAAATACGGTACCTTCGGCATGCGGCCCGCAGGAGTATTGATCAAGGGTGAACGCGGCCCAGTCTTAGTGCCCATCAACAGTGGCTGCCCCCTGACTTTCCTTCCCCTTCTGCTTTTCACACAAACATTAATTGGGATTGTTCTCGAACTTTGGTGTCCGTTCTTCCCTGATCAGGTCTCCCTTTGTATTCCTGCAGGTGATGAGAGGGAGAGCAGTGAAGAGAATGAACCCCAGGGAATTAAAACTGAAGCAGAAGAGAATTTGAGGAAGGACACTGTTGTTCCAGACGGTGCTGGCTTCAATGAAACTCTGATGTTGGAAAAACATCATACAGGCAAGAAACAGGAAAACGCCTCTCCTTGTGTAAGAAACCCAGCTAGAATATTGAATCCCAGCACCCTTGGAAGAAAACATAATGGGGATAAACTGTTTCAATGTTCAGAGTGTGAAAGGAGCTTCAAGTACAAGTCACTTCTTCATCTACATGAAAGAATCCACACAGAAGGGAAACCCTATAAATGTTCAGAGAACAGAAAGAGTGTCCGTCTGAGCTCCAAGCTTCCTGCTCATCAACAAATCCACACTGACGGGGAACCATATAAGTGCTCAGTGTGTGGAAATAACTTCGCTGATAGCAATAAACTGTCTAAACATGAAAGAATCCACACAGAAGGGAAACCACATAAATGTTCAGAGTGCGGAAAGTGTTTCCGACAGACCTACAACCTTTTTAATCATCAAAGAATCCACACTGGAGAAAAACCATATAAATGCTCAGAGTGTGGAAAGAGCTTCACAGACCGTAGTGGCCTTACTCGTCATCAGAGAACCCACACAGGAGAGAAACCACATAAATGTTCCAATTGCGGAAAGTGCTTCAGCCGCTACAGTCACCTTCTTAGTCATCAAAGAATCCACACAGGGGAGAAACCGTATAAATGCTTGGAGTGTGGAAAGGGCTTTGCTCAGAGCTCTGCGCTTCTTTCTCACCGAAAAGTCCACTCAGGAGAGAGACCGTTTAAATGTTCTGAGTGCGAAAAGTGTTTCCGTCTGAGCTCCAAACTTCTTGATCATCAGAAAATCCACACTGGAGAAAAACTATATAAGTGCTCAGTGTGTAAAAGCAGCTTTGCGTACAAGAGACACCTTTCCTTACACGCAAGAATTCACACAGGATAAACTATATAAATGCTTAGAGTGTGGAAAGAGCTTCACTTAGAGCTGTGTGCTGTTAAATAAAGAATCCATTCTGGAGGGAAACAGTATAAATGCTCAGTGTGTGGGAAAAGCTTAAGAGATCATAGTAGCCATTCTCGTCATCAGAGAAGCCACATAGAAGCCACATAAATGTTCCAACTGTGGAAAGTGCTTCAGCTGGAATAGTGACCTTCTTAATTATCAGACACTCCATACATGTGAGTTTGGGGAAAGCTTCAGTTGTAGCCAAACCCTTGCTTTACACACAAGGGAGAAAGCATTTCCATGTTCAGAGAGTGGAAGTATTTCGACCATGTTACTAACTACCAAAGGGCCCATACAGGTGAGAAGCTGTATAAATGTTCAGAGTGTGGAAAGAGCTCAACCAAAGCAATAGCCTCCTTAACCACAAAATAATCCATTTTGCGGACAAAGAATATCATTGGGATGTGGAAAGGGCTTCAGCTGAAGGGTACGTCTTAATATGGAATGCGGGTGGCACTGTGATCTAAACCACTGAGCCACTTGAGCTTGCAGATCATAAGATTGGTGGTTTGAATCCTCACGATGGAGGTGAGCTCCCGTTGCTCTATCCCAGCTCCTGCCAACCTAGCAGTTTGAAAGCATACCAGTGCGAGTAAATAAATAGGTACCACTGCGGTGGGAAGGTAAATGGTGTTTCTAGGCACTCTGGCAATCATCACGGTGTTGTGCCAGAAATGGTTAAGTCATGCTGGCCTCATGACGCAGAAAAGCTGTCTGCAGACAAACGCCGGCTCCCTCGGCCTGAAAGCGGAGATGAGCGCTGCACCCCCATAGTTGAATTTGAATGGACTTAACCATCCAGGGGTCCTTTAGTGCACATCAGAAACCCCATACAGGAGTGAAATCATATAAAGGTCCATTGAATGGAAAGAGCTTCAGCCACGTTGGTGGCTTTAGTTTCCATCAGTGAGTCCACACCGGAAAAGAACTATATACAGTGGTACCTTGATTCTCGAATGGCTTGGGTCCCAAACAAATCTGCTTCTGAACATTGCAAAGTAAGTGTTGTGGTTTGCGAATGTTTTTCGGAAGCCGAACGTCTGACGTGGCTTCCATGGCTTATTGAGTGCAGGAAGCTACTGCAGCCAATCAGAAGCCGTGCCTTGGTTTTTGAACAGTTTTGGGAGTTGAATGGACTCTGGAACGGATTAAGTTCGACAACCAAGGTACCACCGTAGTTGCCATGGAAAGAGTTTTCAGGTGAGCAGAGTGGTTGCGTATCACCACCAAATCCTCACAAGGGAACAAGTCATTTAAATCCTCAGTCAGATGTGGTATCTGTCACAAGGAAAGCACTTACACAGGAAAGACCATAGTCTCTTTTGCACATAACGCCAAAGCGTGGTTAACAGAAGAAGAGCTTGCTGGATCAGGAAAACGGATCCTCTCCACTCTTGTGGTTTCCTGCAAGTAAGGACAGAACATTGCTCACAGCACAGCCTCCATCCTCCTCCATTGATGGACTTGCCCTCCTTTAATTTCTCTATACCTCTCTTAAAGCCATCCAAATTGGTGGCCGTCACTGTTTCCTGCTGGAGTGAGTTCCACAGTTTATCTATGTAAAATAAGTACTTTCCTTTCTTTACCTGTCCTGAATTTTCCAGCTTCATTGGATATCCACAAGATTTCGTGTTGTGTGAGAGGGATAAAAACTTTCCTCTATCAACTTTCTTCCTGCCATGCATAGTTTTGCAAACGTCTGTCATATCATCTCTTGCTCGCCTTTTTCTATAAATGATGTTTTATTAAACCATGGCTTAGTGATATCTGTGAAACTAACCCAGCAGTTTAACTATGGTCTGTTATTAAAAGTCAACAAAAGTTTGTAATCCTCATTTGACATTAGCCAGGGGTTTGTGTTATATTTGAATGCAGGAATTTACTGCTAAAAGCTACAGAGCCATGAAGAGGGGCCAACAATGGAAATGGTTGTCAAGGTTTGGCTGCTCTGATATTAAGTGAATTTCTGCCCAGTGCCTCGGCTTCAGCTATGGCTTGTTAACTATGGTTCACCTTAGTTATGTGAGAGCCAAGCCAGTGAATCCTAGGAATGTTGGCAGCATGGAATGATCATGTCAAAAGATTCACACCTAAGCAACATCCTATAAATAACTAAGACCAAAGTGTTTTTGAGCAATTGAACACTAGTCCAGGATATCAAAGTGATGTCTGGGAGGAATTTCCAGATCTTCGGTAATCAAACTGAAAAATTATGTGTTGTTTGGCATTTTTGTAAAAAAAAAAGCTAAACTTTGGGGGTTTGGTTTTTTTAAAAACAAAGTTTGATAATATTTGGGTCTTCCTAGCAAAAACTCAGCAACTTTTACTTTTTGAAATACGGCAATTCTAACACTAGTAAGAAGCAGAGGGAACATCAGGGTGGTGGACCATAGTCAGCCTGTGGCAGAAACACAGGCCAATTGTCAATTTCAGCCGTATCCCCTTACATCTCCCACATGCTCCTACTGAAATATATTTTAAAAACCAGGTATTCACGAAGAAAGGGGCATGGATAGCAAACGGGTTCAGAAGTGGCAACAGCATAATTACAGTTTGGGGAGAGAGGAAGTCAAGTAATATGTTTATAAGGTTGGAAGTTTAAATAATTAAGCTAATTGGTGTTGTTTATCTGTTTGTTGTTATATTGTTTTTTTACTTTCTTTTGTTTTTTTTGGTTGTGCAACGTTTGTTGCAGTATGTGTTATATTTGTATAAAACTTAATAAAAATTATTGGGGGGGAAATAAATAAAGTTTGGGGAGCGAGAGACAGAATAGTTCATCTCTTCTTTCATATTGACAGTGACTTCCTCCAAGGAAATGTTTCGGATTAAACCATGTGGAGGCCCTTAGGCCAGCTGAAATCTCGGGGAGGAGCCTTGCAAATTATCTCCTAATAACCTTTTTTATTCTACCAATCAACAATTTTAAAAAACCATATCAATATTACTTTGATCCGTTGTTATAGGGCCTCTAAAAGGTCTGGGGCCCGTAGGCTGGGGCCTGCTCTGCCTTCTTGGTAACCCGGCACTGTGTTTCAGCTGTGCAAGAGAGGGAAGGAAGCCAGCCATGAAGTAACTCCTCAGGAGATGGGCCGCAGCTGAGTATGCACAATGTCAGATCTGTTCAGATCCCCACACATCTTGGCCAGCCTTCCCCGCAGGGTTGTTGTGCATGTTGGTAGGGAGAGCCCTGCATGGCACTAGGCGGTCCCTGGTGGAGTTTAAATACAATCCACTAAGATGAACGGTCCGGACTGAACCAGAGCAACCCGCCCCCTGCCCCCCCCCCCAGAGGACCCGGGCTGCACAATCCCAGACTCATACAGTGAAGAATACAGTGTTTTAATAATAATTATTTTTTCTATTTCTATTATTTTTTAAATATAATTATTATTATTATTATTATTATTATTATTATTATTATTATGCGAGTGTCTCAAAATCCATGCCTGGCTTGAAACTACACACATATTTTTCAAATATTTGACTTCCCTTTTGAGCAAATCTAGCATATCATTCCGCACTCTTTCAAAAAATAATTTTCTAAAAATTTGCATGTGTGCAGTGAAACAACTCCCCACAACGGACCTAGGTTTCCTGGCTTACAGCAGCCCTGACACCTTCGTTTTTGCTCCTCCGTGCAAATCTGATATACTTAGAAGGGCAATTCACTAAGATGAATGGTCCGGACTGAACCAGAGCTCCCCCGCCGCGGGCTGCACAATCCCAGACTCCCTGCTGCCAAGAGATTGCGATTGTTTCATTGATGATTTATTAAATTATTCTATATGATCGATGTTGTCTTTGAGATGTTCTACTATGTTCTAGCTTGTCGTTATTTAATGCTTGTAAGCAGCTTTGCGATCAGTTTGAATGGAAAGTGTCACAGCACGGAAATATATAGTGTCAATCCAATCCAATGAATGAAATCCACCCCAAGGGAGCTGTGAATGGAAGGCGGAGGGAAGCAGGAGCCGAACTCCCCGCAAAGGGCGAATCCTCCCGGAAGCGAGAGCGCGGCGCCACCTGCAGGCCGGGAGCCGCCACGACAAGCCAGAAGGTAATAATGGCAACATACTGTACCGCTCTTCTTTCCCCTCCCCTCCCAATCAGCGCGGAGCAGCTGGGCGTTCTAAGTCCTCCCTTCGCGGTGGCTGCTGGGAGTCGTAGTTCCCTTCCGCCACCGGGACGGCGAGATTCCGCGGCAGCCGCGCTCGGCGGCACTGGCTTTCCCGTCAGGCCTTGGGGCGAGAGCGAGAGAGGCGCGGAGGGCGGCGGAGGAGAAGGACGGCGGCCGAGCGGCGCTTGAGGTGGGCGCAGCCGGGGGGGGGCTGAGGTTTCTGGAGGCCGCAAAGGGGGCCTCGGGGGCCGCAATGGGGAGGGATAATGAGGGAGGTGGGGGGAGGGGAGGGAGGGAAGAAGGAAAACCCCGTCGCTGAATCAGACCAGTGGTCCAGCTAGCTCAGTATTGCCTGCACGGGCTGGCAGCAGCTCTCCCAGGGCTCTTCCCGGCCCAACTGGGGATGGAGCCCGGGACCTTCTGCAAGCCGAGCAGGTGCTCTGCCCGTGAGCCTCCTCCCTTCCCCCGAAGCGTGGGAATCCGCCTCCCACTGAATCTTGCAAAGGAGGCGACTGGAAGCGCACAATGGAAGTTTCCACAAAGCTCCCTGCGCAGCCCCAGTCCATTGTTCAGAGCAAGAGTGTTGCCCACACGGACTGGCAGCGGCCCTCCCCGATGGCAGGCACCGGCTCTTCTTCCCCAGCAAAACCTGGAGGTGAACCCAGGACCTTCTGCATGCCAAGCAGCCACCGCCCTTCCCCACGATGCCCATCGTTCGCTGCCCTCCTGATCACTCTGCCTGGGCCTAAAAGTCCTGATGACACCAATAGGGCTGGTTGGAATCAAATTTTCATTCTCTTCCCAGGCTCTGCCTGCCTCCCTTCCTTTTTGTTCTCTGCCATCCCTGGCTGGATTTCTTCTCTCCCCTAGAGGCCCTTCCCCTGCCTTGGGATTCCCTGCCTCCCTGTTTCCGGGAGACCCCTGCACCCAAAGGCCCTTTGCGCTCATCACAGCTCCCTTTGGGGCTGAATCTGGCAAGTGTGGGGCTGTTGGGGGGGTGACGGCTTTTCTTACCTTTCTTCCTTCCAGCTCAGTGGCAGACTCCTTTCCCTGGCTGCAACCATCTGCGTTGCACTACCCGTTCAGTCCCGGTGTCTTCAGGTAAAGGCTGAAACCTCGGAGAGCTGCTGCCAGTTTGTGTTGGAAATACCGAGCTGAATGCAACAGTTCCTGTGTTCCCATCCATGCAGAGTTTCACCATGGCACTCGCACAAAGCGCGTGTTTTAGGGTGTTTCCTTTTCTCTGCTAAGCTGGGAGTTCCCTTTTGGAGGATGCCAGTTGGAGGTTTGTGTTGGGATGCAGGTGTAGGATTGAGATCTGGGTTGGGGAATTAGCCATCGTGGGAGTGGGATAGAGGAAAGTCTGTGTGTGTGTGTGCAGATGGGGTGAGGCCCTTAGAAAGAGGGGGAAACCCCACTCCTTGAATTGTGTCAGTTTGCAGGTGTGTGTTGGAAGAAAAGATTCTCTGCCTGTTGATATCAGCCAGGTACCTTCACTGTACTGATTTTGGCACTTGCGAGAAACTTTTTTTGTTTAGAGATGCCTACCCAGATGTGTTTTAATTTTATTTCGTGTACACTGGTCTTTTTTATATTTAAAAAAAAACTCTGTTTGATTCTATCTATATTTGATGGTTTTTAACTTACTAAAACTGTCTGATGACGGAAAGGCTACAGTGGTACCTCGGGTTACATACGCTTCAGGTTACAGACTCTGCTAACCCAGAAATAGTACCTCGGGTTAAGAACTTTGCTTCAGGATGAGAACAGAAATCGTGCTCCGGCAGCAGCGGGAGGCCCCATTAGCTAAAGTGGTGCTTCAGGTTAAGAACAGTTTCAGGTTAAGAACGGACCCCCGGAACGAATTAAGTACGTAACCAGAGGTACCACTGTACTATGGTCTGTTATGTGGGAATTAAACTCTTGTTCCCGTTTGCGGAGTATGTGGAAGGCAGTCCTGGGTCGTTTGACCCTTTAATTAGTTCTCTTTTCCCTCATGTAAAAACTACGCAAGGCACTCCCTTTCAAAGTTTAAATAGCATATAACATAGGGTGCTTGCAGTTGCAGATTAAATAGACAATGCGGGTAGGTGATACTTAATTTGCTAAAGCGTCTTACAGACTGGCTGAAACAGACAGCAGCGCAACCAACATAACATACCTGCTGCTCTGTTAAGACTGTTCAATACTAATTGCTGTAACTGAAATAACTGCCATAACGGCCACAGAGTGTATGATGTCACAAGAGTTTCACAGCTCTTGCAGTTAACCCTTCATAAAAGCACTTTGGATGCTAACATCCCACATGTTAAGCTTTTGGATAAGTCTACTAGTTTTTAATCTCCTGATTTTTATCAATTTTTCCCTATGAATATGTTTTATGTAAACAGCTTAGATTTAAAAATAATATTCAATGGCATATAAATCTTGTTAAATGAAATGCTTTCTTTAAAACGTGAGCTCTTAATTGTTGTTGTTGTTTAGTCATTTAGTCGTGTCCTACCCTTCATGACCCCATGGACCAGAGCCTGCCAGGCACTCCTGTCTTCCACTGCCTCCCGCAGTTTGGTCAAACTCATGCTGGTAGCTTCGAGAACACTGCCCCACCATCTCGTCCTCTGTCGTCCCCTTCTCCTTGTGCCCTCTATCTTTCCCAACATCAGGGTCTTTTCCAGAGAGTCTTCTCTTCTCATGAGGTGGCCAAAGTCTTGGAGCCTCAGCTTCAGGATCTGTCCTTCCAGTGAGCACTCAGGGCTGATTTCCTTCAGAATGGAGAGGTTGGATCTTCTTGCAGTCCATGGGACTCTCAAGAGTCTCCTCCAGCACCACAATTCAAAAGTATAAATTCTTCGGCGATCAGCCTTCTTTATGGTCCAGCTCTCGCTTCCATACATCACTACTGGGAAAACCATGGCTTTCACTATACGGACCTTTGTTGGCAAGGCGATGTCTCTGCTTTTTAAGATGCTGTCTAGGTTTGTCATTGCTTAATACAGGGTGGCAAATGTGACCTAACAGGCATTACTGAAACCTGGTGGGATGAGACTCATGACTGGAATGTAGAAATTGAGGGCTCCAACCTGTCACTCTACAGCAGTGACCAGAGGAGGAATGACTTGTTGGGAAGAGCACAGGTAAAAGAAACGCCATGGTGCATGGTGCACAGACACCGGACTCCTTCATCTGCCCCAGCTGCAACAAAACATGTCTCTCCCATTTCAGTCTCCAAGCCACAGTGGATGCTGATAACTCTCTGAAGGTTTGGCTTCACCCTTGAAGGCGCACTCTTCCATTGTCTCCAAAGACAAACAGATGCCATCAACAACCTGTTCGAAAGAAATATATCAAAACGGAAGGGAGAAGGAGTAGCAATCTGTGAAGGATGTGTACACTTGGAGTATGAAAGGTGGATGGAGAGCATATGGGTACAAATTGTAGGAGTAGGAAACAACAGTGACCTTACTGTGGATATCAGCTATAGACCTTCAAACCAGACTGAGGACCTCGATGATGCTTTCCTCCCCTCCCCCCAAATGCAAACAGCGTTTTATTGATGTCATTCACTTCCAGCCAGGACAGCTTCCCTCTTCCCAATTCCCCATAGTGAATGCCACCTTTTTAAGAAAAAAAATCTTTTTAAATTGAATTTTACATTGCACATTTAAATTCAAACAATAAACATCATCATCATTAGGATTCCCTGAATCCTTTGACTCCCCTCCATCCTTCTATGGTTACAATTTTCAATCTTTTTCCACTGCTGCCCTTATTTTGTCTATTTTTCTTAAATAATCCAATTTTACCTTAGTTTATAGTACATTACAAACGTTACTCAAATCCTGCCAAAGTTTTTAGTTGTTTACAGTGTTCTCTTAAGTACATTTTCCCCATTCCTTCTTAAATTTATTCTCTTTCTGGTTTCTGATTTTCCCAGTCAATTTGGCCATTTCGGCGTAGTCCATCATCTTCATCAGCCATTCGTCTCTGGTCGGGACTTTATCTTCTTTCCATCTCTGGGCCAGTAGTATCTGTGCTGCTGTCGTTGCATACATGAATAAGCAGATTATCAAAAAGGAGAGATATAGTAGTCATGGGAGACTTCAGCTACTCCAACATCAGTCCAGGAATCAATTTTATTGTACATTCATGGGGATATGTGCTATCCTGCAGAGAGGGGTGAAACACAATTCCACCTGCAAAAGTTTCGAGCTACTCATAGCTGTAGTTCTTCATTCCCAATCAGTGCAGCTCTCATACCTTCCTGCTGCAATCCCATAATTTTTCATACCACAAACGTATTGGTTTATTTGTTTCTTTTGTTCCTCTTTTGTTGCTCTAATAACATGGGGATTTGGGGAAGCATCACAGAACGAATAAGATAGAATGATTCCACAGGGGAACTTGAAGTCATTTCGCCTTAACTGCAATCTTTGGATTGCTAAATTACCTGTGAGATAAATCTCTTCCCTTTTTTCTGTTTTCAGGGTTTGGTGATCTTTGAGGAGGCGGCCGTGTGTTTCACAGAGGAGGAGGGGCCCTCCTGGATCCAGGCCAGAGGGACATCATGGAGGAGAATTACAGGAACCTGGCCCTTCTGGGTAAGTCTCCTCCTCTTGGCCCAAAGTTACTTACACACCCAGGACAGCACCATAAGATCATGACACAAGATGTCTCAGTTGGAGTTGTTCCTGCTGCCTTTGAGCTCTGTTGACTGGAGGTGCTATGGATGTAACATGAGGCCTGATGCATAATGAGGGCTGGATACAATTAAATAGTTGAGATGCTAGGGTGTAAAGCAAATCCCATGAGTGCAATGTGCCTGTTTCCATCCTCTCTTCCGCTTGTGTGCCCCTTTAAATCAGGTCTGGCAGACTGGGAGAACCCCAGGAATGTTGTGGGGGAAACTAGGAAATGGGAGGTTGTTTTATGTGACAAGTCTTGTGCGATGTCAAATTCACTCTGAGCTTCCAGAGCTCTATAATATACAATGAGCAACCTTCAATTTTGAGGGTTTGGTCTGCCCTCCCCGCTGTCCATGGAGCAAATTTCTCTGACCTCCCAAGACCCCACTGATTTTACCAGCAGAGACAAGAAGATGAAAGATATTGGAGAAGACCCAGCACTGGGATAGGTGCAGCCCAGTGCTATAATACCCCGCCCTCCCCAGCCAAGACCGGGCTCAGGGCGGCTAACACCAAATATAAAACAATTGATTGAAATACAACTTAAAAACAAGATTAAAATACAACATTAAAATGCAGCCTCATTTCAGCAGATGAGGAGGAAAAACGACTCTTCCCTGGTTCTCAGATTGATTATTTGATATGCACAGTTCAGCTGTGAGGTGGGGGCTGTGTGTGTGTGTGTGTGTGTGTGTACAAGGAAAGGTGTATGTGTGAGAGAGACAGTGTGGACCGGCCATACCCACCTTTGGCTACAATTACCGTCGTCTTGCATCCCCCAGAAACATTGGTCAAGGGGGAATGTGGCCGTCAACCTTCCCTGCTCTATACATACTCCACATAAGCAGCCAGTTATTGCCTATCAACAGTGGCTGCCTCCTTCCCCTTCTCTGTTTTAGATAGCTGTTAATTGGAATTGTTCCGTAATTTGGGTATCCGTTCCTCCCTGATCAAGTTCCTCTTTGTATTCCTGCAGGTGATCAGAAGGAGAGCAGTCAAGAGAATGAACCCCAGAGAATTAAAACTGAAGCAGAAGAAAATGTGAGGAAGGACGCTGTTGTTCCAGATGGTGCTAGCTTCAATGAAATTTCAATGCTGGAAGGACTTTACACAGGCAAGAAAGAAAAAAACGTCTCTCTTTGTGCAAAAAGCCCAAGAAGACTATCAAGCCTTAGCACCATTGGAAGAAAACATGATGGGGATGAACGGTTTCAATGTTCAGAGTGTGGAAGGAGTTTCAAATACAAATCACATCTTCTTGTACATGAAAGAATCCACACAGAAGATAAACCGTATAAATGTTCAGAGTGCGGAAAGAGTTTTTGTCTGAGTTACAACCTTCTAACTCATCAAAGAATCCACACTGGAGAAAAACCATATAAGTGCTCAGTGTGTGGAAAGAGTTTCACTCAGAGCAGTACGCTTTTTAATCACCAAAGAATCCACACAGGAGAGAACACACATACATGTCCCAGTTGTGGAAAGTGCTTCAGCCAGAAAATTGACCTTCTTAGTAATCAAAGATTCCACACAGGGGAGAAACTGTATAAATGCTTAGAGTGTGGAAAGAGCTTCACTCAGAGCTCTTCACTCAGAGGAGAGAAACGGTATAAATGTTCAGAGTGCGGAAAGAGTTTCCGTCTCAGCTCCAACCTTCTTACCCATCAAAGAATCCACACTGGAGAAAAACCATATAAGTGCTCAGTGTGTGGAAAGAGCTTCACTGACCGTAGTAGCTTTTCTCGTCATCAGAGAATCCACACAGGAGAGAAGCCGCATAAATGTTCCAATTGTGGAAAGTGCTTTAGCCAGAACAGTCGCCTTCTTAGTCATCAAAGAATCCATACGGGGGAGAAACCGTATAAATGCTTAGAGTGTGGAAAGAGCTTCACTCAGAGCAGTACGCTTTTTAATCACCAAAGAATCCACACAAAGAAGCCACATAAATGTTCCAGTTGTGGAAAGTGCTTCAGCCAGCAAAGTGACCTGCTTAGTCATCAAAGAATCCACACAGGAGAGAAACCGTATAAATGCCCAGAGTGCGGAAAGAGCTTCACTCATAGCAAAAGTCTTCGTAGTCATCAGAGACTTCATGCAGGTGAGAAACCATTTAAATGTGCCGAGTGTGGGAAAAGCTTCAGTCATGGCAGCAACCTTACTTATCATGAAAGAACCCACACTGGTGAAAGACCTTATAAGTGCTCAGAGTGTGGAAATAACTTCACTGACCGTGCTGGCCTTTCTCGTCATCAGAGAATCCACACAGGAGAGAAGCCACATAAATGTTCCATTTGTGGAAAGTGCTTCATCCATAACAGTATCCTTCTTAGTCATCAGAGAATCCACACAGGGGAGAAACCGTATAAGTGCTTAGAGTGTGGGAAGAGCTTCACTCAGAGCAGTACGCTTTTTAATCACCAAAGAATCCACACAGGGGAGAAGCCGTATAAATGCTTAGTGTGTGGAAAGAGCTTTGCTCAGAGCAATGGCCTTCGTTATCATCAGAGGCTCCATACAGGTGGGTGTGAGAAAAGCTTTATACACAGGGGAGAAGATTGTGTAAACAACTGTTAAATGATATGGGTCTACCTGTGTTGGAGCCAATCGCAATGTTTAAGGACAACCAGACCTGTATTCATACGTCCAAGAAAGTCGCAACAGAGATCTAAACACGTGGATGTCAAATATCATTATGTAAGAGACCACGTGGAACAGAAACCAATTGAATTACGATTCTGCTTCACAGAAAAAATTCTGACAGATATACTGATAAAGGCTCTTGCAGCGTGTAAATGTGAATAATGGGTGAAACGGCTAGGTTTTCTGCCAGCAAATGAAAGCCAATATCATGAACAAAATTAAAGAAGGGGTGTTTGAGTAACTGGATATGAGAAAGGGTTAATTTCCTTTATGAGTGTAAATCACCCCTGGGTGAGCTAAACAAGGTGCAAGGCCAGCCAAGCCAGGTGCTATGGTCATGACCCAGTGCCCCTATATCTGTGGTTAATGCATGTCAGCTCAGTAGTAGAGTCTATTTGTTGTCCAGTGTTATGTCCTGAATTGGTGAGTTTACTTAGAATAATGGAAATGCCTTGTACTCGTATGTATCTGTATATATCTGTATCTGTAAAGCCTACAAGCTGTGTATATCTATGTCTGGAACTGTTTTACTGAGCCTCATCTTCTGCAACAGTAAACTATTTGGATCTTAAGCTGCTTCCGTGTGGTGACTGCATTATTATCTCAATACAGTGGTACCTCAGGTTAAGTACTTAATTCGTTCCAGAGGTCCATACTTAACCTGAAACTGTTCTTAACCTGAAGCACCGCTTTAGCTAATGGGGCCTCCTGCTGCTGCTGCGCTGCCAGAGCATGATTTCTGTTCTCATCCTGAAGCAAAGTTCTTAACCTGAAGCACTATTTCTGGGTTAGTGGAGTCTGTAACCTGAAGCGTATGTAACCTGAAGCGTATGTAACCCGAGGTACCACTGTATATGTTTCCCATTTTGGGCTGCAACAGTGGATCAAGATACCGGTAAAAAAATCCAGGCTGGATTGTGAATCGTCGCCAAGTGGAAGAAGAAACACCATGTCTTTGGGTGTAAGTAAATAAATAGGGAGGGACAGGGTTGGCGCTGTGGGTTAAACCACAGAGCCTAGGACTTGCTGATCAGAAGGTCAGCGGTTCGAATCCCTGTGACGGGGTGATCTCCCCTTGCTCGGTCCCTGCTCCTGCCAACCTAGCAGTTCGAAAGCACGTCAAAGTGCAAGTAGATAAATAGGTACAGCTCCGGTGGAAAGGTAAATGGCGTTTCCGTGCACTGCTCTGGTTCGCCAGAAGCGGCTTAGTCAAGCTGGCCACATGACCCGGAAGCTGTACGTCGGCTCCCTCGGCCAATAAAGCGAGATGAGCGCTGCAACCCCAGAGTCGGTCACGACTGGACCTAATGGTCAGGGGTCCCTTTACCTTTACCTTAAATAAATAGGGAAGTTTAGGGAAGTTTTTAATGTGTGGTGTTTTATTGTGTTTTTAATATTCTATTGGGAGCCGCCCAGGGTGTCTGGGGGAACCCAGCCAAATGGGCAGGGTATAAATAATAAATTGTTGCTGTTGTTGTCACAACCAGTGCTTTTTTCTGGGGGTACACAGGGGTACACATCCCTCTAAACATTTTGTGAATCTGTTTGGCTTCGTTGAAAGGCAGTATTTCAATATGAGTAGGAAAATGAGAGTACCCCTAAACATTTTTTTAGGAAAAAAGCACTGATAACAACTTTATGGAGAGTGGATGTGCATAATGTATGGAGTCTGAAAAAATACTCAGTGACAGGAGAAGGATTTCTACATGGAAAGAACCCACTCATATGAGCAGTGAGAATCTATCTTAGGTCAACACACAATGACACACAAACCATACAGAAAAACAATTTAATTGCATGTTCTCAGCAAACATCACAAGTAGGCAAACGTGAGGTAGGGGAAACGGGTCAACCTTTGGGTGGCCTATTTTTTGCTTTTTTTTGGTATGGTGGCACATATATAACTACAGTGGTACCTCGGGTTACAGACGCTTCAGGTTACAGACTCCGCTAACCCAGAAATAGTACCTTGGGTTAAGAACTTTGCTTCAGGATGAGAACAGAAATTGCGCAGCAGTGGCGCGGTGGCAGCGGGAGGCCCCATTAGCTAAAGTGGTGCTTCAGGTTAAGAACAGTTTCAGGTTAAGAAGGGACCTCCGGAACAAATTAAGTACTTAACCCGAGGTACCACTGTACCCCACCTAACACTCTCCTGGAAAGAAGGAGTAACGAAGCCATGAGCAAAAAATATTCTGGCAGTCTGAGATTCTTCTGGCTCCATTCCCACTCCTCCCCGACCACATTATTAAGTTCTGCCCTTCAGCAATGTCACAAAGTTTAGGGGGGGAGTCAACCTCGTATTCAGGGGTCATCAATGTGGTGTCCTCAATCCCCAGTATGCCTTCAAACAGCACCAGCGAAAAGTTAATATCCTTTCAAAAATCCACAATCCAGGAGAAACAGCGTGACCCTGTGGTTCAGTTTCTGTTTGCATTGGTTTGGTTTCCCTATACAGTGTAGGGGTGGTGGGTAGATGTAGGGGTAGGGTTCCCTTCTTGCCAGGGAACTCTGGGAATTGTAGTTCTGGTTAAGGGGGTAGGCATAGGGTTCCCTTCTTGGCAGGGAACTCTGGGAATTGTAGCTCGGGTTAAGGGGTAAAAGTTAGCGTTAGGAATAGAGTTAGAGTTAGGAACTCTGGGAATTGTAGCAGTAGGGTTCCCTTCTTAGCAGGGAACTCTGGGAATTGTAGATGTAGGGTTCCTTTCTTGGCAGGGAACTCTGGGAATTGTAGCTCAGGTTAAGGGGTAAAAGTTAGCGTTAGGAATAGAGTTAGAGTTAGGAACTCTGGGAATTGTAGCGGTAGGGTTCCCTTCTTAGCAGGGAACTCTGGGGATTGTAGCTTGGGTTAAGGGTTAATGTTTAGGATTAGGGTTAGTGTTCAGGTTAGGGTTAGAATTCTCGTTAGCGTTAGGAACTCTGGGAATGTAGGTCTGGGAGGGGAACAAGGGGGTCTAACAACTCTCTGCACCCTTTTCAAACTATAGCTCCCAGTTTCTTTGCGGGAAGAAGCCATGAGTGTTTAAAGCGGCTTCATATCGCTTTAAATGGTGTGGATGTGGCCCCAGCCTTCCTCACCCCACTGCCCCTTATTATTAAGAAATTGAAAGGATTTCCCCATTCAAATCTCTCGAGATCATATGACCATTTCATTTGGAAAATTATTTAATGAAGATAATTTTTTTATTAAAACCTTTGAATGTGTTTTGAGTGTATGGAAGTTTTAATTCATCGTTGTGCGTTTTTACAGTGAAATGCATGGAGATATGTGAAAACACATAAAAATATTGCAGCTGCCAAAACAATATGATGCGCTTAAAAGAAATGTGAAATCCAGATAAGGAGTTCTGACCTTATTTGACTGGTGAGTGAGTTTGTCTTTTTCCTCTTCCCCCCAGGTCCCTTTTTCCTTTTGTGCCATGACAATCGTAAGCCTGCGGGCAGGAACCACTATGTTCTACCTGCATATGTTTCAAGGCCCTGTGCTTCTGAATACCATGTGCTGGAAACTGTAGGAGAGAAGTGTTGTCGTCGCACTCGGATCCTGCTGTGGGGCTTCCCACTGGGGAATATGACCCCTCTGGCCTGAAAAAAGCTCCCTAGCTTTGCAATATGTTAGTCGGACATAGCTGTAAGGAAGACAAAGCCAGCCTAGAACCAGAAGCCAAGAATTAGCCGCAACCAATTAATAGTGTTACGGCACAGGGCTAAGAGAGTCCATCACATCCCTGAAACCCACTTAGGTCAAACCTGCCTTGTTGCAGCAGGTTAACACAGGGGTCAGCAAACTTTTTCAGCAGGGGGCCAGTCTACTGTCCCTCAGACCTTGTGGGGGGCCTGACTATATTTTGAGGGTAAAAAAGAATGAATTGCTATGCCCCACAAATACCCCAGAGATGCATTTTAAATAAAAGGACACATTCTACTCATGTGAAAACACACTGATTCCCAGACTGTCCGCAGGCCGGATTTAGAAGGTGATTGGGCCGGATCTGGCCCCCGGGGCCTTAGTTTGCCTACCCAAGGGTTAACACAAAAGCAGGAAGGCAAAGGCTGCTGAACCAATTTTTGGGGAGGGGGCGTTTATTAACAAATCATGCTGCCAAAGGACTCCAAATCTGAAAGGACTTTCAGACTCCAAGCACTGGATTATCTTTTCAGGGTGTTCCCGGTCCCCTGGCATGTTAACATTCACTCACACACCCTCAAGATATCAACGACTTCCCTTCTTCTCTTTCCATGGTTCATTTTGCATATCCTAAATCCCTGCATATTTTACAAAAACTAAACCATTCAGTGTTCCATTACTGCATCCATCAAAACTTGTTTACACTGCTGAATTTATCTTAATGCTGTCCTAGCGGAGTGACTGGAATAAAGCAGGCATGAGTCCATAGAGAGGAGAACCTTTACTGAGGTAAAATCTGACCAAAACAGTACATATAGCTTGAGGAGAAACATGTGAAGAGGTTTGTCTTTGATAGGTCAGGCCTACGCTGGGGGAAGCTCCTTCAGAACCCTTTCCCCCTCCGCGAAGGTTGCAGGTTCGATCCCCATATAGGACAGTTACATTCCTCTATTGCCTGGGGTTGGACTGGATGATTTTCGGGGTCCCATCCAGCTCGGCAGTTCTATGATCTGCCTTTCAGGGAATGAACCCCTGAAGTCATACACAGAAGAATTCCCGGTTGTACTTCCAAGAATATTAATGCAACAAAAAAAGAACAAACTGCTGTCTTTGGGCAAGAGGTAGTAACAACATGAATTGCTTCCGCCCTGGACCTGGACCTCTCCATGCCGGAAGATATCCAACCCTATTGTTCTGTGTTAGCAACACTAACTTTCATGTTTTCTTTAGTTAGGGACGTGGGTGACGCTGTGGTGTAAACCACAGAACCTAGGGCTTTGCCAATCAGAAGGTTGGCGGTTCGAATCCCCGTAAGAGGGTGAGCTCCCGTTGTTGTGTCAGTCCCAGCTTCTGCCAACCTAGCAGTTCGAAAGCACAAAGTGCAAATAGATAAATAGGTACTGCTCTGGTGGGAAGGTAAACGGCGTTTCCATGCGCTGCTCTGGTTTGCCAGAAGCGGCTTAGTCATGCCGGTCACATGGCCCGGAAGCTGTACGCCGGCTCCCTCGGCCTGTAAAGCGAGATGAGCGCCGCAACCCCAGAATTGTTCGCAACTGGACTTAACTGTCAGAGGTCCTTTACCTTTTTTTAGTTACGGCTCCGGCTGAGAGAGCTCTGAGGATGCTCAGTGGCAGAGCACATGCTTCTGCATGCAGAAGGCTCATGGTAGAATTACAGAATTGTAGAGGTGGAAGGGACCCCAACAGTAATCTAGTCTAATAATAATAATAATAATAATAATAATAATTACTTATACCCCGCCCATCTGGTTGGGCTCCCCAGACACTTTGGGCGGCTCCCAACAGAGTATTAAAAACACGACAAAACATCAAACATTAAAAACTTCCCTAAACAGGGCTGCCTTCAAATGTCTTCTAAAAGTCAGATAGTTGTTTTATTTCCTTGACATCTGATGGGAGGGCGTTCCACAGCCCTGTCTGGCTCCCTGTATCCTCACTTCTTGCAGGGAGGGAACCACCAGAAGGCCCTCAGAACTGGAACTCCGTCTGGGCTGAATGATGGGGGTGGAGACGCTCCTTCAGGTATACTAGGCCGAGGCCGTTTAGGGCTTTAAAGGTCAGCACCAACACTTTGAATTGTGCTCAGAAATGTACTGGGAGCCAGTGTAGGTGTTTCAGGATCGGTGTTATGTGGTCTCAGTAGCCACTCCCAGTCACCAGTCTGGCAGCCACATTCTGGATTAGTTGCCGTTTCCGGGTCACCTTCAAAGGTAGCCCCACGTAGAGCGCATTGCAGTAGTCCAAGCGGGAAATAACTAGAGCATGCACCACTCCAGCAACACACTCCAACCCCAGCAATGCAGGAATCCTGCCCACAGCAGTCCCTGAGCACAGGACCTCTGTTAAAAACCTTGGAGTGCTGCTGCCAGCCAGTGTAGTCAATATGGAGCTAGATAGATCAGTGGTCTGATACTGTGTAAGGCAGAGTCCTTTGGAGAGAGGCTATAGGAGAGCAACTGATTTCTCTGCAGACGGACTCAGGTACAACCCCTGGGCTTTCCAGGTAGGGCTGGCAATGTCTCCACCTGAAACCCTGGAGAATAACTATGTTTGGACACCAGGCTTAGATGTTATTTCCAGGATCAAAAAGAGGAAACCGTTCCTGTGAAATATTCTACAGAAGGAAATCCTGGGCAAAGACAGCAAAACATCACTTGAGTACTTTCTGTCAAATAAGTAGTAACATTTCTGTTTTACTTTTTCATTTTTCACATCACTATCAGTGCATGTAACAGGTAACAAAACCTATACATCTTTACACACCACAAGAGAAACAACCCAGTCCTCCTCCCCTCTTTTGCTACAGCAAAATTCAGTGTGCACTTGGAGTCCACATTTATCTATTTTTTTAAAGAACAAGAAAAATATTGAGCCCTGAGACCATGTAAAAGCTAACAGGTTGATTGTGGCATGGTCATCTTTTGTGGACTAAATCTGAGATGGCTAATAGTCAAAGGAGAAAACAGTAAGGTGGTAGTTGAATGGCAATGAGGTTCAAAAATTAGAGTTGGTGACTGTTTGAGCTCAAATATATGTAAAAACAGACACACCACAGACCTTTTGCAGTAGCAAACTGGCGATTTCAGCAATTATAATCTGTAGGGGAGTGCAGAATCATTTGCATGAAACAGGCGCAGGTGGCAGATGTTCCGGCACCGCTTCATTGACTGAATGATGCAACAAATGGAGCCACCCCAAATCAACAGGGTATATTCACCAGAGACCTATTTCCAACATTCTTCTATAAAACGAGTGCAGCAAGCCACCTGCCAGCCATGCGACGTCACTATGACATCATGCGATTGACAGGTGGTTTGTTCCACCCACCTGTCCCGTTTGGCCCTCTTGGTGGGGCCAGATAATGATCTGGCTCCCAGAGCCTAAAAGGATCTCCACCCCTGATGTATGTGATTTCTCTTCCGTGTGGATTCTTTGATGATAAGAAAGGCTAACACTATTAGTGAAGCTCTTCCCACACTCTAAGCATTTATGCGATTTCTCTGTGTGGATTCTTTGATGGGAAGAAAGGCCACTGCTCTGAGCGAAGCTCTTCCCACACTCCGAGCATTTATATGGTTTCTCTCCCGTATGGAGCCTCTGATGATTAGAGAGGGTATTGCTTCGGCTGAAGCTCTTCCCACAGTCTAAGCATTTATATGGTTTCTCTCCCGTATGGGTCCTTTGATGGTTAGTGAGGTGAGTCTTCTGGTTGAAGCTCTTTCCACACTCTGAACATGTAAATGCTTTCTCTCCTGTATGTAGTCTGTAGTGTATTGCTAAGGTTTGGCTACAACTGAAGCTCTTTCCGCACTCTGAGCATTTAAAGATTTTTTCACTTGAATGGGTATTTTGGTGGTAAGTAAGGTTACTGTTGTGACTAAAGCTTTCCCCACATTCTGAACATTTAAATGGTTTCTCGCCTGTATGGAGTCTCTGATGATTAGACAGGCTACTGCTATGAGTGAAGTTCTTGCCACACACTGAGCATATATATGGTTTCACTCCAGTGTGGATTCTTTGATGATTAAGCAGGTCATAGCTCTGAAAAAAACTCTTTCCACACTCACAACATCTAAATGGTTTCTCTCCTATATGAATTTTTTGATGGTAAGAAAGGCTGCTAGTATTAGTGAAGCTCTTTCCACACTCTGAACATTTATACGGTTTCTCTCCTGTGTGGAGTCTCTGATGACTAGAAAGACTACTGCTATGACTGAAGTTTTTGCCACACACCAGGCATTTATAGGGTTTTCCTCCAGTGTGGATTCTTTGATGATAAAGAAGGCCGTAGCTCTGAAAAAAACTCTTTCCACACTCAGAACATTTAAACGGTTTGTCTCCTGTATGGATTTTTTGATGGTAAGAAAGGCTACTGCTATGAGTAAAGCTCTTTCCACACTCTGAGCATTTATACAGTTTTTCTCTTGTATGGATTCTTTGATGAGAAAGAAGGTGATTGCTCTGGCTGAAGCTCTTTCCACAATGAAAACATTTATACGGCTTCTCTCCTGTGTGGGTTCTTTCATGATAAGAAAGGCTACTACTATTAGTGAAGCTCTTTCCACACTCTGAGCATGTATACGGTTTCTCTCCTGTATGGATTCTTTTATGTTTACAAAGGCTACTGTTATGAGTGAAGTTCTTTCCACACACTGAGCATTTGTATGGTTTTTCTTCTGTGTGGATTCTTTGATGAGAGATGAGGCCACTGCTCTGACAGAAACTCTTCCCACACTCGGAACATTTATATGGTTTTTCTCCTTTGTGAGCCCTTTGATGATAAGAAAGGCTACTGCTGTGAGTAAAACTCTTCCGACACTCTGAGCATTTATAAGGTTTCTCCCCTGTGTGGATTCTCTGATGAGAATGAAGCTCACTCCTCTGGCTGAAGTTCTTTTTGCAATGAAAACATTTGTAAGGTTTCTCTTCAGTGTGGACTCGTTGATGATATGAAAGACTGCTGCTGCTCGTGAAGCTCTTTCCACACTCTGAGCATTCAAACGGTTTCTCTCCTGTATGGATCCTTCGATGATTAAAAAGAGTACTGCTCTGAGTGAAGCTCTTTCCACACTCGGAGCATTTATATGGTTTCTCACCTGTGTGGATTCTCTCATGCACAATGAGATGTTTCCTGTAGTTGAAGCTCCTTCCACATTCTGAACATTTAAATGGTTTCTCCCCTTCATGCAATCTTCTAAGATTTCTAAGGCTTGATATCCTAGTTAGGACTCTTGTACTTCGGGGGATTTTTGCCTGTTTCTTTCCTGTGTGACATTCTTCTGGCATCACAATTTCACTGAAGCCAGTGCCTTCTGGAACAACAGCTTTCTCCCTCAAATTCTCTTCTGCTTCAGTTTTCATTCTCTGCTGCTCATCCTCTTTACTGCTCTCCCTCCCATCACCTGCAGGAATACAAAGGGAAACCTGATCAGGGAGGAACAACTCCCAAAATTAGGGAACAATCCCAGCCATTTACTGTGTGAATGACAGAATGGGAAAGACAGTGGGGAGGCAGATCCTGCAATATACAGGTAATGACTGATTTACACACAATTGTGCACATCCCAAACCAGGAAGTGACCCTGAAACAGCAGAATGGGGGCAGGGCAGAACACTTTACGCCAATGTGTACGGAGACCTAGAACATAATCCCCATGGAAAACAAGGATTGCCTGTATTAAAACAGCCTTGGGTCTGAGGTCTGGCTCTGCAGCTGCAAGCAAGATTGATTACCTGACAGGAAGAGAGGTTCTCCCTGGCAATACCGTCATAACCAAGAAACATTCACAGCAGGAGATTAAAATAGCAGCTGGCTCCACTTTCCAAGGGTGTCACAATTAAGAGAAAACAAGTAGAGGGGAGCTAGAAACAGAGGGTGAAATGTAGAGATTCAGCAAGAGAAAAATACAGAGGGTGAAGGAGAGGAAAAGTGTGTCTTATAGAGCAAAAAATACGGTACTTTATTTATTGCATTTGTCTTCCACCTTTTTCTCCAAGGAGTTTCAGGTGCCATACTCAGCTCTTCCCAACCTCAATTAACCCCAACAAGCCTGTGATGAGAGCCAGTCCCAAGAAACTCATTCTAGTGAGTTTCCTGGCCGAGTGGTGATTGGAACCTGGGTCTCCCAGGTTCTAGTCCAGGCATAGGCAACCTCAGCCTGCCAGATGTTTTGGGACTACAACTCCCATGATCCCTAGCTTATTATTATTATTATTATTATTATTATTATTATATACCCCACCCATCTTGCTGGGTTTCCCCAGCCACTCTGGGCAGCTTCCAACAAAATATTAAAATACCACAATACATCAAACATTAAAAGCTTCCCTAAACAGGGCTGCCTTCAGATGTTGTCTAAAAGTCTGGTAGTTATTGTTCTCTTTGACATCTGGTGGGAGGGCGTGCCACAGGGTGGGTGCCACTACCAAGAAGGCCCTCAGTGCTGGACCTCAGTGTCCAGATAGAATGATGGGGGTGGAGACGCTCCTTCAGATATACTGGACCGAGGCTGTTTAGAGCTTTAAAGGTCAGGACTAGCTAACAGGACTAGTGGTCAGGGATAATGGAAATTGTAGTCCCAAAACATCTGGTGGGCTGAGGTTGCCTATGCCTGTTCTAGCCAGACACTACAACACACTGGTTTTACTCCAGAGGGGAAGGAGAACAGACTTAGAAGGGGTTGGTAAGGGAGGGAGGTCTGGGGGACAGGAAACCTTCAAGAACAGGCTGAATGAAGGCAGGGAATCTATGTTAAAGGAAGTCAGGGGGCGTGTAAGAAGAAGCATTTCCTGGAGGAAGCAAAACTTACAAACAAGACGGGATCAAAGGTGACAGGCGGTCTCTGAAAGCAAGAGAAATTCTGGGCTTCTGTCAATCCTTCGGACAGGCAGAGGGGGAAGGGAGTGACTGTAGTGCAAATAAAACAGGGAACCCTAAACAACTGGGGAAAGGGTTTTAAAGAAAGCATAGAGGAACAATTTATCGTTCAATCCATTTTGGAACACTCTGGTCCTTTGTTACACAGAAAGGCCAGGGTGGTCTGGAACGTAATGGACAATAAATTATCCTTTTTCCCCTACCCCATGGTTTTCTGAATCCTGAGACAGAAAGGATCTGGCATGGCTGCAGGAGATTCTTCATACAGATAATTAAAAAACAAACCACCAATACTCCCTGCTTTCAGTAACTCAGCCAAGAAAACGAAGGAACCTTACCCACAGAATCCAGATTTCCATAATTCTCCTCCATAACTTCCCTGTGCAGGGCCCTCTGGCCTGGATAAAGCAAAGCTAGCTCACTCCTCTGTGGAAAAGTGCACAGCCACCTTCGCAAAGATCACGGGAGCTTGAAAGCTGGAAAAGGAGGAGCCTTCCTCTCGCAGATCGCTGCATCCCAGGAAGGATACTGTAGAGCGGTAAAAAGGGGCAGAAAAAAAGCCACCACAATGAAAACACTCTGGTTTTCTTTAAAGTCCATTCCTACCGCAGCTAAGTACCATCTTCACCCAGGCCTCTCCCCTTTTACAGTGGTACCTCGGGTTAAGAACTTAATTCGTTCTAGAGGTCTGTTCTTAACCTGAACGGGGCCTCCTGCTGCCGCTGCGCGATTTCTGTTCTCATCCTGTGTAATAGTATAGATTTTATTGCATAAATAACAACATAAAATTGGGGTGGGGAGGTAAAGGTAGATATCGTCCTGGGTGAATACTTAAAGAAAGGGGGGGGGAAAAGGGATAACAAAAGCGACAGGGGATTTAAAACATCGAATGACAGATAGTACAGAAACAAAAAAAACAAAAAAACTGCTGAGGCTGGAGGAGGATCGTTAAAGGGTCCTTCAGCTCCTCAGATTTGTCCTAACTCCATTGTCCTTGTACAATAAGGCTACTTGGAACTTCGTTCGGTTGTGCGGCGTATCGACTGCAGCTGTGGTGTTAAGGAAGGAGTTAGTGCCGCTTTCCTCTTCATCACACTGAGCAGGAAGTTAGCTGTCATCTCGGTAATCCAACAATCAGAATCCTGCAAAAAAAGTGACACTATCCAAGGCTGGATTGGGAGATGAAGCTTGTTCACGAGAGGAGTTAAAAACCGAGATCTTTCATCTGTCCAATTGGGACAGAAGAGCATTACATGTTCCATAGTCTCCAGGGCCGTGTCATTACAGGTGCATGTTCTATTTGCGATGGGAACTCTGGAATAACGACCCGACAGAACTGCTGTAGGAAAACAGTTGAGACGGGCACAGGTAAAGGCCCTTCGCTTAGCCTCCGAAGAAATTGTGAAGCAGTATAGAGGGATCCCTTCAGGGGGTGGAATAGCTAGGGCTAGGCCTGAACACGGCCCTCTTGCATAGGAAGCTGTGTTAGAGAAGTCAAGTTGCTGTAGTTTCTTTTTAATTGGAGGTAGGGCCGCCGGGCTGATACACTCTAAGTTAAGAACAGTTTTACAATTCAAATCCTGTGTAATAGGAATTTTATGGTCTTAGATATATGGCAATGTTCATAACCGCACGTACATAGATCAACACAGGAAGGCCAACCTGGAACCATTTTGATTCCTAAACTGACCAAATGTTTTCTCTGCAAGGTCAAACGGGAAAAGTCTCCCCATTGTCTCTTTCCTCACAAATCCTGTCTTAAGGACACATTTAAAATATGAATAGGGTGTGAACCTGTGACCTGGCCCAGGAAATCAGTATTTTACCACTACAAAAGAATGGCCAGGCTCCCCAGGCAATCCAATCAAGTAACTTGCCAGACAGGAGATAAACTGCGACAAGAGAAAAACAACATGCAAATGTTCTGTTTTAGACCGCCTTTTCTGGGATGTATCTGAGGGGTGGTCTTAGGTTACACCCCTTCTGTGATGTATGTATAATGTTTCTGGGGGTGGTCTTGATCTACAGGAGGGGAATTTCAAAAGTCTTTATAAGCCCTTGCACAGCATTTTTGTGGGTCCTCCTCCTTTCCTGCGAGTGAGGGGAGCACCCTGTTGCAACAGATCAATAAAGATCAAGCTTACTAGCTGCTTTGCCTCTCAATATTCTCTGGTTGGCCTCTGTTATTCTCTCCTACCAATAGGGAACCCATGTAAGGACTCTATATGGGCTCTTGGATACCCCATAACGGAAGAAGGGCATATTTTTATTTACAACATCCTGAAGCAAAGTTCTTAACCCGAGGTACTATTTCTGGGTTAGCGGAGTCTGTAACCTGAAGCGCCTGTAACCCGAGGTACCACTGTATTTATTTAACCAGATAAACCAGGACATCTGGGCATCTTGGGATGGGCAGTGGCTCCGTGGCAGAGCACCTGCTTTGCAAGCAGAAGGGTTCACCTCCAGGTTTTGCTGGGGAAGAAGACCCTGTGCCTGCCATCGGGGAGGGCCGCTGCCAGTCCGTGTGGACAGCACCGTTGCTCTGACCAATGGGCTGGGGTGCGCAGGGAGCTTTGTGGAAACTTCCATATCCCCATCCTCGTGCGCTTCCAGTCGCCTCCTTTGCAAGATTCAGTGGGAGGCGGATTCCCACGCTTCGGGGGAAGGGGGCAGAGCACCTGCTCGGCATCCAGAAGGTCCCGGGCTCCATCCCCAGTTGGGCCGGGAAGAGCCCTGGGCGCGCCATCAGGGAGAGCTGCTGCCAGCCCGTGCAGGCAATACTGAGCTGGCTGGACCACTGGTCTGATTCAGCGACGGGGCTTTCCTTCCTCCCCCCCCACCTCCGTCATCACCCCCGAGCGGCCCCCTTTGCGGCCTCCAGAAACCTCACCCCCCCCCGGCTGCGCCCACCTCAAGCGCCGCTCGGCCGCCGTCCTTCTCCGCCGCCTCCCTCCGTGCCTCTCTCGCTCTCGCCCCAAGGCATGACGGGAAAGCCAGTGCCGCCGAGCGCGGCTGCCACGGAAACTCACCGTCCTAGTGGCCGGAGGAAACTACGTCTCCCAGCAGCCACCGCGAAGGGAGGACTTAGAACGCCCAGCTGCTTCGCGCTGATTGGCAGGGGAGGGGAAAAAAGAGCGGTACAGTATGTTGCCATTATTACCTTCTGGCTTGTCGTGGCGGCTCCCGGCCTGCAGGTGGCGCCGCGCTCTCGCTTCCGGGAGGATTCGCCCTTTGCGGAGAGTTCGGCTCTTGCTTCCCTCCGCCTTCCATTCAAAGCTCCCCTGGGGTGGATTTCATTCATTGGATTGGATTATATTTCTGTGCCACTTTCCATTCAAACGGATCCCAAAGCTGCTTACAAGCATTAAATAACAACAAGATAGAACATAATGGAACACCCCAAATGCAGAATCGATCCTATAGAATAATTTAACAAATCATCTGTGAAACAATCGCAATCTCAAGGCAGCAGGGAGTCTGGGATTGTGTAGTCCGAGGGGGTTGGAGCTTTGGTTCAGTCCGAACCATTCATTTTAGTGGATTGCACTAAATTGCCTGTATATCAGATTTGCACGGAGGAGCAAAAACGAAGGTGTCAGGGCTGCTGTAAGCCAGGAAACCTAGGTCCGTTGTGGGTATTTGTTTCACTGCATACATGCAAATTTTTAGAAAATTATTTTTTGAAATACATGTTTTGTGATGTGCTAGATTTGCCCAAAAGGGAAGTCAAAAATTTGAAAAATATGTGTGTAGTTTCAAGCCAGGCAAGGGTTTTGAGACACTCGCATAAAAATAATAGAAATAGAAAAAAAACTTATTATTATAAATTATTTTAAAACACTCTTGCTTCCCCTCCTCTCCCTGCAACAGCAATTTTTAAAATTTATTTTTAATACAGCTGTTTGGTGCAGGAGCATTTCCTGTACAAAAGAGGTGGAGCTTTTTGGTTTTTCTTTTTAAATGTGAAATTATGGCCATTGACATGAAGTATTTCTGATGAGCTCAAACAGAAGTTTAATTAAGCGCATAAATGCTTTTTCCAAAACCTTGCACTTAAGCAGTTGTATAATAAAACCCCTTCTACGTAGGCAAATACTTCTAGTGAAATAGGTAAAAAGGTAAGGTAAAGGACCCCTGGAAGGCAACTAACTGTGGGGTTGCAGCCCTCATCTCACTTTCAAGCCAAGGCAGCCGGCGTTTGTCCACAGATAACTTTCCGGGTTATGTGGCCAGCATGACAACCGCTTCTGGCGCAACGGGACTCCGTGACAGAAGCCAGAGCACGTGGAAACGCCATTTATCTTCCTGCTGCAGTGGTACCTATTTATCTCCCTGCGCTGGTGTGCTTTTGAACTGCTAGATTGCCAGGAGCTGGGACAGAACGGGAGCTCACTCCGTCGTGGGGATTCGAACTGCTGACCTAATCAACAAGCCCAAGAGGCTCAGTGGTTTAGACCACAGCGCCACCCGCGTCCCTACTTCTAGTGAAATATTTAATTGACAGAGAAAAAAAGAATTGGAGCATGCTCAGATACAATGATAAGGTCTAGTTCTTCATCTTTCACTCTCTCCCAGAGTGCTTTATGTAAAGATGGTAAAGATAAAGATAATGGACAAGGGGGGTGCTGTGGGTTAAACCACAGAGGCTAGGACTTGCCGATCAGAAGGTCAGTGGTTCGAATCCCCGCAACAGGGTGAGCTCCCGTTGCTCGGTTCCTGCTCCTGCCAACCTAGCAGTTCGAAAGCACGTCAAAGTGCAAGTAAATAGGTACTGCTCCGGCGGGAAGGTAAGCAGCGTTTCCGTGTGCTGCTCTGGTTCACCAGAAGCGGCTTAGTCATGCTGGCCACATGACCGGGAAGCTGCACGCTGGCTCCCTCAGCCAATAAAGCAAGATGAGCGCCACAACCCGTTGGTCACGACTGGATCTAATGGTCAGGGGTCCCTTTACCTTTTTAATGGTCAATACAAGAGTAAGAACTATGAACCTTTGGGGGAGTGTGGAAAATCTTTTCTGGGGTGTAGCACTCAGCACACGTCCAGGAGGTCAAAGGCAGAAGGAGATCATTCAGTTTGCTCTCGCTGGATGATTCAGGAACAGCAGCCACCGCTGCCCATGGCCCGATTGCAACGAACATTGAAGTCACCTCCTAAAATAATAGTACTGGTCGGAAAGGATTCTAACACTTGCAGAGTGTTCTTTAAAAAATTGATCGGCTCGGAGATCCAGGAGTAAGCTGAGCAAAAGGCAGTCAGCGGTGTTCCATTTACCTGCACATATTTCCACTGCTTTCACCCCCTAAAAAAATGTCCAGAGGCACTCTCATTTTCCTACTCATATTGAAAAATACTGCCCCTCAATGAGGCCAAACTTTGATTCACAAAATGTTTAGGGGCATGCATACCCCTGCGTCCCCCTAGAAAAAAAAGCACTGAATACTTCCCTTTAGGATCTATCAAAATTTTATTAATAACAAGTGGACATTTCTTAATCACAAGCACGACTAAATGACTAAACAACAATGAGCCTCTTTAGGTATAAGTGTAATGTTGGCCTCTCTCCAACTATCTGGTACTTTCCACTCTGTAAAATATTGTTCATAGTCCGTTGCAAAGGTTGTGAAAGCTCATCTTCAAAACATTTATGATAATAAGCCAATAGCTGATATGGCGCTTTTCCTTTCTTATACTTCTTGATGGCCTCAGATAATTCCAGAATAGTTATACGGCCATTCACAATGTGTCTTCGAGAAATTGAAATCTCTGGTAAATGCTGTCTCTGTAAGTATTCATCTTCTTTTTTTTTCCAAAAAAGAAATCGACCTTTATACAACTTAGAATAATACTGATGGAATGCTTTTTTCATATTTGTCTTATCTGTTATTACGGCATTTCCTTCTTGCAATTTTAATATAGCTTTCCCCTCTCCTTCCGCAGCTTATAAACCGAACATTGCCCAGTTTATTAGCAAATAAAAAATATGTATGGCTCAATTCAGTATCATTTCTGCAAGATAGACATTGCAAACATAGAAAACTGTCTTTGCAGCATCTTAATTTGCCAAGTAATATTTGTTTAAGTTGGAGAACATTCCAACTATTTCCCCTCTTGTCTAATCTCAGGCAGAATTATGTGTACTTTTTCCCTGTCTCTTTCAAGTAAAGAATTGTGTTGTACAAAAGGTTTGCTTGCATCCCCAACGATTTGTATCCCTATGTCCTTACCTGAATTATTCTCAAAGAATGATTTTAGTTTCTGTTTGCAATCCTGCACAACCTTTTCCTGTTGCAGCTACATTTCAATGAGTCACCATCTAAAGAAACCATTTTTTCTTTTTAAAGTCAATATAACTGGATTGTGATCTGAAGAAATCTATGGTAATATGTCAACTTTATCAACCCCAGTAGCCAGTGTTTTAGATAACCAAGTATATTTATAAAATGCTGTTTTTTCTTCATTTGGGGTATGGAGGTCTACAACCAAAGTTTGTCCAACATACATACCTTGTTCACCAGAAAGTATCAACAGAGTTGAGAATGTATATATAAAACAACTCACTTTCTTTTCTTCAGTCCTGTTAGTCCTCACCTAGATTCTTTTTTATTCAAATAGTTTATACCCTTTCCCGTGTTCCTTGTAAACAATTCTACATGCAATTTCCCCCCTTCAAATTATGAAATATCCCTAGCTAAGCAAGTTATTTTGTCCATTCCTTTATCACCCAATTTCGTATCTTCAAATCTCCACTTTCTGTTGTGATTGCTGTGATTTCCTGGCCCCATCTTGTATTTGTGTTTATTCAATTTCAGATTTAAATTTGTCCGTAAATCTTTGTTCTTCAAAAGAAATAATTACTCCCTCTGGTATGTCCCATCTAAACTGGATTCTTTTCTGTTTCAGTTTACCTGTAAAAAATAATTAGTCTTTTCTCTTATGGGGAATCTTCAGGGGAATCTCTTTCAGCACAATTACATCTGTACTGACCATTTTCAGCCTAGTATCAAAACGTCGCTGTAAGACTTGGTCTCCTAGTCGTCCCCCCCTAACAAAATGTAAAAATGGTAAGAAATACAAATATATCAATTGATGCAGAAGATTTTAGAAGTTACTGTTCAATTGAAGCAAGACCTCCTTTCCAGGACTAATGGATATGCAATTAGAAAATGATTGTGGACGATTATTTGACTACATGATTATAGCAGCAAGACTTTTATTATGCAGAAAGATGGAAAGATTTAACATTACCTGCTACAGAGGAAGTGTTGTGGAAATTACTGGACTTGGCTGAGATAGCAAAGCTGGCGTGCTTAATCACAGAAAAATCATTCTTATTTAATAATTATTGGAAACCCCTTATGGGCTTTTTGTGGGTGGGAGGAATGAACTTGTGATATCTAGGTTTGGAGATTGAACAATATACAGGTTTATGGAAAGTATAATTTTGGAGTGAAAATTTTCAATAATTGTTTATATATAGCTGAAAAAGAAGGAATTGGAATCCATCCCTTCTTCTTTCTTTCTTTTCCTCTTTTGCCTTTTTGTATTTTAAAAAGATATTTTGTATTTGATACTAATCTTTGTATCTCTTCTTTAAAGCTTCAATACAAAAACATTTTTTAAAAAAGAGGCCTTATTAAGAAAAGGATTTAATCACACACGTATGTAAAGTTTCTCCCCTTAGTGGTTTCTTTGATGTTGAGCAAGATTTGATTTAAGACGAAAGCTCTTTCCACACTCCTTGCATTCATACGGCTTCGCCCCTGTATGGGTTCTTTGATGCTTAGTAAGACTTCCTGTTTGGCTGAAGCTCTTTCCACACTCCTCACATTTATATGGCTTCACTCCTGTGTGGATTCTTTGATGCTTCTTAAGGCTTCCGCTGCAACCGAAGCACCTTCCACATTCCACACATTTAAATGGTTTCACGCCTGTGTGGATTCTTTTGTGCGCAGTTAGGTTTCCTTTTGTAGTGAAGCTCTTTCCACACTCCTCACATTTAAATGGCTTCTCCCCTGTGTGGGTTCTTTGATGTTGAGCAAGAAGTGATTTAAGACAAAAGCTCTTTCCACACTCCTTGCATTCATACGGCATCGCCCCTGCATGGGTTCTTTGATGGGTAGTAAGACTTCCTGTTTGGCTGAAGCTCTTTCCACACTCCTCACATTTATATGGCTTCACTCCTGTGTGGATTCTTTGATGCTTCTTAAGGCTTCCGCTGCAACCGAAGCACTTTCCACATTCCACACATTTAAATGGTTTCACGCCTGTGTGGATTCTTTCGTGCGTAGTTAGGTTTCCTTTTATAGTGAAGCTCTTTCCACACTCCTCACATTTATATGGCTTCTCCCCTGTGTGGGTTCTTTCATGAAGAGAAAGAGAGCGGTCAACGGTAAAGCTCCTTCCACACTCAACACATTTATATGGTTTCTCCCCTGTGTGGATTCTTAGATGTATAGTAAGATAGCGTTTCCTACTGAAGCTCTTTCCACACTGCGTGCATTCAAAAGGTTTCTCCCCTGTGTGGCTTCTTTGATGTACAGTAAGGAGTTGTCTCTGGCTGAAGCTTTTCCCACACTTATCGCATTCATATGGCTTCAAACCTGCATGAGCCATTTTATGCTGGAAAAGATTTGAGCTATATTTGAACCTCCTTCCGCATTCTACACACCCATACGGCCTCTCCCCTGTATGACTGATTTGATGGGAACTAAGGCTTCCACTGCAACGGAAGTTCTTTCCACACTCCATACATTTATATGGTTTCTCCCCTGTATGGATTCTTTGATGGAGAACAAGGCTTCCGCTATGGCCGAAATTCTTTCCACATTCCAAACATTTATATGGTTTCAGCCCTCTGTGTATTTTTAAATGTTTAGTTAGATAGCTCCTGTTTCTGAACTTCTTTCCACACTCCAGACATTCAAAGGGCCTCGACGCTGTGTGGATTGTTTGGTGTTTGTTGAGTAATGAAGTACAAGAGAAGCTCTTTCCACATTCCTTACATTTATATGGTTTCTCCCCCTTGTGTGTTCTCTGATGTAAAATGAGGTGTGCCTGTTGACTGAAGCTTTTCCCACACTCCATGCATTCATATGGTTTCTCCCCAGTGTGGCTTCTTTCATGGACAGTAAGGGCTCCTTTCTGACAGAAGCACTTTCCACACACCAGGCATTCATATGGTTTCTCACCTGTGTGGGTTCTCTGATGTACGTTAAGGGCTCCTCTCTGAGCGAAGCGTTTTCCACACTCCATACATTCATATGGCTTCAGCCCTGTGTGGGTTCTTAGGTGCACCACAAGTTTTCCAGCACCTCTGAAGCTCTTCCCACATTCTATACAATCATATGGCTTCTCCCCTGTGTGGATTCTTTGATGGATGGTAAGGGCTCCTGTTTGACTGAATCTCTTTCCACACTCCACACAGTGATATGGCTTCTCCCCTGTGTGAGTTCTTTGATGTATAGTGAGGCTTTTGATACAACTGAAGCTCTTTCCGCACTCCACACATTCATATCGCTTCTCAACTCTGTGAGTTCTCTGATGTGAAGTAAGGTCTTGCCTTTCACTGAAGCTCTTTCCACACTCCTCGCATTTATAGATCTCCCCCCTTGTGTGGATTTTGCAGTGTCTGTTTAATTTTGATTTAGATGTGAATGTCTTCCCACAGTCTGGGCACTTTTCCCTTCTTCTCTTGTGGTCTTGTGGAACAGGAAGTTTGCGGACGTTGGTGCTCTGAGAAGCAGAGCTTTTATTTCTCTGGTTTCCCACATTCCTCTTTCGACCCCTTTTCTTGCCAGCCATTTCTCTTCCAACCTGTTTTTCCGCAATGTCACTTCAGAAGACTGTCAGAAATCGGCTACTATGGGGGAAATGAAAAGGTGGGTATCCTAGGAGTTCAAGATTTTAAAAAGGAAGTAAATATTCCAGTTTCTTCCCTTACTCTACAGTTTGATGTGAAGTATGGTTTTCACTACAACTGAAACTCTTTGTACCACTCATGCTTTTATAAGCATTCTTCCAGGTGTGGAATCTCTTATCCTTAGGGCAGGACTGCAACTGAAGCTCCTCCTCATTGATATGGTCTTCTCCCTTCTGTGGGTTCTGCAGTGTCTATTTAATTTATATTTCAATGTTTCCCTCAAGACTGGATATTCTTCCCTTCTGTTCAATTCAAAAACTTCTTGCAGACGCAGGACTTCATGGGCATCAACACCTCAAGCAGCTCAAAATTTCTTCCACTTCTCTTTTCATTCCTGCTGATTTTTAAATATTTGTCTCTTCATGTTACACTTGCTCCTTCCCAAAGAAGCAGCTCCTGATAATTCGCACTCTCCTGCCCATCCACTGCATAGGATTTAAAAACAAAATAAAACACCACATCAGGAGTTTGAACCAGAAACTAAAGATCGTGTTAGGGATAAAGGCTAATTAGCTGCCTCCCTTAATTCAGTTTTCTCCCCTTTCCTCACTGCACGAAAACTGCTTAGGACACGAGTATGACTGCTATATTATTCACAGATATTGAAAGCAATATTGGTATGCATCTAATTGAATATAGGAAATAATAAACAGGACACTGAAAAATAGGTAACAGCACATTAGCTTAATGAGAAGTTAGCGTGGGTTTGTAAGAACAGCTAATGGATTCTGGTCTGAGACCTGCAGTTATAGGGCGGTATACAAATCTAATTAATAGTAATAATAATTCCTGGTTGGTTGGAAATCATATGGGTGGGTTGTGACTGTTGTGGGAAAAGGTTTTCTAATTATGTGACCTGTTAGCTTATGAATATATGTTAGTTCAGGGGGTATAAAATATCATGTCTGAGAGCTACAACCTTGCAGCCCCTTTGGGATTTCTGGATGTTTGTATTAATAAGGGCATAATTTTTCACTTAAAACCACTGCCTGCTGGCATTCCTTTTTTCAAATTTTATTTTTTCTCATATATAATTTTTCCAATATCCACTATGTCACTCTTTCTCTTATCTTTATTTTCTCTCTTCTTACAAAAAAACCCGACGCCTTCCGCTCCCCCTCTATCTCTCTTTGTTTTGAAACAATTCTTCTGTCAAGTTGGCTGTTCCCAAAACAAAGTTCTGTTCACACAAAGAAGAAAGATTCAGGTAGGTAGCCGTGTTGGTCTGACGTAGTCGGGGGGGAAATCATAATTGTCCAGTAGCACCTTAGAGACCAAATAACAAACTTAGCTGGTTGTTGGTCTCTAAGGTGCTACTGGACAATTTTTAAATATTTTTCGACAAAGAAGAAAGTTATTTTTAGCCTTTCCTGCTAGTCTCTGCAGCGGAAGGCGAGGTGGAGGGGAGGAAAGAGACTTTGGAGATGGCTTTAGTTTTTTAAGCTTCTTTTCTGAAATCCAGTCAGGTAGCACCTCTAAAAGCAAATTCAAGCCTTCACCCAATGAATAACTACAACAACAACAGGGCAAAAAGAAGAAGAAGAAGAAGAAGAAGAAGAAGAAGAAGAAGAAGAAGAAGAAGAAGAAGAAGAAGAAGAAGGCTGCAGCCAAGGTATCAAGAGGAATTATCCCTCTAATAGGGAATTGAAGAAGGAGGCCAAGTTATCAAGAGGAATTATCCCTCTAAATAGGGAATTTTTCTTCCACTCCAAAGCCCCCTCTCCTGCTCTGCATTCCCTTCCTCCTTCTCCTTTCCTGTCATGGGATCTCCTTTGCATCCAAAGGCACTCTGCACTCCTCACACCTCCCCTTGGGGCTGAATGGGGGTTTGGGATATCAGCGGCTGCCTCCTTTCCGCGGCCAGCCCCTGCCAGCCAGTGCAGCCAATACTAGTTGAGCCAAGGGGTGCAAGTCAGCTTCCTTCGCTCCTACTGAAGCAGCTTTTGAACCCCGAGGGAATCTCGCTTCGTTTGCAACGGAAGAGACCGCAGATCATGGGCAGAGGGACACCCTTTGCATGCAAAAGGGGGGCAGACAAACACACACACACGGAAATCCCGGAGAGCCGCTGCCAGTCCGCGCAGGCAACGCGGAGCGAGGTGAACGGTTCACCGATGGTCTGAACTCAAGATTTTTTCCTTGGCTGGTTGATGGTTTGCAGCCGAGTTTGAATTTTGGAAGCGGCATCCACCCAGTTTCCCGCGCATCTAGCATTGCTTGAAATGTCAAATAAAACGCGCCGAGGCCCTATTGGAAAAGGGGGAGGAAGGCTCCTTACTTACAGTTTATTTGTATTTGCAAGGACGGCTGCAGATTTCATGCCTACGCCATGGATCTGGCATAAAAAGAGAGAGATTGAGAAAGGGCGGGAAGGAGGGAGGAAGAGGAGGAGCTTTGATGGGATTCCTAGGAAAGTGCAAAGTGCATTTTCCCCAGGCGATCTGCCAGTCTCTGCACCTGCCCTTTGCTGGCTGGAGCCGTGCATCATCATCATCATCATCATCCTTTATTTATACCCCGCCCATCTGGCTGGGTTTCCCCCAACAGAATATTAAAAACACGATAAAACATCAAAATTAAAAACTTTCCTAAACAGGATTGCCTTCAGATGTGCAAACACACACATACACACCTCAACACATAAAAAAATAATAGGCGATGTGTTTTTTGGAATACGAAGTTTTATTTCTAAACAATATTTTTGCCCTTTTGTTGCTTTGGAGTCCAAGAGAACAAGTGGGAGCAACCAAGAGGCTTCGAAACGGTTAACAGCAGCGACAGGGCTGCCGTTCCTAGAGCGGAACGGAATGCTGGCGGGAGAGGAGGAGCTTCCGCTTCCTGTTCCGGTGGAAGTGGGCGCGGCTGCGTCTGTCCGTCCTCGCAGAGGCGCTGGAGGCGGGTAACTGGGGGGAGTCGGAATTGGGGGGCGGGAGGGAGTGGCACGCTGGGAGGAAGAGCTCGCAAAAGGATGGAGCCCCGTCTCTCCTGGAGGGAACAAAGGGGCGGCGGGGAAAGGTCGTCCTCTCCTGGGAGCGGAAGCGGGAGACTTTGAATGGATCATCCTTAAATTGTAAGTTTCCCTTCCTAGGGAACTTGAAGGGCTGCCACAGAACGTCCTTTTCTCTTGACTGCAAATTTGACAGTCTTAACACTCTTAACTGGGGCTAAGACATATCCAGCCCCATTACTTGCACACTTGCCATAAAGGACCAGAGCTGTACATTTAAGACATATTCATGCCACAACTGCATTTCAGTTTTCTGTGCCACAGTAGTTTTCTGTGCTTTGACTTTCACTGCCTTTCAATAAAGGGTACAGTGGTACCTCGGGTTACATACGCTTCAGAATACAGGCGCTTCAGGTTACAGACTCCGCTAACCCAGAAATAGTACCTCGGGTTAAGAACTTTGCTTCAGGATGAGAACAGAAATCGTGCTCCGGCGGCGTGGCAGCAGCGGGAGGCCCCATTTGCTAAAGTGGTGCTTCAGGTTAAGAACAGTTTCAGGTTCAGAACAGACCTCCGGAACGAATTAAGTACTTAACCTGAGGTACCACTGTATATCCAGGTACCTAAACGAGCAAGTTTGTTCTGTAGCTGGCTGATGTAAGCACCATTTATACTCTTGTTGGCCAGAAAATCATAATCTTGGCCTTCTGTTAATTTATCGGCAGGCTTTCTTGTTACACTATGTGCTGAACACCTCCAAGTTATTTTTAAGGCCCAATCAGAAAAGTGAGTGGAATACTATATCACCGGCGTACATCAAGATTGAGTTCTTTCTGTTCCTAATTCTTGGACACGGGGAGTTTGTATTGCCTAAACATGGCACCAAATGATTAATTTTGTTGTTGTTTAGTCGTGTCAGACTCTTCGTGATCCCATGGACCAAAGCACGCCAGGCAAATGATTAATACAGAAGTGGAAATGAGTGGAAGGCAGAATGCAGCCTTGCTTCACTCCTCACAACGTTCCTAAAGCATTAGTCTTACTGTCATTTAAGCCTACTCTGAGCTTCATTTCTGCGTTCTTGTATAAATAGCAGGTCTGCAGTTGATGTTGGCAATTTGACATTTCTCTGTTTCAATTTTTCTTAATATTCTTAGTATATTTCCTTGTAATATAGTTCAGAGTAAAACATTGGTCCATGGTACAGGCAGTGACCATCTTAGGTGCACTCAATTGATGCGCAATTGCTGAGACAGGGAACGGAGGCAGGGAGCATTTATATGCGCTCCAACTATGCATGGGGGACCAAAAATAAAAGGCTTCCTCTGTACAGTTTGCAATTTTCTGCCTTTAGGAGATTTATATAACGCTTAATCCCAAAGTGGCAGGTGTTTATTATTATTATTATTATTATCATTATTATTATTAGTATTAGTATTATTAATAGTTACATTTAGTCACTTTTTATGAAAAGTAAACTCAAAGCAATCTACAATATGATACAAAAATCAAAGTCACTCTAAAACAAAGCAAAACAAAAGCTATATGAATGTTTGTCACTCCAAACCAAAATTTTGGCGCTTGCATCAAGGGTTGCTGTTTAATTTCCTCTCTTTCCTGCACTTTTCTTTTGCTAATTGCTATGCTTGCAAGGGCAAAAAATTATGTTTCTGTTAAGTACAGCAGTTTCTGCAGGAGCATTCCGGGCAGAAGTGGTAAAAAAGAATAGAGAAAGAAACAACTTCAGGTCCACATTAAACTCCAGTATGACTGAGGCCCTATTTATTTCCGTGACATCTGATGGGAGGGCTTTCCACAGGGCGGGTGCCACTACCAAGAAGGCCCTCTGCCTGGTTTTCTGTAACTTCACTTTGTGCAGTGAGAGAACCGCCAGAAGACCCTCAGATCTCAGTGTCCAGGCTGAATGATTGGGGTGAAGATGCTCCTTCAGCATTTTATCAGTTTGCCTTTTTATTCCATCAGGAGATGTTGAAGGGATGCTGGCAGAAGGGGAACAATCCGAAGTGTCACCGAAAGGATCCAAAGAGCAGGTGGAGCAAAGGAAGCTGAGGGTTCAAGATGGAGGCAGCTGGCAAGAGGGGAGATGAAAGCAGAAGCCAGAGGGTAAATCAGGTATGTCTCAGGGTGGTGAAAATCAAATTCACAGAGAGGAGAAAAAGAATGAATGCACAGTGTGTGGAAAGAGATTTGGTTATCGCTCAAATCTTACTTCACATCAAAGAGTGCACACAGAGGACAAACCTTATAAATGTTTATAAATGTGCAAAGAGCTTCATCAACAAACTCATAGAGGGGATGAAAAAGATGATGAAGAAGAAGAGTTTGGATTTGATATCCTGCCTTTCACTTCCTTTAAGGAGTCTCAAAGCGGCTAACATTCTCCTTTCCCTTCCTCCCCCACAACAAACACTCTGTGAGGTGAGTGGGGCTGAGAGACTTCAGAGAAGTGTGACTGGCCCAAGGTCACCCAGCAGCTGCACGTGCAGGAGCAGAGACGCGAACCCGGTTCACCAGATTATGAGTCTGCCACTCTTAACCACTACACCACACTAGCTCTCAGTGTGAACCTTATAAATGCTGTGAGTGTGGAAAGAGCTTCCGCTTCAACAATGCCCTTACTGAATTCATGCAGGGGAGAAACCTTACAAATTTTTCGAATGTGGAAATAGCTTCAGTGGCAGTTGCTCCTTTACCTTGCATTAAAGAATTCATACAGGGAAGAAAAAGGAAGTGTTGTACTTGACCGCTTATGTTACATCACACAATTTTGTGTGTGTGATAGGAACTGCCTTCCATTTTCCTCCAGGTTCTGGTGTCTTTTGAGGAGGTGGCAGTATATTTCACCCAGGAAGAGTGGGCGCTCCTGGGTCCAGCTCAGAAGGCTCTCTACAGGGAAGTCCTGCTGGAGAATTATGAGGAATTGGCTTCTCTGGGTAAGCATCCTTTGGTTGAGAGATATGTATGTTTGTTTCCTAGAACCCATTGACCACTTCAAACGTTAAAGAAAAAGAACCTCAAAGCAGTTTGCAGAAAGAATAAAGCAATAAAATTATCAGGAAAATAGCTAAAAAACAACAACTATTTAAACCATTCCAAAAAATGATTAAAACCAACACTGCCCTAAAAACCAGATTGAAACACACGACAACTGTCTTGTTTGCCTGGAAAAATTGACGTAAACAAGAATGTTTTTATTTGTTGTCGTTTAGTTGTGTCCAACTCTTCGTGACTCCATGGTCCAGAGCACACCAGGCACTCCTGTCTTCCACTGCCTCCTGCAGTTTGGTCAAACTCATATTGGTAGCTTTGAGAACACTGTTCTCTGTCGCCCCCTTCTCCTTGTGCCCTCCATCTTTCCCAATATCAGGGTCTTTTCCAGGGAGTCTTCTCTTCTCATGAGGTGGCCAAAGTATTGGAGCCTCAGCCTCAGGATCTGTCCTTCCAGTGAGCACTCAGGGCTGATTTCCTTCAGAATGGATAGGTTTGATCTTCTTGCAGTCCATGGGACTTTCAAGAGTCTCCTCCAGCACCAGAATTCAAAAGCATCAATTCTTGTTTTTATTAGCAGGTTCAAAATAGGGTGCCATGAAAAACATACCCCTAACAATGATATATCTTCTGCTTTTCCCTCAAAGAAGGGCCTCTGTTTCCTCAACCTCCCCTCATCTCCTGGTTGGAAGAGGAGGAAGAGGAGTTCGTCCAGAAGAAAGAAGCAGGTGGGTTTCTAAAGAACACAGGAAGTGCATCGAGCCCGGCTTCGTGTTCTTGAGGTGGCTAAGCAGATCCCTGTGGGCAGGCCATGAGCTGTGAGCACAACAGCAACGCTTCCCAGTCGTGATCCCTGTTGTGAGGTTTTTTGGTTTCCCGTTAATTTAATTATTTGTTTTTTTCAAATTACAGTTTTACAATCACATATCTGAGGCCAGTCTTTTTGGGACGCGGGTGGCGCTGTGGGTTAAACCACAGAGCCTAGGGCTTGCCGATCAGAAGGTCGGCGGTTCGATTCCCCGTGACGGGTTGAGCTCCCGTTGCTCGGTCCCTGCTCTTGCGAACCTAGCAGTTCGAAAGCATGAAGTGCAAGTAGATAAATAGGTACCGCTCCGGCGGGAAGGTAAACGGCGTTTCCATGTGCTGCTCTGGTTCGCCAGAAGCGGCTTAGTCATGCTGGCCACATGCGGAAGCTGTACGCAGGCTCCCTCGGCCAATAAAGCAAGATGAGCGCTGCAACCCCAGAGTCAGCCACAACTGGACCTAATGGTCTGGGGTCCCTTTACCTTTACCTTTATCCAACATACAACAATCTTGTTCGTTCCAAGCACTGAGCTGCTCTGTGGTTGCTCAGTCATAACTATTTATATTTATTATCTGCTTTGCTCATAAAAAGGACCCAAAACGACTGAACAAAGAACTCAGAGGTGCTTCAGAGTAAAACACCCCTTCCTCAGGAGCTTGAAAAATGGACAAGCTGCTTCCAGTCAGTTCAAGAACCAGCTTGAAAAAGTAGTTGAGCAAACTCATGCCACCTTCCTTCCACGTACATTTTGAAGGGAAAAAAAACAAAATGTTTTATCCTGCTACCTTTTCCATGCCACTTTTGCAGGTAGTCGAAAATGCCGCAGGTCCTCTCCTCTTTGGGATGAAGTGGAAGGAATGGCCATCCCTTCAGCTCAGGTAATTGGGTCTGGAGGTCTCATCCTGTGGCTTCTTCATTTGTTTAATCGGTTAGTGCTTTCTGAGGCAGCACATAAAATTCTCTCAGCATGGTAGAAATTGATTAGAAACATAACTCCATACAGCAGGGGCACAGACGGTGAGGCCTCCCCTCTTATTGGGATCCCCCCAGTGAAGCTGAGGAGCTGACTGGCGCCTACTTTGAGCCCTGCTTTGTCTGTTTGCAGGCATGGTTTTCATAATAATAATACTTTATTATTTATACCCTCCCCATCTGACTGGGTATCGCCAGCCACTCTGGGCAGCTCCCAACAGAATATTAAGAGCACAATAAAACATCAAACATTAAAAATTCCCTAAACAGCGCTGCCTTCAGGTGTCTTCTAAAAGTCAAATAGTTGTTTATTTCCTTGACATCTGCTGGGAGGGCGTTCCACAGGGCCACTACCAAGAAGGCCCTCTGCCTGGTTCCTTGTAACCTCACTTTTCGCAGTGAGGGAACCGCCAGGAGGCCCTCGGAGCTGGACCTCAGTGTCCAGGCTGAACGATGGGGGTGGAGACGCTCCTTCAGGTATACTGGGCTGAGGCTGTTTAGGGCTTTAAAGGTTAGCACCAATACTTTGAATTGTGCTCGGAAATGTACAGTGGTGCCTCGCAAGACGAAAATAATCCGTTCCGCGAGTCTCTTCGTCTAGTGGTTTTTTCGTCTTGCAAAGCAACCCTATTAGCGGATTAGCGCTATTAGCGGTTTAGCGGCTATTAGCGGCTTAGCGGCTTAGAAAAGGGGGGGGAGCGAAAAAAATCGCAAGACTCGCAAGACGTTTTCGTCTTGCGAAGCAAGCCCATAGGTTAAATTCGTCTTGCGAAGCGCATCGAAAAACGGAAAACCCTTTGGTCTAGCGGGTTTTTCGTCTTGCGAGGCATTCGTCTTGCGGGGCACCACTGTACTGGGAGCCATTGTAGGTCTTTCAGGACCGGTGTTATATGGTCTCGGTGGCCATTCCCAGTCACGACAGACCCTCATGCTTTTTGCACACACTGTTCTTATCCTCTGTCCAGGCAAGGAAAAGAAGCAGCAGGCAAGCAAAAAAGCATCAAGGGCACATTCTAGCTGGGCACAAACCTGTGGTGAGGGTTTGCCAAGCCCTCTTAGCACGTTTCTCCCTTTTGTCCTGAGTCTGAGCATCTTCAAAGCCCATGACCCTTTTGGTAAAGGCTGTTCTCCAATTGAAGCGCTCGCAGGCAAAATGGAAGAGTAATGAAATCCCCTCTATACAAGATTGGATCCAAAAGCTGACAGAATATGCCGAATTAGACGGTCTATCAGAAAAAATAAAGAATAAATCAAAACAGGAATTTGTTTCAAAATGGGAGGTTTTCAAAGAATATTTGAAAAATAAATATAGTAGTTTAAATTCTGTTGCAGCATTCAAGGAACTTCAGTAATAGTTGCAAGGTAGATCTAAGGAATCAGATATATTAAGAAAAAGTTTAATTATGATAAAAGTGTGTATTGGCAATAAGTAATATGAAATCGAAATATGGAATAGATGGGAGGTTGGGTCTTTAGTGTTAAGACCAATATGTGTTTTATTGTTTGTTAAGAAAATAATGTGTCTATGGTTATTCCTGTGTGTAATTTGGTATTTGTGTTTTTTCTTTTTTTCTTGCTGTATCAATAAAAATTAATAAAAATAAAAATGAAGTGCTCGCAGGCCAATGTTTCCTATTTGTCAGTGTTTATACTCCTTTTTTTTAGATTTGCTTTGAGAGAGTCTTTCAACCTCTTTTGTTGACACCCCTGGTGTACATAAAGACTCACTGTGGGGTGGTTCTGGAGGTGGGTTCTCATTACGGTATCTTTTACTTCCCTTCCTTGGATATTTCTCTCTCTTTCTCTTTTCTTTTTCTTTTTTTGGGGGGAAATTATTATAAAGTACCATCAGAATTATGGATATTTTCTCCTTTTTTCAGAGTTTGGTGTCCTTTGAGGAGGTGGCTGTGTACTTCACCAGAATCGAGTGGGCTTTGCTGAATTCAGGCCAACAAGAACTCTACAAAGATGTCATGCTGGATAATTACAGGAACTTGGCCTCTCTGGGTAAAGATCCCTCTGCGCTCGCTTTCTTGAATTCCTTATCGTTCTCTCCATATAGGAAGTCCATGGTCAGTTCTGGCTAAGCCAAGCCTTCCTGTGCTAGCTGCCAAAATTAGACGGTGCCACCCAGCTCAGGTGCCTACTGAGGTCATTTGGGGCTAAAGAAGATTTTCTCCTTGAGTTTTTACCCAGACATTTGGTCATTGATTCTGCTCGTATTGATTCGGAGCAGACTCCCAATGTATAGTCAGCAGAGTAAAAACATAAACACACTGCAGGGAGCATGGTTTGGATTTAATAATAATAGTAATAATACTATATTTTTTCCAATGCAAAGTTATAAAAATCCATATATATCAATCCATATTATCCATGGTAATTGTTATACAACAAGTGAAATCAGAATCCTGCCAATGTTTCCATCTGCTTAAAGTGGTCTCTTAGCTAGCTTATAAACTTTCCCCATTCTTTTGAAAAGCTTTTGTCCTCTTGGTTCCTGAGTTTTCCAGTCAGCTTTGCCATTCAGTCAGCTTGGTTTGCCATTCCTCTCTGGTAGGGACCTTGTCTTCTTTCCATCTCTGAGCTAGCAGCATCCGGGTGGCTGTTGTTCCATACACAAAGAGTCTCTTCTGGTCCTTTGGGATGTTGGTACCTGAAATTCCTAATAGAAAAGCTTCTGGTTTTTTAACAAAAGTTATTTAAAATATTTTTTTCATTTCATTATATATCATCTCCCTTGCAGTCCACTGCCACATTTTCTTTACATTTCCAGCAGATGTTTGTACTTGTCCTATACATTTTTGCCAGCTCGGTAGGAGTCAAATACCAGTGGTACATCATTTTCATATAGTTTTCTTTCCAAGTACAACATGCCGTGAATTTCAGGTCTGTTTTCCATAACTTTTCCCAATCTGTCATCTGAATATTATGTCCCAGATCCTTTGCCCAGTGTATCATTACCGACTTGACCAGTTCATCTTCTGTACATGGTTTGGATTTTCTGCAAACCTTTGTAGCCCTGGGTGCCACCAATAACGCCTTTTGCTTTCTTTCTTTTTATTCCATGAAGAAGGGCCACTGATGCCCCATTCGGACCTCATCTCCTGGCTTGAAGAAAAGGAAGAGTGGTTGGGCCAGAAAAGAGAGGCAGGTGGGTTCTTGGGTAGAGAAGAAGATTTTGGGGGGTGGAACCTGTGGCTTTTCGGAGCTTGCTGAATTAGAATCCCCATGGGTGGTTTGGTCGTCTCCTGGTGTTTTTGTAGTAAATTCTACGTAGAATCAAAGAATTGTCAAGTTGGAAGGGACCCTGAGGGTCATCTAGTCCAACAAACTGCAATGCAGCAATCTCGACTGAAGAATCCATGACAGTGTGGATGGAGCGATTGGTGATAAATGGTGTCGGTTTGGAGATAGATGGATGTAGCTATATCCACAGTTGCTTTGGTGATGTGGTTGGAGTCAGTGATGGTTGCTTTGGTGGTAGATGGAGTGGTTTGGTGATTGTGGGAGTGGTTGGTGCAGTGATGGATGGAGATGGAGTTATTTTGGTGACACCAGACTGATGTCTCTAGGTCCATCTAGTGCTCCCCCCCTCTCTTTCCTGTCCCGTTTCAAAGATCTGGTCCTTTGGGTTGGAATGGAGGTATGGAAAAGAGACAGCATGGTTTGGATTTTCTATAAATCTAGGACCTAAAAAGCCTAGGACCCTCGTACTGCCTCTCCCGGTATGCCCCACGGAGGACCTTAAGGTCCATAAATAGCAACACCCTAGAGGTCCCGGGCCCTAAGGAAGTCAGATTAGCCTCAAACAGAGCCAGGGCCTTTTCAGGGCCTGGTGGAACACTCTGTCTCATGAGACCAGGGCCCTGCGGGATCTGATTTCTTTCCACAGGGCCTGTAAGACAGAGTTGTTCCGCCTGGCCCTTGGCTTGGAGCCAATTTGATTCCCTCCTCCTCTTTCTTTTTTCCTTTCTCCTCCTGTGATGAGGCTGCATTTTAATGTTTTAATGTTGTATTTTAATCTTGTTTTTAAGTTGTATTTCAGTCAACTTGTTTTTATTATTGGTTGTTAGCTGCCCTGAGCCCGGCCTTGGCTGGGGTGGGCGGGGTATAAATAAAGTTATTATTATTATTATTAGTAGTAGTAGTAGTAGTAGTATTATCATTATTAACTTCTGCACTCACAGGGGCCATCAATAACAAGTTTTGCTTCTTTTTTAATCCCATCAAGATGGGCTTCTGATGCTCCAATCAGACCTCATCTCCTGGCCTGAAGAAAAGGAAGAACTGCTGGTCCAGAAGGAAGTGGCAGGTAAGTCCTTGGATGTAGAGCAGGGATGGGGGAAACTCTATGGTCTTCTACTTGTTGCAGTAATGCAACTCCCATGAGTGGTTTCGTCATCTCCTGGCATTCTAAGCAGAGTGGATGGAGTGGCTGGTCATGGGTGGAGTTTGACGATTGAGAGGGTTGTTGATGGATGGAGTGTTTTGGCGATGGTGGGAGTGACTGGTAGAGTAATGGATGATGGTCGAATCGCTTTGGTGACCCCAGACGGATGTTTTAAGATAGGCACCCCTCCCAAACTCAGCCCTCCAAATGTTTTGAGGCTACAATTCCCATCATCCCTGACCACTGGTCCTGTTAACTAGGGATGATGGGAGTTTTAGTCCCAAAACATCTGGAGGGCCGAGTTTGCCTATGCCTGTTTTAAGGTCTGTGCATTGCTCTCCAATATGCTTGTCTTCTTTCACATATCTGGGAGGTTGGGATGGTGTCAGGGACTGGACTGTGGAAGAATGGTGTGAGCCACCCTCTTTTCCTGAACCTTCCCAAGGGCAGGAGGACAGTATTGATTTAGTTTGCAGAGGGGCATAGTCCAGAGGGGAAAAGCTGGGAAACACTGGGTGAGGAACAGGAGAGAGACAGCTGGCAGATTTCAGTCCTTGGACATAATTTCTGATGCCACGCCCCCCTTCCCCTAAGACTAGATGGACCTGGAAAGTGATGGAACAGAAAGCACAATGGCAATAAGCTCAGATTGCCCAATGTAGGAGTGATGTAGATTAATGGGGACAGAAGGGGTAAACCTTTACTGGGAGCAACGCCATTTTTTAGCATGATATGCATTTCTTGTCTCTCGCTGTGATTATTAAAGAACTTATCTGATAAGAACACTCTTTTTGTTTGATCTGCTTAATTACTGCCACCAGGGGAGGGATCCGATTCCCCGAGGCCTGACAGATGGGACGGAGGGCTGAAAAGAGAATACATGGTTTGGATTTTCTTTGACCTTTTGCAGTCACAGGTGGCATCAATAACAGTTTTTGCTTTCTTCTTATCCCATTAAGAAGGGCCTCTGGTGTCCCAATTAGACCTCACCTGGTTTGAAGAAAAAGAAGAGTTGTTGGTTCAGAAGAAAAGGACAGGTAAGTCGTTGGATATAGAAGATGGATGAGAGAAACCCTGTGGTCTCCCGGATGTTGCTGAATTGGAACTCCCATGAGTAGTTTCATCTTCTCCTGGTGTTTTTGTAGTACATTCTGTGTAGAGTGGATGGAGCTGGTTTGGTGATGGATGGATGTTGCTCATATATAGTTGCTTTGGTACGGAATTGGGGTTGGAATTGGCTGTTTTGGTGATGGATGGGCTGTTTTGGTGATGGCAGAAGTAACGAGTGGAATGGTTTGATTGTTGGAGTGGTTTGATGATTGAGAGGGAGAGATTTGTTTTTGGCAATGGATGGCGTTGGTTTGGTAATAGTGAAAGTGGTTGGGGATGGATGGGGTGGTTCAATGGTTAGAGCAGATGGAGTGGTTTGATGACTGAGGGAGAAACTCAGAGTGATTTGCGCTTTTTACAGGATCTTCATTTTCTGTCTGCCCCCTCCTCATGCAGGTGATGGACAGGACAATGAGAATTACCAGGCGCCATATATAGCGTTGGCAGAAACAACCACACGTGATACGGGGAAAGAAATGTTTGGAAATCAAAGAGAAAGGCACAAGGCAAACCGATCAAAGCCTAGGCAGAAGAGGCAATCTGCTTCCCAGAGGGCTGAGGTCCATGAACTCCTGATCCCTCCAGAAGACTGTAAAGATAATAAGAATATTACGTGTCCAGTGTGTGAGAAAATATTCCAGTATAGATCACAGTTAAATACACATAGCAGAAGTCACACAGGGGAGAAAACCGTACAAATGCACAGAGTGTGGGAAGCGCTTCAGTACAAGCAGTTCCCTTACTGCACATGGAAGAACCCACACAGGAGAGAAACCGTATAAATGCATGGAGTGCGGAAAGAGCTTCAGCCAAAGAGGAAGTCTTATTGCCCATCAAAGAACCCATACAGGGGAGAAGCCATATAAATGCATGGAGTGTGGAAAGAGTTTCAGTCAACTTGGACATCTTATTTCCCATCAGATAATCCATAAAGGGGAGAAACACTGTAACTCCGGACAGGTGGACTGTGGAAAGGGCCTCCATGATAGCATAACCTTTACTGAACATCAGAGAACCCGCACAGGGGAGAAGCAGTATAAATGTCTGGAGTGTGGGAAAAGCTTTGATATGAGAGGAACCCTTGCCAAACATCAAAGAATCCACACAGGGGAGAAACCATATAAATGCATGGAGTGCGGAAAGAGCTTCCGGGCTAGCTGGACCCTTTGTATACATAAGCGAATCCACACAGGGGAGAAACCATATAAATGCTTGAACTGCGGAAAGAGCTTCCGGGATGGCGGAACCCTTGCCAAACATCAAAGGATCCACAAAGCGGAGGAAAGATATATCTGCACAGACTGTGGAAACGTCTTTCGAGGGAGTGGTAGCCTTACTTTACATCAAAGAGTCCACACAAGGGAGAAACAGTGTGCTGGGTGGAACCTTTCCGAACATCAAATAATCCACATGGGAGAAACTGTGTAAATTTATGGAATGTCAAAAAGCCTTCTAGTATACAGTTACTGACTCACCCTTGTATGCATGAAAGCGTTAACCCGAGCCAGAAATGAGCTCTAGTTAACCGCTCCAGCAGCCATTCTTTTCCCCTCTCTCTTTCTCTCCGACTTCCTGAAAGACACCATTACCCGGCATGGCTCCCAGCTCAAGAAAACCACGTAAATGAATCTTTCTACAAGAGTTTTCTACAGTCCCCGTCTTTTCTAACACAAAGACCGCATGGTTCCCTTTTTGTAACGAAACCAATTTATTTTCTTTTCAAACAGCTTGGAACCTTTTCTTCGTTGCTTTTACCGCCAACGGATGGAGACTTGTTTGCTGTAACGTCTGAAACTAGCTCAGCTGTTTTCATGGGGAACATTTGTTTAAAGGCGAATGAGGGCAGATGTAGAATCTAACCAAATTTTTATGTACTTGTAAAAAGGTAAAGGGACCCCTGACCATTATGTCCAGTTGTGACCGACTCTGGGGTTGCGGCGCTCATCTCGCTTTACTGGCCGAGGGAGACGGCGTACAGCTTCTGGGTCATGTGGCCAGCATGACTAAGCCACTTCTGGCGAACCAGAGCAGTGCACGGAAACGCCGTTTACCTTCCCGCTGGAGCGGTACCTATTTACCTACTTGCACTTTGACATGCTTTTGAACTGCTAGGTTGACAGAAGCTGGGACAGAGCAACGGGAGCTCACCCCGTCACAGGGATTCGAACCGCCGACCTTCTGATCGGCATGTCCTAGGCTCTGTGTTTTAACCCACAGCGCCACCCGCGTCCAATCGGCAATTGTGCTAACTCTGTATGAGAAAGTAAAGCTTTTTGTTCAAACCTCTCTGCAGCATCAGGTTATGGGGCTCAGGCAACACCTAGGTTGGAGATTTTCTCCTGCAGAGCTGGCAGACTCACCCTTTTTCAAACACCCTCCCTTGCGGGGTGTTCCATCAGTCTCCTCTCCCCTCTCCTTGGGAGTCCTCCAGCCGCTGCTGCCGCCTCTCTAATGAACTTGTCTAGAGAAGTAAGCTCTTTCATAGAACCATAAAATTGTAGGGTTAGAAGGGATCCTGAGGGTCATCTAGACCAACCCCCTGCAAAGCTGGAATCTTTTGCTCAATGTGTGGCTCAAAGCCATGGCCCTGAGACTGCGGACCTTGGACTGAGTAAATGTGAACCTATCCAGATGATGCAGGTCAGCAGTACAAAGCTGTCAAGGACCAATAAATTCCTGGCATGCACAAAACACATTGGCGTGAGATATCACTACATTTGTGAACATGTCCAGAGTGGAATTGTGGAACCAGTTTATTGCCCCATCAAACAGCTGACATACTGAGCAAACCTTTACATGTGAGGAACTTTGGGTCAAGATGGGACTCTTGAGGGGGAGGGACTTAACATGCTATGTTTGTATGTTCTTTCCATGTACACATCTGCTTGTCAGAGAGGAGAAACTGGCAATATACTTCATATCTGAAGAAGTGTGCATGCACACGAAAGCTTATACCCAGAACTACTTAGTTGGTCTCTAAGGTGCTACTGGACAATTTTTATATTTATTTCGGCAATATACAGTTACTGACTTACACCTGTGTGCATGAAATTGTTAACGGGAGCCAGAAATCAGCTCGTTAACATGGGAGAGACTCCTAGCAGCCTTTGCTTCTTCCTCCCTCTCTCTTTTGCTCTTGCCTTCCTGGAAGACGCCAGTAGCCAGCATGGTTCCCAGCTCAAGAAAAATCTACATCCTGTATCTTTGTTAATGTAATTTTTGTTACATTAAATTAAACTTAATTCGTTTTGTAATATAACTTATTTATTTTGCTTTTAAATTGCTTGGAACCTTTTCTTCCTTACTTCCAATGGATGGAGACTTGTTTGTTGCAGCTTCTGAACCTCTGCAAGTAAACCTCTTCACTTTTCCAAAGCTGTGTGTCTGAGATTTATTCTAGCCTAAGTATTTTCATGGGGAACAAATGCTTGAAGGTGGATGAGGGCAGATGTAAAATCTAGCCAAGTTTTAATGTGCTTGATACCAATGTGCTAACTCTGCTATGAGAAAGAATTTCTTTTTTCAATCTCTCTCTCCAACATGGGAAAAACATATGAATGTATGGCATGTGGGAAGTATATGAACACCTTACATTACACCAGGAGTGGGGGACATCCAGTCTATGCTTGTCTCTCCCAGGCAGGGCCAGCCCACCCATTAGCCTCTAACTCTTATTCCGGCACCCCTTTGAAACACCTCCGTTCTCCCAGGTGTTTCATAAAATCATACAGTTGGAAGAGACCCTGAGGGCCATCTAGTCCAACCCCCTGCAGTGCTGGAATCATTTGCCCAATATGGGGCTCAAACCCATGACCCTGAGATTAAGAGTCTCATGCTCCACCAACTGAGCACGTCCAGGTCTTAGGATGTGTTGAACTGGTTTTAAAGTTAACATGGTATTAGCTAGGCCCCCCCCCCAATTATTTCTAGCTTTAATATTTGAGAGGTGTTAATTCAGCTGTCATCCGGTATTACGTTTTTGTGATTTTTGTTGCTAGACCTTATCGTGCAGGATTGTTCCGATTGTTCCGATTTTACTGTATATTGAGATGTTTTCATTTATTGTTTGTGAAGTTATGTTTTTAGAACTGTTGGTGTGAATTATGTGATTGTTTCTGTAAGCCGCCTTGAGCATGGTTTAATCATGGAAAGGAAGCATGGAGTAAGAAGTAATGGAGTAAGGAGGAGTAAGAAATTCTCAGAGTAAGAAGTCTGCAAGCTCTTCCCATCTTGGGCGACTGTAACTTGTCTCTATGAGCCTCGCACCTCTCCTCTGCTTTGTCACAGCCCATCCCAGATAAGGAAGAAGCACACACCTGGTAGTTAACTCTTTATTTGGCAAGAGAAGCACTTACAGCAGCTTCTATGGTTGTTTGTTGTTGTTTAGTCGCTTAGTCGTGTCCAACTCTTTGTGACCCCCTGGACCAGAGCACGCCAGGCACTCCTGTCTTCCACTGCCTCCCACAGTTTGTTCAGACTCATGTTTGTAGCTTTGAGAACACTGTCCCACCATCTCGTCCTCTGTCGTCCCCTTCTCCTTGTGCCCTCCATCTTTCCCAGCATCAGGGTCTTTTCCAGGGAGTCTTCTCTTCTCACGAGGTGGCCAAAGTATTGGATCCTCAGCTTCAGGACCTGTCCTTCCAGTGAGCACTCAGGGCTGATTTCCTTCAGAATGGAGAGGTTTGATCTTCTTGCAGTCCATAGGACTCTCAAGAGTCTCCTCCAGCACCATAATTCAAAAGCATCAATTCTTTGGCGATCAGCCTTCTTTATGGTCCAGCTCTCACTTCCATACATCACTACTGGGAAAACCATGGCTTTAACTATCCGGACCTGCCCTGGCTAGGGCTGGTCAAACGCTCCCGCCTGAAGAGCTGCTGCCAGTCTGTGCCTGCAATAGTAGGTCGGCCAGTACCTAATCTGTATAAGGCAGCTTCCTGTGTCCCTGCAGCAGGGCTTCTCCTTCCAGACAACTTGAAAACACGCAAACAGATACCCTCAACCCGCTTGCTTTGCACCCCGGCTCCTCCTGGCATTGCTTTGCCAGGGCAGGAAGCGCCCCCCCTCCTCCTTTCACTGCCTCTCTAGGACGCCGCACATCTCTTGGTTTAACCCCAACAAGCCGGCAGCCCCTGAGAAGATGTGCCCGGCTGGATCAGGAGGTGCAAAGGAAATTTTGGTTTAGGGTAACAGATGCAAAGGACGCTCAAATTGCCTCCATCCCCTAGGAACGGTATTTCAGGAGTCATAGAAATCCCAGAATTGTAGAGTTGTTGGAAGGGGCCCGAGGGTCATCTAGTCCAACCCCCTGCAATGAAGGACGAAGCAGCTGTTCCTGCGACCAGGCGCCAACCAACCCAGATGATCAGATCCCATCTCTTTAAAAAGCAGGATAAGGCGGCAGGATTGTGAACCTTACGTTGAAATATATTGTTCATTGTAGTATAATACACTTCGCTAATGTTTCTCTTTACGGAATTCACTGTTTTCTGTAGCATACAACCGAAATGAACGAAAGACTCTATTAATTAGAGCTTGTGACCTTTTTTGTGAACCACTCTGAGACCTCCGGGTATAGGGCGGTATATAAATTCTAATACAGAGGTACCTCGGGTTAAGTACTTAATTCGTTCCGGAGGTCTCAGAGTGGTTCACAAAAAAGATCACAAGCTCTAATTAATAGAGTCGTTCGTTCATTTCGGTTGTATGCTACAGAAAACAGTGAATTCAGGTTACAGACTCCGCTAACCCAGAAATAGTACCTCAGGTTAAGAACTTTGCTTCAGGATGAGAACAGGAATCGGGCGGTGGCAGCAGGAGGTCCCATTAGCTAAAGTTGTGCTTCAGGTTAAGAACAGTTTCAGGTCAAGAACGGACCTTCAGAACGAATTAAGTTCTTAACCTGAGGTACCACTGTATTGGGGGGGCACAAGCCTCTCAAATATTTTATTGGGGGCCCCAAAGGGACTTTGGCACCTAGAAGTTGGCTCCTATGCAACACATCAACCCTTAGTGTGGAGCATGGGTAGGCAAACTAAGACCTAGGGGCTGGATGCGGCCCAATTGCCTTCTAAAGCTGCCCGCGGACGCTCCAGGAATCAGCATGTTTTTACATCAGTAGAATGTGTCCTTTCACGGTGGTACCTCGGATTAAGAACTTAACTTGTTCTGGAGGTCTATTCTTAACCTGAAACTGTTCTTAACCTGAAGCACCACTTTAGCTAATGGGGCCTCCTGCTGCTGCTGCACCGCCGGAGCACGATTTCTGTTCTCATCCTGAAGCAAAGTTCTTAACCCGAGGTACTATTTCGGGGTTAGCGGAGCCTGTAACCTGAAGCATATGTAACCTGAAGCGTATGTAACCTGAGGCACCACTGTATTTAAAATGCATCTGGGTTATTTGTGGGGCCTTCCTGGTGTTTTTACATGAGTAGAATGTGTGCTTTTATTTAAAATGTATCTCTGGGTTCAGTGGCGTAGCGTGGGGGGTGCAGGGGGGGCTGGCCGCACCGGGCGCAACATCTGGGGTTAGGGCAAATCCACAGGTTAGGGGGCGCAAATCCACGGGTTAGGGGGCGCAAATCCACGGGTTAGGGGGCGCAAATTACTTGCCTTGCCCCGGGTGCTGACAACCCACGCTACGCGACTGTCTGGGTTATTTGTGGGGCATAGGAATTCGTTCATTTCCCCCCCTTCAAAATATAGTCCAGCCCCCCACAAGGTCTGAGGGACAGTGGACCGACCCCAGGCTGAAAGAGTTTGCTGACCCCTGGTGGAGAGTCTATGGGGAGAATTTTTTCATGCACCAAGTGTCCCTCGCACATGGGAAGGGTTAAAGTAGCAAATGTGCCATTCCTAGAGAGGTGTGCATGTGAGAAATCACATGGATATGACATTTTTTAAAAAGAGAACATCTGCTTTTCCGGTCCCTCCGCCTCCTTTCCTTAATTATTTCCTCTTTTACTTACTGGAAACAGAAGCCTGCTGTCTTGAGACTTTCTCCTGGCCGAAGATCCAAGGTGAAGCTGGCTGGTGAGTGGACAAGAGGAAAGTTGGGGTGGTGCCCCCTAGAAAAAACTGCCCTGTCCCCACATTCTGACCCTTGCTGCATCTACCCCAGTGCTGTCGACACTGGCCGGCAGCAGCTCCCCGGGGTATCAGGTGTGTTCCTTACCTGGGCATGCCGTGTTTTGTCAGGGAGCTGCTGAGAGCTGTCAGGTGGCATTTTCTATTCCATGCCTGCAGAGCTACAATTCCCAAGATTTCCCTGGCAAGGGGGTTGGTTTTTAAGCCACACCACCACTTGGGTCTCCTAACAAGTCTTGGCACCCGCTGGCAGACAAAATTGATGGAACATGTAGAAATGTCTAGTTTAGCTGGAAGAATAAGTGATCAGGAAGAAAGAACTTTAAAAAAATAATGGGGAATTGCGGGATTGAAAAACTACTGTAAACCACTTAAAACGTTGGCAGGACTAGAATAAATTGAGCAGTTACATTTATAATGGAAGGGAAAGCCAGGAAAGGAAAAGTAAGGATTAAATTAGAATATGTGGCAGTAAAGGGAAAATAAAAAGAACCATAGAAGGGAGTGAAGGGAAGTTGAATATGCTTGTATGGTTTAAATTCTGTAATTTATGCAAATGTAAAATTGAAAATCATAAATAAACCTCTCACCACCCTTAGCAAACTAACTTCCAGGATTATTTATGGGAAGCCATGACTGTTTAAGTGGTATGATAACTGCTTTAAATAACCGTTCCTGTGGAATCGGAAAGAGACCTGCCATCCTGATATTTTGTTGTCCGTTGTTCTGCCAAGACTTTGTAGAGAATTCATTTGATTCCATGTTGGTCATTCGTCCTGTATTTTATGATTTGATAGTGTTAAGGTTTTTAAACGTTTTTTAATTATTATTATTATTATTTATTAAACTTCTATACCGCCCTTCACCTATACCGCACACTGCGAGAAGCCAAGTTACAGGGAACCAGGCAGAAGGCCTTCTCGGTAGTGGCGCCCTCCCTGTGGAACGCCCTCCCACCAGATGTCAAAGAGAAAAATAACTACCAAACTTTTAGAAGACATCTGAAGGCAGCCCTGTTTAGGGAAGCTTTTAATGTTTAATAGGTTGTTGTGTTTTAGTATTTTGTTGGAAGCCACGCAGAGTGGCTGGGGAAACCCAGCCAGATGGGTGGGGTATAAATAAATTATTATTGTTGTTATTAATCCATAGATCTCAGGACAGTTCACAACATGAAGATACAAGATAAAACCCACAAAATATGCAATAAAGAGAGCAACAACAACCAAACCAATAAAACCCACCTTCTCCCCCACCCCACCCCAGAAACACATTTAAAAGGGATGTTTCTGAAAATGCAAATAACAAATTAAGAAATAATAAGAATAAAAGGGTATAGGATGTTCTGTGATGTTTCCATGATTTTACTGGACACTGCCACAATAAAAAACTAAAACAAAAAAGAGCTTGGGGTTTTATATCTATTCTTCTAAATAAATAAATAAAATATTTTGGTTTGTGTTCTTTTCTCCTGCAGGCAGATTTGGTGTTTATTCTGGAGTTTTCACCGCATCTTCGGCGAGAAAACAATAGACGCCAGGAGAAACTGGGCACCTATAACTGCTCCAGCAGCTATAACTGCCCTTCTACGGAATCAGGTCACTGGTCCAGCGGGCTTAAGACTTTTTTATCTTCCGAGGTTCAGGAGGAAGATTCCCCATCCTTATCCTTGGGTGGTGGGCGATGGAAATGGCAGAGGGGTTTGTCATGGCATGGCCGGATCCCCAGGAAGAAGTCCCTTCCGGGCAGGAAGGACGGCCCAAGATCAAAACAGAGGAGACCAGCTTCTCAGAATTTGAACCCAAGATGGGGGCGAAAGGGTCCAAAAGAGCCCCTCTCGTCTTCCAGGCGGGGAGCATTCGCGAATTGCTTTGCAAGGCGTCGGGGAGACAGTTGACGCAGGTTCCAGGCGAAGGGCTCCTTCAGCAATGGGAGAGCCAGTTGCAAGAGTTCCTGGGGACCTTGGAGTCCCCCAACTTGAGGTGGGAGGCTGCCCAGATGCCAGAGGAGCCCACCCCCTGGGACGACGCCAAGGCCTTCCTGGCCTCCTTCGAGCAAGTGGCCAAAGCCTGTGGGTGGCCCTGGGAAGAGTGGGCGGCCAGGCTGCTGCCGGCCCTCAGCGGAGAAGCCGAGCGGGCCTTTTGGAGCCTGGAGGCCGGTGACAGAGAGGATTATGGGAAAGTGAAGGCGGCCATCTTGCGCGGGGACGCCCTCACCAGGGAGAAGAACCGCCAGTACTTCCGGTGCTTCTGCTACCGGGACGCCGAGGGCCCCAGAGGGGCCTACAGCCGCCTCCAGGAGCTCTGCCGGCGGTGGTTGAAGGTGGAGAGGCACTCCAAGGAGCAGATCCTGGAGTTGTTGATCCTGGAGCAGTTCCTGACCGTCCTGCCAGCAGAGGTCCAGAGCCGGGTGAGGGATTGCGGCCCGGAGACCTGCTCCCAGGCGGTGGCCCTGGCCGAGGATTTCCTGCTGAGGCAGCTGCAGGTGGAGGAACAGGAGCAGCAGGTGAGGCAGGGTGGTGAACCCCCATTATAATTCTGCTAAATCTCAGGAATGGGGTGGGGAACGTACAGAAGAACCTGCACCATCTCGTCTAGCATCTTAAACTCACAGTGGATCCTTAGCAGGACCTGAGGTCAACTGCCCTCCCTGCACCTGCATTCCCCAACAATGGACGTTGTTGGTCTTGGCCACGAAAGGTCTTCATCAATATCAATGTGACAGCCATTTTGTGTGACACGACACACAGCCAACATAGCTGTTTTGTGTCATGCCGCCCTCCACTGGGGAGCCATTTTGTGACGGGCGGCCATTTTCTTGAAATTCCAGTTGTGTCCTCTGGCCTAGAAAGGTTGGTGATTGCCTCTTGCCATATGAACCTACCCTGAGGTCATCTTCTGAGGCCCTCCTTCGTGTGCCACCTCCTCGAGAGGTCCAGATGGTGGCAACGTGAGAACAGGGCCTTCTCTGCAGTGGCTCCCCACATGTGGAATGTTATCCCCAGGAAAGTTCACCTGTTGACTTCACTATACACCTTTAGGCGGCAGTCAAAAACATCCGTTTTTTACCAGGCCTTTGGTTGACCTGACTGACATCCTATATACTTTTAAAATGTGGCACTTTCTGGGGGGTTGTGGTTTAGATTTAGATTTTATATATTGTGATCTTTTTGTGAATCACCCTGAGACCTCCAGGTATAGGGCAGTATATAAATTCAATAAATAATAATATTATATTGACAACTTTTAGCGCGATTGGCGGGTGCCAAATCCGATTTAAGCTCACAGCGGCCACACTCTTGATTTTTTTTGCTGTATTTTGTGCCTGATTCAGGTGCCTACAGAGGCGAATGTGAATGCCCCCAAGGAAGAAGAGGTTCTGGAACCCGAAGAGGTGCTGGGGCCCAGCTGGGAGATTAGTGATGCTAACCATGCTGGTTTTCTGTTGTGTAAGGCTGTCTTCTTCTTCTTTAGACCAGGGATGGAGAAATCTGTGTTATTAGATGACTCCAATTCCCACAATGCCCATTTCTGCTTTCCTCCTCCAGCATGCTGGAAATTCAGATGTTCTTGCACGACTCCAATTCCCATAATGCTCCTTTCCATTCTTCTGGGACTTCTCCCATAATTCTGTTCTTGGGCTTCTCCTTACCCTCCAGATCAGATCTGAGGAAGGCACAGGGGGCACATGGGAGGAAGAAGAGGAGGGTTAGGGTTAGGGTTAGAGTAAGGGAAGGGAGGCGGGTGGCGCTGTGGGTTAAACCACAGAGCCTAGGACTTGCCAATCAGAAGGTCGGCAGTGATCAGGAGGTCGGCAGTTCAAATCCCTACGATGGGGTGAGCTCCCGTTGCTCGGTTCCTGCTCCCGCCAACCTAGCAGTTTGAAAGCACGTCAAAGTGCAAGTAGATAAATAGGTACCACTCTGGCGGGAAGGTAAACAGCGTTTCCGTGCGCTGCTCTGGTTCGCCAGAAGCAGCTTAGTCATGCTGACCACATGACCCGGAAGCTGTACGCCGGCTCCCTCGACCAGTAAAGCGAGATGAGTGCTGCAACCCCAGAGTCATCTGCGACTGGACCTAATGGTCAGGGGTCCCTTTACCTTTAAGGGTAAGGGTGGGAGCTAGACTAAGATGCCTTTGAGGTCTCCTTCCAACTCTACAATTCCAGAGAATTATTAACCTACTGATTACTCAATGAAAAAAATAAAAATTAGAATAAACTGAAATGAATAAAAATAATACGATAACTATTTTCTGCATTGGCTGGGAGAGGAACTTGATGCCCTTTGGGATCTCAGCCACTTCTGCAATTCTAATTAAATAATGTGTTGACATTTTAAAAGTTGTGCCATGTTCTTTCTCCCTCTTTCCAGGCGAACCCACGCTAGATGAGCCCGTTTCTGGGGACGCAAAGACCCACCACCTCTTAGAAAGTTCTTTGCAGAGAGATCCCCAGGGGCCGCCACTGCAAAGCCCGGGGCAAGACGTTCCCTCGTGCAACAAGCAGGAAGAAGTACCCAGAAGTCCTAATGGGCTGGCGAGAGGGACAGAAGCAAGTCCAAAGAAAACAGCTGCCTGGGAGCTGCCAGGGACCCCGGAGACCGAGGCCACCGCCTCCCCAAATGGGAATAGCGTCAAACCGAAGCCGCCGCTGGGCCTCCGCCCTGGGCCAGGACCCTACAAATGCTCCGAGTGCGGGAAGAGTTTCTGCCGGCGCTCCTACCTGTCCCAGCACCACCTCATCCACACCGGCGAGAAGCCCTACGAATGCTCCTACTGCCAGAAGGCCTTCCGGGCGCGCTCTCACCTCACAAAGCACAGGCGCCTGCACACGGGCGAAAAGCCCTACAAGTGCGGGGACTGTGGCAAGGGCTTCCACCAGTCGTCCAACCTCCAGAAGCACATGAAAATGCATGTGGGCGCCCCGATCTACCGGTGCCCTGATTGCGGGAAGAGCTTCGGCCAGCGCGCCACGTTTTGCCAGCACCGCAAGGCGCACGCCGGCGGGAAGACCTACCGGTGCTCGCGGTGCGGGGAGAGCTTCGGCGAGCTCCCGCTCCTCCGCGCGCACCGGCGGAGCCACGCGGCGGAGCGGGCCTACCAGTGCCCCACCTGCGGGCAGGCCTTCGATCACCGGTCAAGCTTCTTGAAGCACAGGGTGACCCACACGGGGGAGAAGGCCCACAAGTGCCCCACCTGCGGGAAGGGCTTCAGCCAGTCCTCCAACCTTCACAAGCACCAGAAGATCCACACGGGGGAGAAGCCTCACAAATGCCTCACCTGCGGGAAGTCCTTCACCCAGAGCTCGCACCTCAACTTCCACCAGAACACCCACAAAGGGTTCAAGTCGTACAAATGCTTAGACTGCGGGGACAGCTTCACCGACAGGTCGCACCTTATGAAACACAAGCTGAGTCACGCCAGCACAAAAGCGGCAACGTCGGCCTGAAATCCCCCTTAATTTTATAAGGCGGGTAAATTACGTTTATTTTTTACATTTATATGGCGCTTAGGCCTTTGCACATTGACTGTTTCCCTCCGTTCCACAATTTCATTAGGAAGACTTGGGCAATCCTCTCTCTCGTTTCTGCTCCCGCACTCAGCCCCACTCATCCGCAATATGTGGGGCAGATGATATTGATCTACCTTAACAACAACTATAACTTTATTATTTATACCCCGCCCATCTGATTATTTATACCCACTCTGAGTGGCTTCCAACACATATTTTAATGTATTTTTAATCTTTGTTGGAAGCTGCCTAGAGTGTCTGGGGAGACCCAGCCAGATGGGCGGGGTACAAATAATAAATTATTATTATTATTATTAGAAATACAATAAAATGTCAAATGTTACCAATAACAATCTGATCTGATACAGGAAGAATGAGAATAACTTTTCACATAACTTACATCAAATAAAGCAGTATTCTAAACAGTTAAATAGCAGCAAATAACTAAACTTTGCAGGAAGGTTATAAGCCTGGAAGCAGCACTGGGTGCTTGCAAAGTGCCTTTGGTGAGGGATTTTGGCGGAAAGACCAAAGTGGCTTGGAAGTTTAGAGGACCAAAAAAAAAAAAAAAAAAGGATGTGAAAGGGAAAGAGGTGGAAACGAATTGAACTTCCTAGCATCATTTTAATAATAAGTTATGACCAGATGAATCAGCATTGATTTCCCCCCACCCCGATGAAATTGTTGTTTGGATGACTTAACTGTGATTTAACTGTGAAATCTGATTCTTAAAAGATGAATTAGCAGTGAAGTTGTTGCTTTGCCGAGAAAAGCACCTTTTGAGATTTACATAAATCTTTTTAATAGCGGATGCTTTTATGCACCATTTCATCAGGCGCCTGCAGCACTATCTTAAGATACCTCCCCTTCCCATGGTTTAATCTTCCCCTCCCCACAAGAGCTGCAGCGTCCGTTAAATTAATTAAATAAGCAGATTAAATCAGTTTTAATATATGTTTGAGGGAGGCTGGTTTAAGGCCTTGTGGCGGGGAGTTCCGCAGATAGGGTGGCCAATTCCTTGTTGGACTCCGACTCCATCAGCCCTAACGAAGATCGCCAATGGCAAGGGATGATGGAGGTGGTAGTCCACAGGCCCACCCCCGTTCTCGACTAATGAAATATCCTTAATGCTGTTTTTAAAAATAAAAAAGTTATTTGTTTTATTCTCTCTTGCCTATCTTTTCAACTTCCCTTTGAGACAAAATTACAGGTCTAAAAGGTGGTTTTGCACTGTCCATTTAAAGTACCTCACTGCTTCTCCAAAGAGCTGTGGGAACTGTAGTTTGTTGAGGGTGCGGAGAGAAGTTAGGAGACCCCTATTTCTCTCACAGAACTGCAACTCCCACAGCTCCCCAGCAAGAGGGATGGTTGATGAATTGTCCTAGCTCTGCAAGGGGCCTTCTAACAACTATCAGCACTCTTTTTTAAAATCATAATTTTTATTGAGTTTTTCATTTTTCATTTTAATTCAATACTCATATTCACAACTTATATTATTTGCTCAAAGTGAGCTTTGACGTCCTTCCATCCCTCTTTCTGACATCCCTATAACATTTAACATATCTATCGCATTTCCATAATTACCTCATTATCATATATTAACCTTAAGAAATCACAATCTCATTTATAAATCAGCATCTTGATTTCACATTACAAAACATTTCACGTTAATGCTACAAACATTTTCATATAAATACTGTTTTCTTTCAAATAATAAACTTGCTCTAGTCCTTTTGGAATTTTTGATTGGGTTGGTTCCTGATTTTCTCAGCACTCTTAACAAACGACAGTTCCCAGGATTAAAGTGTTGTGACACTGCTGTAAGTGTACCGTAAGGATGGGGCCATAGTCAATCATTTCAGCCGAGTGAAAGTTAATTGAGGACAAGCCAAAGAGGCCTCGCTGTGGTCCTTTGACTAAAAGTATCTGGTAGGCCACATATAGCCGTCAGACTAACGTTATGCAAATGGCAGAGAGCGAAAACTTATGCATTTGCCAAACTTAAGCAGTTTCATTGATCGATCGATCAACTGGCAAACTCATTTGACTGATCAACTAAAGGCTGGGAATCCCATTCCTCACAGGTGGGGAACCTGTGGCCCTCCAGAAGTTAATGGACTCCAACTTCAACCACCCCTGACCATTGGGCAACGCTGTCTGTGGCTGCTAGGGGTCCAGCCACCGCTGGAGGCCCACAGGTTCCCTCCTCCATCCAATACACCCTCTTCTCTTCAAGAATGCCCTGTTAAAACTTTTCCGCAGAGGCATGTGGAGGGTATCTGAAATAGACTCGGAGTCGAGAGTGGATTTCATGCTCTTTATTCAGCTCAGAGTGGTGAGGAGGAATGGAAGATCCCCCGGAATGTCTGCTTTATATACATTATTTACACAATGGGCCCCATGTGATTGGCTAATTCCGAGATTCACCTGTAGGCCAATCAGGTTGCAGATTCACTTCACCTGGAGCTGGATTGGGTGGCTCCTGTGGACCAATCAGACTGCTGCATTGTTCTAGGACCAATCAGACTGCTGCCTTTTGGATCCTATTCAACTCAGTACATAACACCATCCCTCCATTTTGTCTTTGAACCTCTGTTTTTATCTTTCCATGAATGGTATGCTTTAAAGTAGGGTTGGAATCCCACCCCCTTTTTGGTGGATTGTTTTATCTTTTTGTGAACCGTTTTGAGTTTTTGTTTTTAACAGTCAAGCGGTGCATACATTTTATGAAAACAAACAAATGGTGTTTATTCTTTCGGAGAGCTGTCCAGCTCCCTCAGTGGAGAAAGACATCCTTAGATTAGGGCACAAGCAAGAATGACCTAGGTAAAGGGTAAAGGGGACCCCTGACCATTAGGTCCAGTCGTGGCCAACTCTGGGGTTGCGGTGCTCATCTCGCTTTATTGGGAGCCGGTGTCCAGCTTCCGGGTCATGTAGCCAGCATGACTAAGCCGCTTCTGGCGAACCAGAGCAGCGCACGGAAACGCCGTTTACCTTCCCGCCGGAGCGGGAGACTGCTGAAGCCTTTAAATGTATGGTGACTTGTGCAATGATATTCGCCCTCCCGCTCCTCCCCGCCCACCTCCATAAGAGGATCGGGGTGGTGGGTGGGGAATCCAGTGCCCATTGAGACTGATGGGGCCGAAGGCAGGGGGGGCAGAAAAGGAGGCGGAGCCACTGGCAGATCCAGCTAATTCCAGTTCGGAAGCTGCCGTACACAAATAGTCCATCTAGTTCAAGATTGTGTACACTGGCTGGCAGCAGCAGCTTTTAGGCCTCTCCGTGGAGGTACCAAGGATTCAACCCAGCGCCTTTTGGGTGCAGATGCTCCACCAACTGAATCGTAGAGTTGGAAGGGATCCCCGAGGGTCATCTAGTCCAACCCCGGTTTCTCCCAGTGCGGGACTCAAACCCATGACCTCCAGATTTAAAGTCTCATGCTCTGCCAACTGAGCTAGGCCTCTTCCGTCCCCATCCTCTGACAGGCAGTGCCCCTCTCTAGACTGATTGTAAGTCGGGAAGTGGGCGGGAGGGAGCTGGATGAACCAGCCTTTACTGGGTGGCGAGGAGCAGAGGAGAATAAGGGGATTTAGGTGCTCCAGCCAACTTCCACCTGTGAGATGTATTTTTTATTTTATCTACTAAATTTGTATTGAGAGTGGCAGCTGCCTTGGATGTAGTAGAAGGAAGCAGGAGATCTGCACCATTTTCGACCGATGGCTCTCAAATCCCATGAAAAATAATTTTATTAGGAATGGATAATGCTCACAGTGCTCTGTTTGCTTTAAACACACACACAAAGGTAAAGGTACCCCTGCCCGTACGGGCCAGTCTTGACAGACTCTAGGGTTGTGCGCTCATCTCACTCTATAGGCCGGGGGCCAGCGCTGTCCGAAGACACTTCCGGGTCACGTGGCCAGCGTGACAAGCTGCATCTGGTGAGCCAGCGCAGCACACGGAACGCCGTTTACCTTCCCGCTGGTAAGCGGTCCCTATTTATCTACTTGCACCCGGGGGTGCTTTCAAACTGCTAGGTTGGCAGGCGCTGGGACCGAGCAACGGGAGCGCACCCCGCCGCGGGGATTCGAACCGCCGACCATGCGATCGGCAAGTCCTAGGCACTGAGGTTTTACCCACAGCGCCACCTGCGTCCCACAAACACACACACACACACACAAAAACCCAGTCCCCTGCTGCTAGGAACTTGCAGTATGAATTTCAGGGATGAGCTTCGCTTTGTTTCAGGAAGGGATAGTTTGCAGAGCTACAATTCCCAGCACCCTTAACAAACTACAAAGCCTAGGATAAGCGGGGGGGGGGGGGAGGGAGAGAGAAGGATATGCTTTAAATGTATGTTGCATACGCAAGGAAAATAAGAGTTTTGAGAAGTGGGGAGAGATGGAGTGAGAGAGATTGGTCATCCCCTGGTTGCTAAAGCGGGGGGGGGGGAATATCCTTCTTGGCGGCTTATGCAACCCACTATTCTGAATAATGTTTTTTATAGGGCAGGGGGCATTGGGGATGCATTTGAGACTTTTAGATGTTTTGCGTTGGAGGAAGGCTGCGATAGAAACTGAATCAATAGTAACAAATTAATTCCGAAGGGAGGCTCCAGCTTCAAATTGCTGGACTAAAACTTATCAGGAAGTCTCGTTTTATTCATTTGCAAATGAAGAGAGACAATGGTTGCTTGCAGGCGTTAACCAAGAAAGCAAAGACCAGGGTGATTGCATTATCACCATTTACCAACACTGAATGGGACACTTGGGCTTGTTCTGCATAGGGTTCAACTTTTATCTGAATTGTCTCAGGAGACTTACGCATTTCCTTGCAATCTGTCTGCACCTTTCAGAACTTATTTCCCTCCGCACGCCACTTAGTGATGCAATTACAAATTTGCTGCAATGTAGTCCTACGCGTATTTTACTCAGAAGTAAATCCCCAAGGTGTCACAAAACACAGCTTTGTGAAAAGAGAATAGTAAGGTCTGTAAAATCTGAGCATTGTTAACTAGAATGTTGCGAAACCTACAAAGACAGGATAAGCAAACCATATTGGAGTAAATATGATTTAAAATGATTAATGATTTATATGGATCAAGAAAGGAAGATTAATTGTATTTGATTAATTGGGAAAATAGTCAGGTAAATGTCTAAACAGGAACTGCACATGCAGACGATGGAAACAGGAATGGATGGTAAAGTAATTTTTAAACTGGTGTTAAATTCTAATTAAATTGTTATTTTAAAATTTGGAAAACTAATAAAAATTGATTGGTTAAAAAAAGAGAAGTAAATCCATAATAAATATTTGTTATATGTTTGCAGCACTATCTGTTGACGCTGCCTGTTAAAAGTTGCCAGTCCATGTTCTGCAAAATTTTGGCACATGTCACACCACATGCCCCTGAGCATGGGCAGAGTGCCACCCCATACCCCACTGTTGAGGAGATCTAGATGGATCAATGGCCTGGCTCAGGTACAGGGCAGCTTCCTATGATTCTCTCACCATTTCGCTTGTAAAAGTAGGTAGGCAAAAAATTGAGAGAAATGTTCAGCGGCAACTCGCAAGTTAAGCCCCAGTGGAATCTGGGAAGCACAAACAACCCTCCTATGCTGTACACTAAACGCCAGGTTCTTTTGGGGGGGGGATGGGGGGTATATTGCCTCTGAACCTGGATATTCCATTTTTTAAGAAAAGGAACCTATCATGTTCAGCAGGATCTGCAACCAAGTGTGGCAGTATGGAATGCTGGCTGCTGTTTCTAACCACTCCACTTTAACAGTGACATTCCCTCTAGTTCTGAACCTCAACAGGTGGCTACCAATCATTATTTAGCCAAAATGGAAATACAGTGGTACCTCAGGTTAAGTACTTGATTCGTTCCGGAGGTCCGTTCTTAACCTGAAACTGTTAACCTGAAGCACCACTTTAGCTAATGGGGCCTCCCGCTGCTGCTGCACAATTTCTGTTCTCATCTTGAAGCAAAGTTCTTAACCTGAAGCACTATTTCTGGGTTAGCGGCGTCTGTAACCCGAAGCATATGTAACCTGAAGCGTGTGTAACCTGAGGTACCACTGTATACATGAATAGGCCTGGAGAAGCTCTCAAGTTTTGCCGAAGTGCCTAAAAGGTTATTGGCAAGAAGAGCCCTTAACTAGTGGGCGAGGGAAACAGCCCACAGTGGACAGTTGTGTTCAGTGGTGACAGAATACAACCTACTTGCTTGTTGGGGGGGGGGAGAAGAGATGGAATGGAGTATTCTGGTATAGGGCAAGGCTGGCTGGCAAGCACCCTGTTGTCAAGAACAACACACAGGATCCATTGAGCAACTACCCAATTTTTAATAGCTCCAAACATAACAAGCTCCAAACTTGTCACAAAAAGACTTTTTTAAATTTAAGATTACAAAAAACTTGAGATAAGAAACTTTATAAATAAAACCTCAACCTGTTTTGACAGGAGTTTGACAGGAGTGTGGGCATTCAGAACTGTAGACACTCAACAAGGGAACCCCACCCCCCAAAATGGTTTCATTGGTTTGCAACTGCTACCTGCAACGGGTACCTGCTGTTCAGCTCATTTGTCATCAACATAATTAGCAGGGTGCTTGGGGAAAAAGCTAGGCTACTACTGAACATTTAAACAGATGGGCACAATGATGGTAGACTAATGAGAGAGAGAACGAGAACAATACATTAGGATCAGCTTCTGGGACAGATATTATCTGGATTCACACATCAATAGCCAAACCACAGTGACTGTGCTGGAAGCTGATTTGCTCCTACTCCCTCACTTCCTGGTTCAGCCAAACCATAGTTTACTGTTATGTTCTAATCAGGCAGACAGTAGCATACACTGAGAAGGGGCAAACTTGCTGCCCACTCGATGCTGTCAGACAACCAATCTCTATCCTTTGGCCATGGTGGCTGAGGAAGATTGGAATTAGGAGTCTTGAGGGCTGAAACTTCCCCACCCCTGGCTCCTGCAAACCATTGTTTGCCCAGTACGAAATGTGTGTGACCCCAAATTACCGTCACTGTGGCTGAACTGTGTGTTGCCCATTAGATGAAAAACAGCACTTTTGTATGGGGGAATATCAGTGTGTTAAACAAGTCTGGGACCAAACCATCCTTCTGTGGGTTCAAGAGAATGTAAAGATAGTTATTGAATTTGGGGAACTAAGGTATGGCTTATCCATACAGTAGAATGAAGCGGTATAGTCCTGGAGGTAGTGGAATGGGCTGTACCATTTTGGAACCCAGGCAGGATCCCACATTTAATTTTAATGGTGCCTGGAGGGGGGGCGGGAAGAGCTCAAGTACAAAAACTGGTCCGAAATAGAATGTCTCCCCCCATGACAAGGGGTGTTTTTCTAATTTTTACTCACTAAGGTTTGTTTAACATGGCAGAGCTTTCGAAAATGGTACCCCCTACCAACATCCTAAAATAGTACAGTCCACTTTCAGCCCCCTCAAGATGCTTCCCTTTAATTCTCTCCCCACAACCTAATCTGTGGAGTAGGCTTTTAAAAGAAAGAATCCCCAACCGATGTTATTGAGAAGCACCCGTCAAATTTCTTTTCCTTCAGAAAGGCAGAGACACAGAAACATCAGAATGCAGATAATTCAAACACACATGTAACATGAACAGTAGAATTAACTCTCGCTTGCAAAAAGCTCAACATGCCCCATATAACACCTTATGCTTTCCCCACTACCAACCTCGAATTCAAAACTGCTTCCCTTATTCCACCTTCCCTTCCAACTCACTCCACTCCTTCAATAAATTCAAGGGGCTTAAAGTAAAAATCGACCCTTATATATTGCCTAAGCTTGGTCGCTAATTCAGAACAGGATAATGCAACATACAACTTTTTTTTGGAGGGGTGTGCTTTATTTTGGGATAGCTTCACCATGAGGAAGGAATAACAAGAGGGGCGGGACATCCTGCCAAGCGATGCAGGATGTTTACATGTAGAAGAAACACATGCTTTAAGAGGAATTTCGAAAAGAATTCACTTTGGCTGGATGGTGGCTGGATTTTTTGGGGGTGGGTGGCCCCACATGACCCTGATCCATTTGGGCATGGCTGCCTCCTCCACATAGGCTGCCGAAACCAGGAGATGCACTCAGGTGGCCAGAAAAACGACGCAAAATTGTTGGCAAGAAGAGGAAGGAGCTGGAACGAGACTGCAGGTCCTGTCTGAGGCAGACTTTGGAAGCTGGGATGTTCTGGACCACAAATCCCACCAGGAATTGTGATCCAGAACATCTGGAGGGCGCCAGGGTTGGCAACGAGAAGCCCCCCTTCTCCGGTTCTGCCCCAGAGAGCTTTAACCCAGCAACAATATCCGCTCCCACCCTTATTCCTAAAATCCCGCTAATTCCCTCCCGCCCAGTCGCAGGCCGCTCACAGCTTCGCCTTGCTCTTGGTGTGGATCAGCTCGTGCTTCTCTCGCTGCCACTTGCGGTCAAAGCCCTCCCCGCAGAAGGGGCACTCGTGGGGCTTCTTCCCGGTGTGCTGGCACTCGTGCCGGACCAGATCCGAGCGCCAGCAGAAGCCCTTGCTGCAGAAGCAGCACTCGTAGCGCTTCTCCCCGGTGTGGAGCATACGGTGGCGGTTGAAGGTCGCCAAGCCGTTGAAGCCCCGGCCGCATTCGGGGCACATCTTGATCTGGCTCTTGGGGGCGGCGTCTGGAGGGGGGGAGGGCTTCTTGAGCTTGGGCTTGACATCCCGAGGTGGAGGAGATGGAGGAGGAGGAGGTGGCGGCGGCGAGGGAGGTGCCTCGGCCAGGTTCGGCACCTGGGCTCGCTTCAGCCTATCGGAGCGGCGATGCTCCTGGGTGCCTCCGGCCTGCTTCCAGCGGGATGGCAGGACTGCGTTTGCTCTTCCGGGAAACCGGGCTCGCAGCTTCACTTCCCCGTAGCGGCCCCACTGGAAGGTCTTCTTCTTCCTTGCCACGCCAGCCTGCCCATAACCTACCAGAAAGACAAAAGTGTAGAATCGTAGAATTGTGGAGTTGGAGTAAGCACGGACCAATGGTACCAAATAGCTCTACTAGAAAAATTAACCAATAAACTGAAACTGACACAGGGACAAATACAAGAAGACACCTTCACCCCGGTTGGCTCCCCTTTATCACATATCACAGCCCAACAAGACAATGACAAAAACCCACCAACAGCATACAAATCAATATGGCTAACCTGATCCAACACCCACCCACCTCACTCACACATGAAAACAAAGGCCACAGCCAACCACAAATGAACAACCACACCCTAGGCCAACCCCAACCTCTCTCACCACCAAAGGAACACAAGCGAACAGCAGAGAACCTGCACAAGCGACGCTGACACAAAACCCCACATATATTAAGTAAAATAGAAACATCGCCACCCGACCCCCACCCATCTTTGCCCACCCTCCACCTCTTTCCCCCCTTTTTTCCTAATGTCTCAACAAATGAAACTGATTTTTAAAAATGTTACATGGGGGGAAAAATACGAGAGAGACATTGCAAACACTTTTGTAAATCAAGAAAATCTTTAATAATAATAAAAAAGAATCGTGGAGTTCGAAGGGACCCCGAGAGTCACCTAGTCGTACCCCTGCAATGCAGGAACCTCAGCAAGCAATAAAGAAATAAAAATAATTTATTACTTTTACCAAGCATCCCCAAACACGGCCCTCCAGTTGTTTAGGGACTACAATTCCCATCATCACTGACAGCTGGTCCTGTTAGGTAGGGATGATGGGAGTTGTAGTCCCAAAACGGCTGGAGGGTCGAGTTTGGGGGTGCCTGACTTATACTCTGCCCATCTGGCTGAGATTTCCCCAGCCAATCTGGGCGGCTCCCAACAAAATATTAAAAACACAATCAAACATCAAACATTGCCACTACCTCCTGAGGGAGACCGCTCCACTGTCAAATGGCTCTTCCTGTCAAAAAGTTTTTCCGTATGTTTAGGACCTTCCTTTAGGCAGGGATGTGGAGCCCTTTTTAGCCCCGGGGGCCGCACTGCCTTCTGGGCAACCATTTGAGGGCCAAATATGAGTAGTGGTTAGGGCCGGAGCCAAAACAGTTTTATTTAGAGCATTTTTAACCCACTCAAAAATACTCCCAGAGTGCCTTGCATACAACCAATTGCGACATGACCGTCCCTGCCCACAATCATACAATCTGAAACAACAGGGCACAAAAGAAAAAAAGAGAGGAGGGGAGAAGAGGGGGAAAAACTAAACAGAAGCACCAATAAATAGTAGTTTTTATAAAGATCAATACACTCCTCTTTCTCTGAAACAGAAAATCTTAACACAAGCTGGCTGCAACCATGCCTTACAGCTGGTTGATAGAATATAAAATTTTGTTTGTGTGTGGGTGTTTCCTCTATCCTTTTTTAATTTTGCTCTCTATTGGCTTTGTTTGGCTTTTATTGTAGCGTACGTTGAAAACCTTGAATAAAATTGATTAAAACAACATCAACACTGCTCCACACTGGATCTCCTCTTCCTACCGCTAATTCCAGGCAAAACTAAGAGCCCTGCTTACCTGTGCAAGTCTTGCGTGATGATGAACTGGGCTCCCCTTGGACCTCCCTCGAAGCCCAAGTTTGCAGCGGCACCGTTTCCAGCGGAACTTCCTGCTTCTTGCGAAGATCTGCAGCCTCTTCCTGCTCCTGGAAAAAAATAAAGAGCAGAAAACAGGGAGACCACTGAGGAGTGGAGGAAAAGGAACAGAAGGCAAAGTGCTCAAGTCACCAGTGTGGTGCAATGGTTAGAGCGCTGGATTATGACCTGAGAGATCAGGGTTCGAATCCCCACTCGGCCATGAAACACACCAGGCGACCTTGGGCCCAGTCACCATTCTCTCTAGCCTGATCTACCTCACAGGGCTGTTGTCAGGATAAAGAGGAGAAACCTGTGATAATAGTAAACTAGAAGCAGCTCTTTAGGCAAGGCACTGAATATATTCAATTTTGGCTTCTTGTTTCCGGTGCTCCTTGAATGGAGTTTCTCCCAACACTGCGTTAGAGAGACAGATGGAGATAATCAGATAATGAGGGGGGAATTTCATTATCTGTTTTCCTCTTTGGTTGGAGGAGGGACCAAGCTCTCACCCGCAGTTTGCCTGGCGGTCTGGCACTTGTTTCCCATTGGAATGCAAGGGCAGGCAAAGGCGCTGGGTGCATGGAGTACTCTGGCTGCCACGAAACCCCCTCCCCCATCCCGTTCCTGGAAGCACAGGTTATCCTGTTAATTGGGCTTTAATTGGAGCAAATTACAGGCCAGAGACAATGAGTTAAGAAACTGAAAACAACCCAGCTACAAAGATGTAAAAGGTTTGGACTGAGAGCAGATTTCTGAGAGCAAAGGGCCTTCTCGGTGGTGGTGCCTGCCCTGTGGAACTCCCTCCAGCAGATGTCAAGGCAATAAACAACTACCCGGTATTTTACTTTTAAAAGGCAACTGAAGGCAGCCCTGTTTAGGGAAGTTTTTAATGTCAGATGCTGTATTGTTTTTAATATTTGGTTGGAAGCCGCCCAGGGTGGCTGGGGAAACCCGGCCAGATGAGCGGGGTATAAATAATAAATTATTATTATTATTATTATTATTATTATTATTATTATTATTATTATTATTATTACTGGGCCCCAGAGGCTCGCTCAGCTTGAACTGGAAATTGGGGGTTGGACAAAAAATAAATAAATCCTGCATTGCACAGGGTTCAGAGAGATGATGCTAGTGTGTCCTATTTCGCCAAAAATATAAAAAGCGAAGTTGAAGGCACTGGCTTTGGTCGCTTGCACTGCTGGGATATTTGACTTTTGCAACCATTTGCTGGCCAGCAGCTGCTTGCAAGCCTGGGAGGGGGGGGGGAAGGAATGCAACCTTCTTACCGGTTCTTCCCCCCTTTCGGCCGCTTGCAACCTCCTCAGGAAATCTTCCGCCAGAGCCACGGCCTGCAAGCAGCTCTCCGGCACACGCTCCTTGACCCAGTGGTACATTTCCTTCGGCAGGACGTTGAGGAACTGCTCCAGGAGCAAAGCCTCCAAGATCTGCTCCTTGCTGCTCCTCTCTGTGTTCAGCCACTGTTGGCACAGCTCCTGGAGCCGTGCAAGGACTTCCCGGGGCCCCTTGGCCTCCTGGTAGCAGAAGCGGCGGAACTCCTGGTGCTTCTTCTCGCGCGCCAGGGCCTCGCGCCTCAAGATGGCCGCCTTGACCTTCTGGAAGTCTCCGCGGTCCTGGGGGTCCAGGCTGATGAAGGCCTTCTCCGCTTCCTCGCCCAGGGCCGGCAGCAGCCGGGTCACCCACTCCCTCCTGGGCCAGTGGCAGGCCACGGCCACCTGCTCAAAGGAGGCCAGGAAGGCCCGGGTGTCGGCCCGCAGGGCCAGCTCCTCCGGGGTCTGCTCCTCCCAGACGGAACCTTCCAGAAACTCTTGGAACTCGGTCTCCCACTGATAGTGACCGCTGCTCCCTGCTCTCGGCTGGCTCTCTTGGCGTACCACGTATCCCCCGGCGTCTGCCGCACGGCTTGCCAAGGGGCTTTCGAGGGTTCCTGCCTCGCCGATCCCCGTTTCGAGACCTTTGGGGTCCTCCCGGAGCCGGGTGCGCTCAGCTTCGGCCCTCCAGCGGCGTGTGGCGGCCATTTTAGCTCTGCTGGCTGAACGTTCTGAAGCTCGCAGCAAACGAATGGCAAAAAATGGCAACTTCTGGTCCTGTGCTTGTGCAGCTGCTCCTGACACAACGGGACACTCTGAGCAAGCCGTGCAAGGGTTTCGCGGCCTGCAATTTTTTCGCCGAAGAACCGAGAGAGCTTGCAAGCGACTTTTTTGTTTTGTTTCCAAAGGCTCCTTTCCTGAAAGAGAACGCAAAACAGGGATGTCAGAAGGAACAGAAACCCACATGCCAACAGCCACTTCCCAGGTCTTCTGAGCGCTAGGAAATTTCACATTGCACCTTGCGGACAGATCTGGAAAAGGCAAAACTTGCAAGAGAGAGAGAGAGGGGCTCCTCTCGCTCTCTTTGCAAAGTCTTTTGCTACGCTTTTGCTGCTAAACCTCACACCGGGCTGGACCAGGTGATGAGCACCATTCATGCTAAATTGCTACAAATTAAAAACTTCTGCAGGGAATACAAGAAGCTGTCTTACTTACTCCTTTGCCCTTCCTTGGAGGTTTTTAAGCGGCAGTTGGAGGGCCATCTGTCATGGATGCCTTAGCTGAGATTCCTGCATTGCAGGGGGTTGGACTAGATGACCCTTGGGCCCCTTCCAACTCTACAGTTTTCTGACCTAGGTAATGGGCTGTAACCTCAATGGTAGAGCACCTGCTCTGCATCCTGCTGTTCCCAGGTTCAATTCCAGAATGGGCTAGGAAAAGCCCCTGCCTAAAGTACTGCCAACCAGGGTAGACAGAACAGAACTAATACTAATACTACTAATAATAATTTATTTATACCCCGCCCATCTGGCTGGGCTTCCCCAGCCACTCTGGGCGGCTTCCAAAAAAATATATTAAAATACTATAATACATCAAACATTAAAAGCTTCCCTAAACAGGGCTGCCTTCAGATGTCTTCTAAAAGTCTGGTAGCTGTTGTTCTCTTTGACATCTGCTGGAAGGGCGTTCCACAGGGCAGGCGCCACTACCGAGAAGGCCCTCTGCCTGGTTCCCTGTAACTTGGCTTCTCACAGTGAGGGAAACGCCAGAAGGCCCTTGGCGCTGGACCTCAGCATCCGGGCAGAATGATGGGGGCAGAGACGCTCCTTCAGGTCTACTGGACTGAGGCCGTTTAGGGCTTTCAAGGTCAGCACCAACACTTTGAATTGTGCTCGGAAACTTACTGGGAGCCAATGCAGGTCTTTCAAGACCGGTGTTATGTGGTCTCGGCGGCCGCTCCCAGTCACCAGTCTGGCTGCCGCGTTCTGGATCAAATATTCTATTGGGGGGAGGCGGGTGCCCCCAAAGCCCCTGGGATTTGGCTCCTATGCACTGCGCATTCGAAGCAGCACCATTCCACTTTAAACGGTCCAGGTTTCCTCGACATAATTCTGGGAGTTGTAGTATGTGAAGGGTGCCGAGAGATGTCGGGAGACCCCCGTCCCCCTCAATTTCCAGAGTTCTCTGGGAAGAGGGATTCGTTGTTAAACCACTCTGGGAATTGTAGCTCTCTGAGAGGAATGGGTGCGTGTGTCTCCTAGCAGCTCTCAGCACTCTTATCAAACTACAATTCTCCAGGATTTATTTATTTTGGGGGGAGAGAGGGAACTATGAGTGTTTAAAGTGGTATGACACTGCTTTAAATGTGTAGGGCAGAGGACCTAATCCAGGGATTTAAAAAAATATATACACTCACACACACTTGATTTTAAAATATATAATTAAATTTCCACAAATTCACATAAAATTCAAATACATATTTTTTTTCTTTTGTTTTATTTACTTCCCATCCCACTTTTCATGGGTCCCCCCCCCATCTTTTAAAACCATTAAGGCTAGTGCCTCCCCCATTCTCTGACTTCCTGTGTTGTTTTTAAGGCAGATGTTGGCTAGCCAGAGATTGAGAAAAGTCCTTTCAGGAATGGAAGGTGCCTCAGGGCAGAGATTGGCAAATCCCATTTTATCACTTTGCTTTAAATAGATTTGGGAGGGCAATCTTTTGTCTCAAGTACACTGCCATTGTCCCAGCCAGGACTGACACAAAGCCAGTCTGAATGCTTTTGCAAGAGGTCTCTTCAGGACAGGCTGTCCTACAGCCATGGAAATGGCTGTAGTAGCACAGGTGAGGAGTTTGTAAAAAAAGGGGGGGATCCCTGCTGCCTTTACAGCTTACAATTTAACTGATTTTTAAAAATAAATTTGAAGAAAGAATGAAAAGCTTTAAAAAAGCAACAGCGCTGTTCTAATCATACGGTGAGATCTTTCGATGAAGGGTGGTATATATATTTATTACTGCTTGGAGGGTTGTTTTTTCACAATGATGCAGTGTGCAATTTATTTACTAAATAAAAAAAAACTATCAGATATATGTTGCTAAGCACACATTTATCATATAAGCACGGCGCTTTTCAAAATACATTACAAAACAACAACAACATCCTATGCCCTTTTAAAATGTGTTTTTTTGTGGGGGGGTATTGGGTTGCTGTTTTTATTTTTATTAGGTATTTTCTGGTTTTATATCTTGATTTTATTCAGTGAACCGCCCTGAGACCCCGGGGTATAGGGCGGTATATAAATTCAATCAATAAATAAACAAACGAAACATTCTTGTGACTCATTTTGCCCTGGTTTAATATTTGTTTTGTTTTGCACACCGCCTTGAGTTAATTGGACGAAAGGTGGGACTCAAGTATAATAATAATAAATAAATGAATAAATAAATAAAAATAGTTGATACCCCCAGCTCAGCCTAACCTACCAAACAGGGTTGAGGCAAGCATAGATTGGAGGGAGACCTCCCCTTAACCCCCCCCAAAAATATGTGTGAGCACAAAGGAAGGATATAAACAGCATATAAATGCAATAAATAAATTTTAACCCTATTTTATGGCTCTTATGTGTTTTTATATCCCTGCTTTTCCAAGCTGGAATTAAGATTGCTGGAAGAAATATCAACAACCTCAGATATGCAGATGACACAACCTTGATGGCAGAAAGTGAGGAGGATTTAAAGAACCTTTTAATGAGGGTGAAAGAGGAGAGCGCAAAATATGGTCTGAAGCTCAACATCAAAAAAACGAAGATCATGGCCACTGGTCCCATCACCTCCTGGCAAATAGAAGGGGAAGAAATGGGGGCAGTGAGAGATTTTACTTTCTTGGGCTCCATGATCACTGCAGACGGTGACAGCAGTCACGAAATTAAAAGACGCCTGCTTCTTGGGAGAAAGGCGATGGCAAACCTAGACAGCATCTTAAAAAGCAGAGACATCACCTTGCCGACAAAGGTCCGTATAGTTAAAGCCATGGTTTTCCCAGTAGTGATGTATGGAAGTGAGAGCTGGACCATAAAGAAGGCTGATCGCCGAAGAATTTGTGCTTTTGAATTATGGTGCTGGAGGAGACTCTTGAGAGTCCCATAGACTGCAAGAGCAAACCTCTCCATTCTTAAGGAAATCAGCCCTGAGTGCTCACTGGAAGGACAGATCCTGAAGCTGAGGCTCCAATACTTTGGCCACCTCATGAGAAGAGAAGACTCCCTGGAGAAGACACTGATGTTGGGAAAGATGGAGGGCACAAGGAGAAGGGGAGGACAGGTCCATGAGGTCACGAAGAATCGGACAGGACTAAACAACTAAACAACAGCAACAAATTGTCTAGTTGTAGGCCGCCTTTCCATAACTAAACCACTCTCAAGGCAGCTTGCAACATGAAAAAAAATCTATCCAAATATAGCAAAAGTGGTAATAGGTAGCAAATAAAAACATCTCAATAGAGCGAGGTCCCAGACTAAAGAGAAAAAGGCTTTTTAATAGGCCTTTTGAGATCTTTCCCAGTCTGCATCTGTATTGGAATCATTTGGGAGACATTTTTGGTTTTAAATATGTATATTTACTTTATAGATGTTTTATTACTGGGCTGCTCTGGGAGGAAGGGCAAAAGATAAACTTAAATATTCACCAACTGTACACCAATTAAGAGATTTTTGAAATATTAAGCAGGACACACATATAGGATTTTAACTTAACAAATTTTAATATAGGATCCACTCTATTTTTGAGATTGTAAGCTGTTTTAAATCGTTTTTAATATTGATTTTTAGTTGTAACCCTACCTGGGACTTTACAGTGAAGGTCGGGCAAGCCACGAAATCATTACTAAATTTACACCCCACTTTTCTATAAGGTTTTCAAAGCTGCTGTCCAAGTCATTACTTTAAGAAAAGCATTTACCTATTAATAGAAAACTTTAAAATACATTTTTTAAAACAAGAAAATGAAAGCAACAGAAATTAAAAATTCAGCTGAAGAGAACAGAGAGGATTGCAGAACTGATGGATAAAAATAAGGATTATCATTTGGGGTCAGACTAAAAGAAGGGGAAACCCAGGACAGGATTCAGTGCCGGTCCTACTCAAGAGTAGACCCATTTGAGTGTATAGCCATGTTTCATTACTTGTCCACTTAATCACTGATCCTTTGGATAACAGCACAGTTATCAACAAGGGCCATTGCACCATTGGTTTCTCTGTTAATGTTTGTTTTGAAACTCTTCACAGAAATACAACCCCCCCACCAAAACCCTCCAACCTAGGTCAAGTCATTTCAATAGGCCTACTCTTGAGTAGGACTAGCACTGAAAACAACCCGCAGCCATCTCATCCAGGAATGCAATTTCTTCTCCGGAGGGAGGAATACGGGGCAGCGCTGCTCACACCCCTTTCTAGAAACTGGTATTTAAGAAGGTAGACTGCATCTGGCAATAGAGGCTCGCTCTATTCAACCATTGCCACCTTGTCTAGGGATCTGACCTCACACACAACACATGCCAACCTGGTTTTACTTGTAAAAGGCACAATTTACAACACCTTTCCCCATCTAGCGACTTCCAGTTGCTTTGGGCTGGAGGAATGCGCCATTGCATAGCGACAGAACAGCCGCTTTGCATGCAGAAGGTCTACGCAACAGAGCCATGGTCTGAGTCAGTACAAAGCACCGTAGAAATCACAGAATTGCAAAGTTGGAAAAGGGACCCGAGGGTCATCTAGTCCAACCCCCTGAAAGGCAGGACTCCAGCGTGGGGCCCGAACCCACAATCCTTCTTTGGGTTCCAAGAGGGGCTGGGGAAACCTAGCCAGATGGGCGGGGTATAAATAATAAATTGTTATTGTTATATTATCCCTTTGTTCCAGTTTAAACTGCTTTTCATTTGGAACCCTGAGGACTAGAAACTTAAAAAGGCAGTCACAGATCAGTGCTGGAGCGTCTGCTCCGCACGCAAAACGGTCCCAGCATCTCCAAGCGGGAAACCTTCGAGCCGCTGCCAGCCAGTGTAGGCAAAACGGAGCTCAAATGGGCCAATGCTCCGACTCAGCATCTTATGGACTCCATCCAGCCCCCTTGGCTTGTGAGACCATGCCCCCACCCCCAAACCTGGCGAACTTTTAAGAT